CAACGCTAATCCGTCCGATTCAACTAGCTGGCTGGTTGAGTGGCAGGCAGACGAGACCAAGACCAAGACCGTAGGCGGATCTCGGTATTCCAAATCAGGGCCTGTGTGTATCCAATATAGCTTCTCATTCACCGCTGACGGATGATTTCTAGTAAAGTCCGGTATCAGTGGTGGCCGAAATCGAGTTGAAGAGGAACAAAGCTTGCGCACCTGTGAGAAATTCCTCGCTGTAAAAAAAACGTCATTAGCCAAAACTTCCAAACCCCCCCCCCCAATCACTTGCAGAAAGAACTTACAAGCTCAACGTAATATACCCATCACGATCCTCATCATACTTCTTAAACACATCCGTCATGCGCTTCAAACTAATACACGCCTGCACAAACAAATCAAAACTCAACCCGTTGCGCGAATCCCGCTCGTACGTGCGATACAGCAGCGCGACGAATTGCTGCGACAGACGGTAGCCAAACGCCACGAGCGCTTCGTTGAACTCTGGGTATGATATGTTGCCGCTGTGGTCCTGGTCGAAGCGGTCGAAGAGGCTGCGCCAGGCGGAGAGGAAACCCCATAGGCCACTATATCAACTTAGCGTTACGAGTCTCGAATAAAGGCAGTGGGAGATATCTACCAGAATTCATCGAAATTGACGGTACCGGAGCGGTTAGTGTCGAACATGCGAATCATCATGCGTACGGTATGCGGGTCAAAAGGAGTCCAATCGCCATTGACAAGAGCGGTTCGCAACTCCGCTTCTGTAAGCTCACCACTCTCTACCACACATATAACATTAGCAATCTTCTCCCTCAATTCAAACTCGACGAACATACTATTCTTATCCACCGCCCCAAACAACCGCCACAAAGCCTCGCGATCATTCCCATCTCTCGGCAGCGACGGCGCAGGCGTAGGCGGCGGCCGACTCTGCTGCGCAAGCTGCGGCCTACCGTGGTAACCCTGCGGCGGGGGTCCATGGCCGTAGTTTGCAGGTGGAGGCGATCCTACGCCTAGTTTGTTGTCCATTCGTGAGTCGTACCGGTTCTCGTAGCGCGGGTCGTTGAATGCGCCGGGAGGGGGTCTGCTTTCATATCCTCCAACACCACCAACGGCGCCGCGGCCACCACCGCCGCCGTAGCGCTCGTCGGGGCGCGCGTCGTATCTCTGGCTGGGGAGCGCGGGCGGCGGCTTATTGTATTCCGGGCGGGCGGAGCTGGTGCGTGGTGGGCGCGTGGCCGAGGCAGGTGAGTTTTGCGACATCATGGCCGCTGCCTGGAGTATCTATGTCAGCCAAGCAAGCAAGCAAGTGTTTTGTATAAAGAATGAAAAAAAAACCCCCCCACCTGATCTGGCTCTGCATGCATCGGCAACCTGTCCGGGTTGAAGCCTTTGTTGTATGCCATGGTTACTTCAAGCTGTGTCGTTGGTGTTGTGTTGTGTTGTGTAGATGTTCGCAAGGATCGCGGCCTGATATATGAATGTGACACTGACACGGAATCGGGTCGAGCAAGTAACAGTCAGCTGGACAGGCGAAGTCTTTTTGGCAGGTAGATGCCAGCAGATGACGGTCAAAGCAAGATGCGGCTCCAGCGATCAAAGCCCAACCCCTTCACAGCCCATCTGCGGCTGATACCACCCGCGAACCCTTGGACAAGCGTAGGCGCAGCGGGGCACTGGCTTGGCCCTATGACGCTGTACCCGTACCGCTCACCGCAGAAGGTTTTTGTGTCCCGCAATACAACAGCGGGCGCAGTCGGGCGCACTGCTCAGCTCTCGGACATGGCAGTCCAGCCGACTCCCGAAGGCTCGCTTTTAGGCCAAGACAGGGTTGGCATGTCAGAGTTGGGTTCACGTTTCAGCCTTGGTGGTTCGGTGGGTTTTCTGGACAACATCCGACTTGTCATTTGATTATCTACAAAAAAAGAATTTACGCTTCTCTCCACCCGTCTTCTTCTTCGTCATCATGCAATGGTTTGGTATGCCGAAGAATACCATAAGTGCAATCGTCAAATTGTGAACAGAAGTGAGGACAAAATATCGTGGGTATCCAACGCCCCTGCCAAAACCTACAGAAAATCAAGAATGTATGGGTAAAAGGTATGCATCGAGCGTCGCTAGCTCTCAAGTGAATACCAAACAAGATGAAGAGTAAAACCAAACATATGCCAGTACAAATACAGCGCTGCACAACTGCACGAGCAAAGAAATCGCTCAAGTCTTGACCCTCTTCTGACTTCCATCATCTGAGCCCTGGTCAGACGTCTTCCGCTTACGATCTGCAGAGTCATCGCGCGCGAAACTCGGTCCGTTCGGGGCTACTGGTGTTTGGAATGTCAAGGGACTTGGCAGCATGTTGGAGTCGCGGCCAAAACCCCACTCGGGGTAAAAGCTCGAAGGCGAGGGAAGTAGTCCGTTCTCAACAAAACGGCTGGGAAGTGCCGAGATTGGGGTTTCCATATCATTGCGACTTCCATACGAATTACTGTTCGATGGCGGTGGAGGACGAGCAAAGGGATTCGGGGGACCAGTCGCACCAGCACTTAGTAGTGAGTTGGCGCTGGGTGAAGGAGGCGGTAAGACGACACCAGAAGAATGTGATGCATCAGTGCTTCGTCCAGGGGTTGCACCTGTTGTGCCAGAATCCTTTGGAGAGGAGTCGGCAGTAGCACTGCCAGCATCCGAGTGTTCGCTAGGGATCTGCACTCTCAGTCTCGGCTTACTCTCACCCATGCGCAGACTGTTGGTTCGCGTTGGCGGTGGGATGGCTGGCATTGAAGACGTGGATTGTGTTCGTTGTGGCACTTGCTGCATGGACAATGGTGAGGGCTGGGGCTGAGGTTTAGGCTCCCCGTTTGGTTGCGACCGCGACATGGAAGCCACGTCAATGGACTGTGAACGATTCTCCTGTTTGATGAAAGGAATGTCTCCGCGTGGTGCGTTGGCATTGATATTGCTGCTGCTGCTACTTCCCCAATGCGCTGCAAGCATGGATTGGCTGTCATCAATGGGCGTGAAGATGCTGTGCCTAGCGGACGCATGAAGAGGCTTTGGCTGTGGCAGAGGCGGGCTTTGGAAATCATTTTGCGGAGATGGGACCGTTAAAGTGGGTGGTTGCGGGCGCTCTGGCTGTGGCTGAGACACTTGTGGAGGTGGCGGCGGCGGCGGCTGTTGTTGCTGCTGCTGTTGCTGTTGCTGTTGCTGTTGCTGTTGTTGTTGTTGTTGCTGCTGTACTACTTGTGCCTGAGCCTGTGCTTGAGCTTGCGCCTGCTGTGCTTGCTGTTCTTGCTGGTGCTGATGCTGTTGCTGCTGTTGATGTTGCTGCTGTTGTTGCTGTTGCTGCTGTTGTTGCTGTTGCTGCTGTTGAAACGTGGGTGGCATTGATTGGCGGCGTTGCTGCTCATGTTGCATATATTGAACCTGCGAATGTGTGGGCATGGGGTGTGTGAATTGGTACTGGGTGGCTGGGGGTGTGGGTTGAGGCTTGGGAGCCATCTGCTGGGCAGCCTGGGGGTTGTAAAAGGGAGGATTTGGTATGTAAGCATAGTTGTTGGGCGGCGGCGGTGCTTGCGACGGGTACGGCTGCGGAGGCGCGAGGTTTGAACTGGGCCGGCGGATGTGGCCGACTCTCGAGTTTGGTCGCGAGAGGTGGTGGGGAGGTTGCGGCGAGGGTCCTCGCTGCTGAAAGGGCATGCCATTCCCAATGGGTGGTGACATGGACGGGGCGCCATGCCTGATGTGCTGGAATTGCGAGTGTTGCATGTGAGGAGGGATCATGGCATGCTCGGGTGGGGTGTGCGAGTCGCGTGGAAGCGCGCCGCCCTCTTCGTCCTCATCATCGTCGTCGTCGCCGTCCTTTTTGCCCATAAAGTCCTCTGGACCTTTGTGTTCGTGTGCGCCGCCATACTGCGTGACCTGTCAGTTTCATTCCATCTTAGCGCAACTCTCAATCCACGGCAGAAGGGAAGGTGCATACATATTGGTACCGGCCAATGGTTTCGTTGATGTCGCCAGACGAGAACTCGTACAGCTTCTTGTTATGGCCGAAGATGATGACGGCAACGTCTACCGAGCACAGCACAGAGAGCTCATGCGCCTTCTTGAATAGGCCGCCTTTGCGCTTGAGGAAGGTGCTGTGGCAGGTCAGTTGGGTTCGGATGCGCACGTGTGGCTGGTGGCTCAACTTACACGGAGCGGTTCCGGTCGTCCTTGATGGCCTTGATCTCGATCTTTCTGCGACCCATGGTGGACTTGAATACTAGACGTCAAAGCTCATGGAGTGGCGATGAAGGGTGCGCGTATTTTTGGGGGGACTAGTCGAGGGCTCTTGGGGAACAAAAGAAGATGGCAATGGTACTAGCTTGCGCGGCAGCGGCCTGATCACGAAGACGTTCAGCGTTTCAGCACCGGCAACGCAAGAGCCAGCGGGATTAGGAGGTGGGCGGCGAGAGTCGGCGCTGCAGATGTGCAAAAGCTTTCCGCGACTTCAGGGCTATATGGCTGTGATGCGCGACACGTCGATGCCTTGCTGCACTCACAGTCGCTGTGAGGCTCTGAACGTGATGTGCAGAGGAAACCATCATGGAGTGGGTGGGCGCCCCTATATTTAGAAAAGCGGCGTCTGCGGAGCCCAGGCCATGCAATCGCTAAATTGCCCGCTTGGAGCATATTTGGTACGTTTGGAGCACCGGGCCACGTCGACTGCGCCCTCGTTATTGGGCGTGCAATTTGTGCCTCCATCATCCCACCGCTGACCTAGCCGATTCTGGGCTGTTTACTCCACTATGCGACGCCCACAAGGGCTATTTTAAGGACATATCAGGGCCGGGGTCCAGCGGCCTCACACAGCTATCACGCCCTGGATGGCATTGCAGTCACAGATTGAGTCGACCAGTGTCTTTTACCGGCATGGCGCCAGACGACAAATGCCCTATGCGAAGGTGCCCTAGGATATGCAAAGTCCATCTTACCGGCTCCAACTGTCAAACGAGCCTCGCTATTCTTTGCTCGCTACATCCGTCCCGAACAGGACGCGGCGCTTGCAGAAGAGATGGCGACGCTCGGAGAATTCTGACCCTTTGCCTTGAGCGGAGGCATCTGGCCTGTGTACGGATTGTGCGGCATTGCACCTCCTGGTGCGCCTTTGCACCCTGTGCCGAGCCCAAATCTGCTCGCAACACAAGGCGGAGCACCTACCCGACCCCAATGGTCAAACTCTAGCCTCAGCAGCCCGTAAAGGGACGTCCTGTGTCTGCCCGCACTGCCCTTCAACCCACCTGCCACCATAATTTGTTATATCCCACCCGTCCCGTCCACTATCAAGACCAACCCCACTTCCCCGCCGTGTGCGGCACGGCAATACCCAGGCGATTTTGATTCCTCGACATATGCCATCCTTTCTTCCTTCTGCAGGCACAGGCACAGGCACGCCGCATGCTGACAGTTCGGAACACGACCAAACAGAGCAATTGCAACTCGTCTCCCTCCATGTCCTAAGCTTGATGTCGGAATAGGCCTGCAGCACGCGCTTCCTAGCGCGATCGCCAGTCAGGCCCCAAACGCGATATTTTTAGCAGTACATGCTGGGATGACGCACCTCATTGACTGGTCGGCCCAACTACGTCGACACTCCAGAACGTCATACGTTGCTAAGCTTCTGTCCATCTGCCTTTTTTTCCTTTTGCGTTGCCGTCACATCCCAGTTGACAAGATGATCTGACTGGGCTAACCGCCAGCGCCGCAACGTCGTTGGATATTTACCACTAGCTTGTGCTTTCTTATTCGTACAACCTCACTACTAGCTCCGTAGTCTGTGTGACTTACACTCTTCGCCTGCTGAAGCGAGACATGTGCCGCAACCTGACAGCCGTTCGAGGCACGGTTGGGGTTTCTAATTGAAGCTTTTTCGACCGCTCGACATCACTCAGCATCACATGGACAATCATGAATCCTCCAGTCGAGCGGAAGATAAGGCGGCCCGATGCGTCTAGTTCATCTATCAGATGCAGGTACAGTCCTCGGTTGTTATTCTTAGTCGTGTATACACTCCCGACAACCGTTCCTTCGTCACCTCCCAGTAGCCTGAACCCCTCATCGACCTGTCAGATGCAGTTACCACCTGTCGGGTTATTCTTGGTCGCACACTAGCCCTCGAGTAGTTTACATCTCCAACCGCCTGAATGTGGACCCAACCTGAGACCGTGAACGCGTGGTCGATGCAGGTACCCAACACCATGTATGCAGCAACACAGCTCATCTTATTCGCTGAAAGCTATCATGACTTCTCCGATCCACCTCCCCTCTTGGTCAGATGTTATTCTTGGGACGCGCCTACAGCCCCCTTGATATACAGGCTTCAATATCAAAATGATATGCACCTACATACTCATCATCGACAGCCACGAGTTGGCGGCGCCTACAGATGATACATGCTCAGAAGAAGGGGTAGCTGATGAGCAAGTTGAAAATAGAACGATGAAGCTTACGCGTTGTGACTAACAGAGGCAGTTATGATGAGCAAACAGTGTCAGAGGGGAGGGGAGCCGGCGTCAAAGACAACTACGATGATCGAACCATCGTTCGAGAACCATGGCTTTTGTCATTCCATATTATTCAGCAACCAGCCCTGGCATGGGATCCAGTACAGCGTCTTCGTCAAGTTCTCGTCAAGTTTAACAAACTATGGAAATCCTACACAGGCATCTACCTATCATAAGCTAAACCCCGATATCCCTCCAGAAAAAGCCAGAAAAGCACTACCTACAATAGGACTACCGAACCCCTTTAGCGTTAATATCGATCTAGACCTCATCTGTACATGTCTGGATGAACATGCTATCACTGTTGACAATCTTAACATCCGCTATCTGAGTCTCCGATCCATTATGAATTTCACAATAGGAGAACAGCCACAATATCCATCCAAAATCTCACGTCATGACACACAACCCACTCACCCACTCAACACAAAACAAAAACACACATCAATTGCAGGTGAACAATCGTAGGATTTTCGACTTATGTACAAAAGGATATCCATCCGAAAGGCGTGATTTGGGCCAAGACAAGCTCTGGCTGGAATGATGAAACTGTTTAAGAACTTGTGTGTTCAGACTTTTTTAGTACCTACACTGTTGGCTCGGAATGTCGCTGCAAAAGCATACCACATCTCCCCTATGCTGACAATTCCCCCAAGGGTAATATTGATATTTTGACACGCAATTTACTGGTCAAGCTCGACATAGTTGGCGGGGAAGAGACCAGACTGGCCGTTGAAGCTACCGAGCCACCAGTCCTCGTCTGGGAATTCCTGTAAGGTGTAAGTGAGTGTTTGCTAATTGGGTCAAATTTACTTACCAGTCCGGTGATAGTGGCGCCTTCGGGGAAGCTTAGCTCGTTGTCTTCAGCAGCTTCATAGTCGTAAAGTGCAGTGGCGGTGGGGCCGGAACTAGCAGCGGGTGCTGCGGCGGGCTCTTGCTCGTGTGCTGAGGGATGTGCGGGTGGTGGTGGTGCAGCACCGCCATTGTCCTCATCTTCGACCAACTCGACATAGTTGGCTGGGAACAGACCACGCTCGCCTTGAGAGTTTGTGCCCATCCACCAGTCGTCGTCTACCATGTCGATATCAGTGACGTATTCACCCTCGCGGAGCTCGACTTCGTTGTCCTCTGCCTTCTCGTAGTCGTATTGGATGACTGCACGCTTGCCTGAGCCGCCTGCAGCTGCACCCTCATCGTCATCGTGACCAGCAGCAATGGCAGCGCCAACAGCTGCACCGCCTACCGCGGCAGCGCCGAAGGTAGCAGCTGCAACAGCGGCACCAGCACCACGAGCAGGATCCTTGGCTTCCACTTGAGGCTCTGGGGACATGTCGCGAGATTGCTTAGCTGCTTGCTCGAGGGATCGAGCAGGCATAGGTGGCGCGTGTTCCTCGGCAGGAGCCATTTCTTCCGGTTGCCTTCCCCGAGCAACAGGCATAGCGATGCGAACAGGTGAACCAGAAGGTTCGGGAGATGGGCTGCGGGGCACTGCTGGTGGAGAGGGGACGCGTTGGTGCTGAGTGGCAGGCACATCATCCTCTTCTGGCTCCTTGGGGCGGCTGGGCAGGCCCGGCATGGGAACACCTCCCCGTATGCCTGCATTGGGCTTGCTGGATGTGTCAAGTGGTGGTGGGCTTGAAGCTTGTGGCTCGGGTACAGGGCGTGATGTTGGCGCTCCCATGGGTGCAGCGCCTGTGAAGCGATCTTTCAGGGAGCTCACACCACCAGCTGCGGGAGAAGCTGGCTCCTCTGGCTGGTCATTGGGGTTGCTGGTTACAGACTGACCTGTTCGGGTAGTCTGAACAGGTGCCCATGATTTGCCAGAGTAACCACTTTGCCAGCCACCGCCTCCACTCTGTTGGCTTTGCAGAGGAGCTGGGCGGCTTCCAACATCAGCAGTAGGTGACCGAACAGGCTGGCCACGAGCTGCCTTCTTTTCAGCCCAGATCTGAGCAGGTGTCTTTCCTCCCTCATCGGCAAAGGTTTTGCTTGCGGCGCCGACGAGCGGTGCAGGAACAACGGGCTTTGCACCGAAACCTCCAGGCGTGGGAGCCTTGGTTCCAGTGAATGTGCTGGCGCCCGCAAACTTGTTGGCAACCTTTGGCTTTGGCATACTGGTCAAGCGTTCGGGCTGCGAGCTAAAGGCCGCTGACCTTTCCGCGAGCGATTTGGGCTTCTCTTCCTCCTCGCCATTGGATCCTGTTGCAGCCGGAGACAACGAGGGAGGAGCGGCTTGAGCCTTAGCGCGAATAGCTGCAATATCAACTTTTCCCACTGGCTCATATGCGCCCTTGACCACGGTGGGTCGGTCGTCTTTGGCCTCACGCGCCTGAGCTCGAATAGCGGCAATATCGACCTTACCGACTGGTTGATATGCGCCCCTGACGACTTCGGGTCGGTCGCCGCTAGTCGAATCGTCTTTCTTTGCAGTAAGTTCTGCCATGTTCACTTTGGTGGGCGTGTATGCAGTTCCAACCTTCTCCAGCTGTGACCTGGAGACCTGCGGGGCATCCGCACCCCACCCGTCGGCATCCTCATCAGCTTTTGGTGCCGATGCACGCGAGCGTCCCAATGGGTTGAATCCAGCACCTCCGCCTCCTATTGATTTGGGTGTGAAGACGGGCTTCTTCGCAACGGGGGGTGGGCCGCTTGAAACGGGAATGTCTCCGCCGCCGGAGTACTTTGCGCCTGATGCATCTGCAACTTTCTGCACAATTTTCTCTGGAGTAAGGTCGGCTTCGGAGCGGGCGGTGACTTGGACGTGGTATCCCTGGTTGAGTCAGACGGCGAAAACAGTGAGAGCTGGGTATTGAGCCACATACGTGTAGAAGCTTTGAAACGACTGTGAGATGGCTGCCAAAGTAGCCCTTTGTTCGCTCTGGAACACCCTCACCGCACTGCGTAAATGTTAGTTGGGTAATTATGATTGGGACTTAATCAGCACATACCCATGCAATGAGGACATTCTTGGGCAGCGACGTATTTGGGTCCTTGACTTTGACGAATGCAAACTGAATTCGACCATCTGAGAACTCGTCGATCAAGTCGACTAGCTCACCCTCTGCCAGACGTCAGCTTTTGTTTTTCGTAACGGCGGTGGCTTTTGGCTGCTGCCATGCGTTCCCGCTGCCTGATTGTGCCGACACCCGAGCTTAGGCGGATACCTAGCTTGGAGACGGCTGTGGTGGGATACACAGGAGAGAGAAATTGAGTTTTGGGCCTTTCAATCACATACCTCCTGTGCTTTGGACTTTGAGTACGCTTTCTTTTCCGCCATCTTGCTGGAAGGCACTGACGAGCGGGGCAGCTACTGTGAAGACGGCCCATTGCCCGTAAGTCGGGGAGCTCGCCTGGGCACCAGATGGCGGAGGAGCGTTGACAACATTCTGGTAGCTCCGGGTGATGTTGGGGCCGTTGCTGGAGGTGTTGAGCGTGGCCATGGTGGAGGGGGGGGGAGGAGGGGAAGAGGATGTCTGGAGGGCTGGGGAAAGAGAGCGGTGGAGTGAGGAAGAGTGGAGGTGGAGGAACACAGGTGGCAGATTTCAAGTGCCCTCAGCTAGCAGGATGCGTCGGACAGCTCAGTGTACGCGTATCCGAATGCGTGTATATGGCGAATTGGGCTCGAATTATCCTAGTAGGCACAGAGCGGCACAAGCTCGGGTGAGGCAGCTATGTCATTCCTTGGCCCACACTGTTGGCAGGGCAGACCCTCGTTCGCCTCACCGGGTCGATTGGACATAGCTTCTGCGCACCGCTTGACAACGCTGCACTCAACAGCAGACTCTTGCGTCTCTTAAAGCGTCGCCTAGACGCCTCGCATGACCTCTGCCGCCTTTTTTCTGGTGTTCTAGCCCGCTTACCTTCACCTCCACTCTGCCACGACAAACACTAGCATCCGACAGCACACCAAGCCCCATCGCACCGCCTTTTCGATTCCCCATCATCTCCACTTCACCCGCGCTTGATACTCGACATCTGCCTTCATGTCTCTCGCCTGCGCACTGCTGCGACGACGAGGCGACTTTGAGCGCTGCCTGTGAAGACCCTGCTCTAGTAGTCCGCCATGGAGGATCGCGAGTCGAGCGTTGTGTCGTCGGTCGACTTTTACGGCTCAGACGCAAATGCTACACATGCGCCTGCCCCAGCTGTTCCCAGTGACGCGCCGCTGCCGAAGCGAAAGGCAGACGATGCGCCAGCTGAGCCCGACAAGAAGCGCAAGTTGGAGCTGGACGCGTCGTCGCCGCCCTACGACTTGCCATGTTGCGCTGGCCTGCCTCCAGAGCTGTGGCAGCATGTTTTCTCCTTTTGTTCTCTTGCAGATCTTGGTCGATTGATTCAGGTCAATCGACCTTTCCTTTCCTACCTCACAGACGTGCGCACTGCCTCGACTTCAAAGTCGGGCCATGGCCGTCTGCATCTCCTAAAGTCTGAATCGTTGTGGGCCTCTGCCCGCAATGCACTATGTACAAAGCCCCCGAAGCCGCTCCCAGGCTTCAGCGAGCTGCAAATGTGGCAGCTGGCCTGGTCCAAGAGATGCCAGTTTTGTAATAAACTTGATTCTTATACACCAGGCGAGCGTATATGGCAAAAGGGCCCCGGCAACACAGGCGTGCGCGCCATCTGGCCCTTTGCTATCAGAGCGTGTGGGCCATGTCTGCTACAACAGTGCCAGACGGTAAGTAGCATCGAATTGCCCTACATGGGTCGTCGCTGACTGTTTAGGACGCAAGCCTTCTCTTCTCAACTGCTTCCGCAGTGCGACCCGCGCTCCCCTTTGCGCTCCTCACAAATGATCAGCACTACATTGCCGCCTACACATTGCAATCTGCCACTACGCCAGCTGACGTTGAAATTGCAAAGTACTATTACAAAAACGACGTGCAAGACATGACACAAGAGCTCAACGAGGCACTTGGCCGGGGCCCGGCAGCAGCCGAAGAATGGGCCAAAGGCCTCGAAGCCAGAGGAAGAGAGCGTATGAAGCTCGCCGAAAACTGGGAGCGCTGGGAAGTCAAAAATCAGTGGTGGGAGCAGCACAACGAGGGCAAGCGCGCAGCATCTGCAGCTCCTTCACAGCCCGCCACGTCACACAAGCGGCCGTCCAGGTCACCCCCTCGCCGAACCCCGTCTCCTATAATTCATGCCCCGATTCCAGCAAGTAAGTCGACTTCTGCTGTCTCATTTGCTGTCACGCATGGTAACCCTTCTCGATATCTCAACAACGCCCCTCCTGTCCCCAACCTAACAGCCGTAGCACCATCGTCTCAGCAAGGGCAAGCGCGCCCGCCCACGGTTCCACCACAGGCCTTTACCCCATCTGGACAAAGAAACCTTCACGATGCAAATGAGGCCAAAGCAACTCGCAAGACGGACATAGAACGTCGGTGTCAGCAAATGGAACCCCCAATTGCTCCCAACGTCCTGCGCCACATGGACTCGTTCAAGGCCGCGATCCAAATCCCGCAGCCAATGAATGACTATGCATGGAGTGTGCTTCAACCCCGCCTGATCGCCCAACTCCCTGCTGCCCAACAAGCAGAAGCTGACCACGTGGCCCGCGCTGCTTCCCACTCGTCAAAAGCAGCAGACCGCCGTCACCTAGACGCAAACTCCAAGGAAGCGCGGGAAGTCATGGACCGCGAGTGGGAAGAGTCTCAGCGCCCAATTCGTGACAGACTCGACGCCATTGCCGACGAATTCATCAATCGGGACTGGGATCACGGCAACGCGGTCACTTACGAAAACAGCCCGAAATTTGCAGCCGATCTTCTTGCCTACGTGCGCCGCACATTCTACGCTGAGAGAGCGCGTAGCTCTACTGACCATGCAGATTCTAAACCCAAGCTTGTTCTGGACAATATGAAGTGGGTGTATGACAACAAAATCAAACCATTAACAGAACAGTTCCGCAAGGACATCTTCTTGTGCCATGGCCAAGGATGCGAGCACAACAACAAATACTACGGGTTTGAAGGTGTTACCCAGCACTACGGAGCCAAACATACCTCCAACTTCAGCTCAGGAAACGTGGTCGTGGCGTGGAGAGAAGCTGAATGGCCTGAGGAGACCCCGTTCCATCCAGACCCTAGTTCCGTGAAACCTCTCCATGCCCACCACCCGTCTTCTGGCACGAATGGGTATGGCGGCTACTATAACGGATACTCGCGTGCAGGAGCATCGACCCCACACATGCCCACTCACGCCCCACAGGCGAGCCCCGGACCGTACAATTATGGTGGCCACTATGCTGGACCCTTTGCTCCACCCCAGCTCCCTCCCGGTTCGATGCCTAGTTTTGAGTATCCCCAGCCCTATGCGACTCCTGTGGACATGTACGCGCACCACGCAATGGGCCCACCAGGATACGGCGCTCACACAGCCCAAAATCCTTACCTGACATCCCCAGCAATGATCAGTAATGCCATAGCACCACCACCCAGCATGCCACCGCCTGGTCAAGGAGTTCCTGAGATCGTTCCCAGCGGTACAGAAGATACTGGCCAAAGCACTAGCTCGTTTGACAAGCAAGTAAGTTCAGTCATCGAGATGACCCAGGACATCTGGAAGCGTACCTCTGGTGTCAAGGACATGCCAAACAGTCTCCGCATCTACATTTTGCTACACCGCGTCATCTCCAAGTTCCATGTGGAGTTCAACCACGAGCCAAATTTGAACCACTTCATTGATGCTCTATCTAATCATGAGATGCCTAAAGCATTAAAGAATGCACCAGGTCTCTCGTGCAAAGCTTGTCAGGTTGGGTCTGCACATCAGCCTCCGGGCTCTTTCTACTCGAAAGCGGAAGAAAGGACGACATACACCGTTTTGGGTCTGTTGTCGCACTTTAGGACGCAACATCTTCCGTACCAGCACTCAAGTTTTGGCCACCCTGTACCGGGCACTGCACTGGATTGGAAGGAAAACATGATCGAGCTTCCTAGTGAACGTTTCATTTCCGGACTAATCCACGCTCCGGGTATGGACGACGAGAAGCTACTAATGATAGCGACCGTCTTTCCGAGCTTGTTTCCCATGCCACTGCCCAAAATCGGTGTGATTGATAGCCACGGATTAGCCTCACCTGCGTCTTCTGGCCCCAAGGATCCAGAAAAGGCCCCAGGCATAGTTGAGGTTTCTCTTGAGACAGCTGCTCCTGCACGTGCCGGCCCCGCGGGCATGATCGCTGCGGATGCAAATGTGGCTCTTCCTCCAAAACCGTTGGAAGCTGGATATGACCCTCTTCGACCAGGTCTCAATACCGAACCGCAGGAAGTACCAGGTGCCATGAATAGGAAACGTTCCTACCGAGACAGTCCGCCTAGTGAGCGTAGACAACACCAGTATCCCGAACCTCGGTACTATGTAGGTGATCTGCAACACTCCAAGCATGTTCATGCAACTGACTTTTCTGTCTGTCAGGTGGCCAGGGATCATTTGGATGATGGCTATCACCGTCCACGAGAGTACGATTATGCTCCAAGCCCCAGAATCGTTCATGCAGGCCCGGCATATGACGACTACCCTGGTCGCCGGACGGCGTTCCGGGAACAGGAGCGATTCTATGGACCACCGGACGAGATTGTCTACGCGCACCCGCGCGAAGGAAGTCATGGTAGCCGGGAATACAGTGCGTATCCTCGGCAGGTACGGTACTATGAAGAAGAGGAGCACCGCCCTGAATACCGGTTTGTGAACGAGCGTCGTTCGCGAGACGACAGCCCTCCTCGAGCACTGTCTGCAGCGGAGCGGTTCCTGGCAGAGAACGAACCTCCACAGCCCTCGTTGGCACAACAGCCAGAGGCAGAACCTGCTACACCAGTGCAGGAGAATGAGAATGGATCACGCTACACTCCTCCACCCACAGATGCTCCTGCGCCAGCCGAGGCCAATGCACCGATTCGTCCGCTCGGGCCACCGCATCCCAGAGCCCCATCTACCGTTTCAAATGGTTCTAGATTTGATGACTACCAACCAAATGGACACCGAATGCCCATGTCTGGACCGGGCGGCCCGCCACGGAGGTCTGGTCCACAGCGTCGACGAGATCGGCCGCATGACCAACGTGGGCCTTCTCGGTACCAGCGGTATATGAGTGTCGCGCGTGACGATCCATACGGTCGTGGGTCGAGCATGAGTCGCTCGCAAAGCAGAAGATACGAGGAGCAACGTCGCCGTATCGATCAACAGGAAACCCCGCAGCCCAATGCCGAACCAGACTACGAGCCAGACTACTCCAGAGAGCATAGCGCTGATCATTCCGTACAAGACGATAGTTTCTTCCCGCCTCCACGTCGTCAGCCCCGGGGCTATGTATCCGTACAAGATCGTCTTCATCCCCATACTCGTGCATACTCGCCTCCCCGATACCGCTACGACGAACCACGCGGCCCGCATTACGTAGACGAGTATGGCCACCCGATCCATGAGTATGAAGTCATTCGAGTACCCAGACACCGCGACCCATATATGCCCCACCAACCTCACCGCTACGAGCCTGAGCCATATAGATATGTGCAGTATGAACGACCACCGCCACAGCGGTATAATAGCCGACACGAAGAGTACATGTACTATGAAGAGAGGGAGAGGCCTATACCGAGGAGGCCAGCGCAGGATGCAGAGAGCGATGTATACGAGCCACCGCCGCCAGAGATCAAGGTAGAGAGCGTGCCTGTACCCATGCCACCTGAGGCATCATGATTGTGCTCTTTAGCATGGCGTTATGAGATTTGTGACGACTTGTAATTCTGGCTTGGATCAATCGACTAATGGAAGTAATTGTTTATAATGGATGGTTCCTTTGAGGGTTGGGCATAATATACTTGCTTCCTGTTCGTTGATTGGTTTTTTCGTGGTCCACCTATGCATGACGGATGGCATGCTGAGTTCATCATGGTGATGTTACACAACGGCAGTGTCTTTCTCTCCCGAGTTGTTATAACAAAGTGTTCTCAAAAGGAGACAGGAATGTGATGACGAGAAACTTTTATTTGGCACGTGTGCCTTCTAGCGGGTATCAGAAAGAAAATGACATATCGAAGAATAGGCGCTGTTCAAGCCGTCGACGGAACCACAGGCTGAACAGAAGAGGTCTCCTCGACACCCTGAGCAGCAGCATCAATCTTGTTCTGCGCAAGTCGCTACAATATGTTAGTCCCAATCTTCCAAACGTCATATGTAAACATACCAGCAAATTCCTCAACAAGACGGCAATCGTAACCTTGCCAATCGCCGGCACATAAATCGACGCCTTCTCCTTGACCTCTGGTGTGAAGTTCTTCTCACTACTAAAATTGATACACGCGGCTCCATCCTTGATCAGCTCCGTCGGCACTTTGAACTTGTCGCCCGGAACACCGCTAATGACCACATCACTGAGTGGCAGGCAGTTTGCCAGCGTCCAACCCGGCTTCTCAACAACCTCATGACGGCGCTTGCGCAACCCAGCACCTCTTGTAAACTCCTGAACATCCGCAATATCAACACTATAAACAGTCGCCCCATCATTCGCCAGCAGCGCCGCCAACGGCCTCCCCACAACCTCACTGCGATTAATCACCGTAATAGTCCGTCCATGCAGGCGATTCCCATACGGCAGAATCGTATTGTAAATCCGCAGATACTCCAGAATCTTGATGACCGCCAGTGGTGTACAAGGCAAGATGCTCTTCTTTGTGTTTTGTGGGTCCAGGAAGCGGATGTTCTGGTACATGTTGAAGATGTAGCGGTGGGAGAGACCCTCGACGTCTTTGTCGATGGAGACGATTTGTTGCAGGTATTGGTCTTGGCGCGAGGAGAAGATTGGGTAGTAGACTATTATTCCTGAGACGGAGGGGTCGGCGTTTGCGGTTAGGAGGGCATCTTCGAGGTTTTCGCGGTCGAGGGTGCGGAGGGAGAAGTCGAAGCCGCTGGTAGGGGTGGTGGGTTAGCTGGGTGTATCTTTTGCCCTGGACTTCCTGGTGTGTTTTTTGGGATCATGGAATGTAGTGGCTTGCTCACTTTTCAACACATGTCTTGCCTGTCCAGTCTGCGTAGACTTTGGCAGCTGGGTCGGAGCTGGCAAGGAAGCCAACGAGTAGCGGTTTCTTGTTGATTTTGCTGAGGCCATCGCGGACTTCTTCCAACAAGCTTTTCGCAATGTTGTTGGCGAGAACGACCTTACAGTTGGGTTTATCGTCAGCCATGGCGGGGTAGATGTCTATGCTAATCCGGGGAAAGGAAGGTTTCGTAGTTGGTAAAGTTTGTGTTTTCCACCCAAAGGAAGAAAAAAGTGAAGTAGCCCTTATAAAAAGTCGCCCAGCCCTCTATATTAGCGGAAACAAGAGAGAGAAATTAATTCCCTCTCCCATCACCTGCAGAAACCCAACTGCCATCCGTAAGCAGCATTTTTTCGCGCGCAAAGCTGCCCCACCATTGGACCCCCGATACCGGCCAATCAGCAGCCCCGCAACTCCGTAACGTCATACGCGGGAGTTTGACGGGTGATGCGGGACGTGGATTTGTTGCGCATCTTTGTGAATTCTTTACGGTGTTCTTTCACGAATCGACGGTTACCTGGTATCGATTTGCATAATCACACTCCCGGGACCAAACAACCCTCCCTGGCTCTGGATACGTGAATATGTCAGATATTCAGCAGTATCTGCTTGACTTTGATAGGAGCAAGAAGGAGGCTACTGCGACTGCGAAACAGAGCGCGACGCGTATGTACGAGGCGGGAGCACGCGCGGGTTGTGGGGAGACGTTGCTGATTGTGGGGTAGGGCTCGAGGATGGCAAGTTGAAGCTTGTTAGTCTGGTTACGGACCTGGGTGAATATCTGAATAGTGAGGATGGGGCGATTAGGGCGAAGAGTATGTGAATTGGGAGATGAGATGGAATTGGCGTTTTGCTAATGATAAGTGCAGCGATGTCGTACCTCGCCGAGGTGCTAGAGCAGACTTCACCGAAGGTCTTGTCTTTACAACAGCGTACGTACCTTTAGAGGAGTCGTCGTATCGGCGGACCGAACACACAAGCCCAAGACAGATATAAAGGGACAAAATAGGAGTATAGGGTGGCATTATGACTGGACTGACTGTAACTAGGAAATTTACTATGCGACTTTACCGTCTCCCGAACCGAAGACAGCGAAGGCCTAGGATCATGTGCGACAGCGCTGTTAGCCCTCGAGAACCTCGGAAAGTGGGACGACCAACGGGTTGTCAGCATCGTGGAAGCGCTCCTGAACAACACACATCCTCTCCGCCAATACAAACAACAGAGCGAAAGATACCCGGTGTTGAGACTTATCGATAGGCTCATGGCCAAGTACAGGGACATTCTACAAGCCCACCACGATGCAACGCCCGGCTTCATGGAGCGCTTTATATCATATTTTGACGGAGAGAAGGATCCTCGGAATCTGATGGTAGTATTCTCAATTCTACGAGTGCCCATGGCAGAGTGGAATATTGGCGCAGATGCACAAAATCTTTTTGATGCTGTATTCAACTACTTTCCCATTACCTTCCGGCCACCTCCCGATGACCCGTACGGCATCACTGCTCAGGACCTCAAGGATCGTTTGCGCGACTGCATATCTTCTACGGCCGACTTTGCGCCATATGCCTTCCCTGCGCTGCTAGATAAGCTTGACTCAACGTCGATGAACACCAAGCGAGACGTGCTATCGGCAATCACCGCATCGGTAAACGGATATGGTCCACGGACGGTGTCTTTATATGCTGTTACGTTATGGGATGCACTAAAGTTTGAAGTGCTCAACGTACAAGAGGAGGATCTTGCTAAAGAGGCTCTGGCGGCTTTGGCTGCTATCGCGAGAACGCTGTCGCAGGGTACACCAGGGTCCCTCCAGGCTTACTTGAAACCAATCATCAAAGAATGCAACGAGCACTTAGAAGACGCGCCGACGAAGCAGTCGCAAGCCTCCGCGCGGTTCTTGGAGAGTATCGCAAATGTGTCTCCGGATGTCACCAGCATTCTGCTAGCTGGAGTTCTGCCAAATCTCTTTCTCCTGTTCCAGACAGCAGATACCATGCAAAAGCGCCGAGGCTTGCTTGAGGTCCTTGTTCAACTCATCAAAGCGAACATTGATGTCTACGGCGACTGGAGAAAGATGGGTCCTGGTGGAGAGCAAGTTGGGAAAAACGCCCTTCTCCAATTCCGAGACCAAGCGCTGGAGGTAATGGTGAATGGACTGGAGACTGCTCCGAGTAAGGAGGTATCGTTTCGACTTGTATGTCTTGGCGGTTTGATACAGCTATCAAAGGCTCGCGGACTGCTTAGCGACGAGGATGTCGGCAGGATTATCCAGTTATTGCATTCCATCGTCATCCACGAGGAATCGTACGGGAAAGACGAGGTCAAAGGAGCAGCCATCAACGGTATCGTTGAGATCGCTCATCAGAAACCACAAGTCGTCGTCGATAAAGCATTCCCAGCGTTCCTAGCCCAACTTCCTGACACAGACGCAAATGGATCGGATGGCTACATGGCCGTGCTCGAAGCTTTCGCTAAGCTCGCCAGCGAGGAGCAGGTATTTGACACAGTCATACTACGACTCAAGAACAAGTTCAGTGCAGCGGTACAGCAAGGTGCTTCGTCCAAGTATATTGTTGCACTCCTCTCGGCCATGTTATATGCGCTCAAGAAGGGCGAGAACAAGCTGTCCCAGAGCTCGGACACCTCGACGTACTACAACGATATAGCCCTCCCGCTGATTCAGCGTGCGTCAAGCTCCGATACGACCCATCCTGTCGCATTCAACAATGAGATGACGCTGGATCTCGTCGGTCGCATATGCAACTTAATCATCAGATATCTGCCCACTGACCAGCAGAACAGTATCGCTTCGGAGTTGTACACACTGTTCCGTGGCACACCACAAGCCGAACTCCCACCTTTCAACACCAATGCAAGTGTCGAAAGCAACAGAACGATGATTGTGTCGACTCATCTACTCGCCTCTTTCCGCAAAGATACAACTCTTCCTTGCGAGCTCCAGCTACTAATAACATCCCTCGCAAACTATGCACAGCAACCCGCGCTATCACCACTGGTTCGATCAACCTCTCTTCGCCAGATGTCGCTCGTAATCAACAAATACTACACTCCCGCCGCCCTCAAAACATGCATGGACCCCCTCATTGCCGAGTTCGACCTTCTAAACCCCGAAAAGCTCGACCTACCCAGAATACGAATCATCTTCGCCTGCCTCCGGGGAATAGTCCTCAGAAGCAGCGCCGTACTAAACACACTCTACCCAACCCTCCTCTCACTCCTCTCCCACCCGCAATACGGCATCACCGTCGCCCAAGGCTTCACAACCCTCCTCCAACCAGACGACCTCCTCACAAAAGAAAATCACTGTCAGATCCTCGGTCTGCACAAGCACAAGACTTTTGCTCTCTTGGTGCCAAACATCACATCCGCGTTCAAAGACGCAGACGCAGAGACTAAACCAAACTACCTCATCGCTCTCAGCGGAGCACTCCGATGGATGCCCTTTGACATTGTCGTCGAAGAAGTCGGACAACTCGTGACCTTACTCCTCCAATCTCTCGATCTCAAGGGCGTGGATATCGTAAAAGAAGCTGCAATCGGCACGCTGATTTCTACCCTCCGCGAGAAACATGAGGTGCTCGAGGAACATACCGGAGCGCTGATTTCGAGACTGTTGGCTTGTGCTACAAAGGAGAAGAACGGCAAGGGTAAGAAGGAGGGGGCTTCGCCGCCGCCGCCGAGTGTGAGAATAGCTGCGCTCAAGTGTTTGCTATTGGTGGCGGAGAAGTTCTCGGAAGATGTGATTGTGAGGTATAGGAGGGCGGTGTGCAAGGGGCTTGTTGCGGCGTTGGATGATGGGAAGAGAGATGTTAGGAGGGAGGCGGTGAGGTGTAGGGCTAAGTGGTTGATGGCTGATGAGCCGGATGATGATTAGGCGATATGAAGCCAGGGGTGGTGTGAAGTAAGTGTTGTTAGCATAGACACAGATAAACTATGCGAGTCAATACAATAAAGAAATGTTAATCGACTTTTTTCTTTTCGTAGATGCCTAAAGCGCGCTAGATATGAGACGGATTGGTATAGTCTTCTCTCGTTCGTTGCAAACATATGTAAACATGGAAAACGCCGTAGATACCGTTGTAACGCCGCCCCATGCAAGATATACATCTCGAGCTCTTTCTTTTCTCCATCCATCGCATTTGCCCAGCGCAAGATGGGAAGATCAGACCCTCAACTTCTTAGGTGTCTTCTCCTCATCGTCAGCCTCACTCGCCGTATCCTCCACACCCACCTCCTCATCTTCCTTCTCGCCCCTCGAACGCTTCAGTCCCTTCATCTTCCTCGTCTGCAAGTTGCCAAAGTCCTGCTTACCCACATGCACCTTACCGGTACGATCACCCATGGCATCCATATCGATATTCTTCTTGGTCCTAGGTTCCGCGCCCTTTGGCTTCTTCAGCGCCTGCTTCATCATATCAGGGTCTGGGAACATTTCGCGACCAAGTGTGAAATCCATGCGCGGCCCCATCTCCTCGACTTCAATGCGCGGCAGTCTCTGACCCGAGCGCTTGGTGCGGAGGAGGTAGCAGCGCAGTTTGATCTCGGGTTTTGGCAGCGCGTCTGTGGGTTCCTCTGCGGAGAAGGAGATTAGGTATTGCAAGCCTTCGACGTCGATTTCCGTGGCGTCTTGGCCCTTGAACATGTCGATGAAGAGAGATTTGGCAAGCGTGTACTTTGTCTGCGTGGGGTCTTCGAAGACGGTGCCGTGGAAGCTGAGGAGCGGCTTCAGTCCAATCGACGGCTTCTTGTTCTTGAATTGCTGTAGCGTGCGGAAGGTGTCGGGGTTGATGTAGAGCTCGAGCATGTCGAGGAGCTTGTAGGAGAATGTTCGGGCGAGCGTGAGGCAGTGCGGGCGCTTCTTGGAGTGCAGCGATAGCACGAGGAGGGAAGTATCGTTCTTTTGGGCGAAGAACTCGAGCGAGGAGGCGTCATCGAAGGGGTGGATGTCGTTTTTCTTGGTGAAGCGCTCGACGAAGGGGTTCTTGAGAATGACGAGGTCGGCGACGGCGAGTTTGAGGATTTGAGAGGTGCGCTGGCCCGGGACGAAGAGCGTCGTCTTGGGGTTCTCGTGTTGTTGCGGCTCGCGCTTTGCCATTGCGCGCTTTGCGCGGGCATTCTTGGGTTTGCTGAATTATGCTGTTAGAATCGCATGCATTATTAGTAGGTAGGAATCAGCATCAACTTACGCCTGCTTCAACATTTTGTCGTTGTTCTGCTGCTCAAATGTTGATCCTGGTCGAAATCTTGGCTAACACAAAAAAGTTCCAGAGATAGTCGATGCCGGGGAAACTATTAGCCGGACCACGGACATGATATCCCGGTAACCTCCGGCATAGCGGGGTGGTTCCGCAATTCGGCCTCTGACGTGATTCTGGTTCGTCTTTTTTGCAGCGCGGTGACTACATCAATTCACATTGAATGATACTAGAAAGTTCGACTTGAAGTTCGAAGTACCGCAACACCACGCAGACATCTATCCGACAGCCATGGCGTCCATGCAGGAGATAACGGATGAGTCCGTGTTCCAATCGACCATCACTGCCCTCCCCGCTTCCACACTCGCCGTCATATACTTCCACGCGCCATGGGCAAAGCCATGCGAGCAAATGTCCGTCATCCTCAAGACACTCGCCAGCACATACACGGCCGACGCCCCAATAACGTTCCTCTCGCTCAACGCCGAAGAATTACCTGAGGTCTCCGAGGCCTACGACGTCACAGCGGTACCTTACATAGTCCTGCAAAAAGACGGCAAGACCCTAGAAACAGTCTCTGGCTCAGACGCATCAAAAGTACGAGCAGCGGTGGAGAAATACGCCGGCGCCGGCAACGGTTCAGCATCGAGTTTACCACCCGCGCAAACCGTCACACCACGAGCAGAAAACGGCACAGATAGCACAGGCAAGAACCTCGCAGGTTACGCGCCTTCCGCACAAGACCCCAAGACCGCGCCCGAATACAGCGGTAGCGAACACCAACAGGGCGAGCAGCAGACGAACAAGGATGAGCTACACCAGCGGCTATCAGAGCTGGTCAAAGCAGCTCCTGTTATGCTGTTCATGAAGGGCACACCGAGCGCGCCACAGTGCGGGTTTAGCAGACAGACTGTGGCTATTCTGCGCGAGAAGGGCATTAGGTATGGCTTCTTTAACATTTTGGCCGACGACGAGGTCAGGCAGGGGTTGAAGGAGTTTGCGGATTGGCCGACTTTCCCGCAGTTGTGGGCAGATGGGGAGTTGGTGGGTGGTCTTGATATTGTGAGTATACCCCCTTTTAGTCACACGAGATGATGAGCATGCGCTAATATTGTTCAGGTCAGGGAAGAATTCGAAAACGACCCAGAGTTCCTGTCACAGTACGCCGCAAACGCGCCCAAGACAGCGGCTTGAGTTGCTACTTTCCTTTCACTGCCGACACTAAGGTCATATGCTTGGCTACCTTTCAGTTCCAAACGAGCTATGTGGAAGATACATTGATGATGGGATTTTTTCGGACTTGGACTTGACGAAAATCAGGGATACAGGGTTTATCTAGCTATATCTCCTCCTCCTCCTCCTCCTCCTCCTTCTTCTTCTTCTCTTCCCAGTATAAATTAATATCTTTTTGCTTGGCAAATATCAGTCTCTTGACTTATGTGCCACCCACAGTCCTATTTTACCTATCCAGCACTATACTTGAATGAGGTCTATCAAAACGAAGGAGATCCAAATGCAAAGGTCGTAGCGTTGGGCTTGAAACTACGGCCTTGGGGCAAGTTCCGTCTTCTCTAGGTAATGCTTGGCCATGGCATCATGATTCCATATCATTTACTCATTGCCTAAAATTGACAGAGAAACCTGCATATTCTACTGGTCAATCTTGTTAGCCTCCGTAACTCTTTTAAGATATACACTTAGTATACCTGTTTGTTATCACCAAGCGGAAACAAACATCAACCGATCAGACCGTCGTGCTATGTGTGCTGGACTAACACAAGGGCTGATTCTCGAACTTTGCGGAGTAGGCACGTTGGAAACTGGTGAAACTACAACAATTATTATACACGTTCACAGAATCTACACTCTATTCGAGATTAACGGGTATTTCGGAGGTATCAAAATGCAGCTCACAGTTCCTAGGAAGTTAGTGAGGGATGTTCGGTATTCCGAGGGTGCAGTGCGACACCATTCTTCAGTGAGGGATGGCCGTGTGGGTTACATACGTGGGTACTATGAGACAGCGGTTAGGAAAGCTCAGACTATTTTTGTTTGGGGACTTATTTACGGGGAAGTGGTTGGCGGGGTAGAGGAGGCGTTTTGGCTATAAATCATTAAGCAAGTACTCATACACTGAAACATCCACTCACTCATACCCAGCCACTGCTGCTGCTGCCTCACTCTAATCCCCGATAGGCTTTGATACCCATCGCTGCGTGGTTTCGAAAGTGGGGAGTAATCTTCGCATTGGTTCAGTGGGATTTCTGAGCCAGCGAACGCTGAGAGTTTGGTTTTTCTGATGACCATGGCGTGGGCTTATGCTAAGGAGGCAATGAGTGCAGTGGTGGTGAGCTGGGTGCTGTAGAGCTCGGTGTAGGATTTGTTGCCTAGGGCTTTTGAGACATTGGCGATCTGTATGTCATTTCGTAGGGTTAGGGATAGTTTGGTCGTCGAGAGGGAGGACAGCGGCGAGGAATGCAGTAATTCGTCTTTGTTTGCACGCCTAGTTGTGTGGCGAATTATCGGCCTCCTGGTAGTGAGATGTGTAACAAAAGTACCGTTGTAGGGCTTTGATAGGAATGCCATGCGATGGGGTGGGGTATCGTAGGAACCGGCGCTAACTTGTTGGGTTGTTAGACGATAAGGACACCAGCAGATGTGAAATCGAGGCTGAAGACGTCATCTTTAGTTGCAAACCTAGTGTACTTTTTCATGATGAAGTTTTTGAAGATCGGGAGTTTCTCGAGATTATGGACAACTATAGGATCAGGCAATGTACCAGGTATAGGTACTGCGAGAGGTAGTCCATACTCGGTGGACAATTTAGCATATCCAGTCTGGATTATTTTGTCTCGAACCAAGTACTTTCCAGAGCCAATGTGCACGGTCCAGCATTGACGGATTGACGGTGACGAGCATATAGTGGTACGAACTGACTGGAGGGCGTGGCCGACTAGCGGGTCAAGATTGATAAGATTTTACTGAGAGGGGTATCAGAAAGCAGATAGGAAAGCAACTGTTTTCATTCAACATACCTATATAAGTAGCATCTTCTTATTATATTTCTATATCAGGCCGTTACGCAAATTACAATAACGAAAAAACAACAACAGTCAGTTACATATATATCCACCCAACATGCACACCATCATCCTCATTCAACAGTATGTTCCGCCGCCAACCGCGGCAACGTCCCACGGGAATGAATCGTTTCAGAAAGTCCCATCGGGCGCTCATCCAACAGCCTTCCATCATTTTCTTCGTCAACCTTGCGAAACCCATCTTGAACCAATCCCCTACGAGGGTCCTTGTGCTTGTCGATCTTGGCACTCTTCCTACGAGCACTGACCGGAGATGGGAACGCAGTACCATCACTCAGTACCATGGCGGGAGGTGGAGGTGGAGGAGCCTGGCGCGGTAGCTCGAGAGATTTGCTGTCTCCTGACTCGTTGGTAGCCATGCGGTCAACTATCGGTTTCTGGGATGTCGCAGTTGGTGCGTCGCTATCGCCGCGGGAGTGGTGTGAGCTTGTCGCATTCATTTTACGCCTGCGCAAGAACAAGGCTAAGCCGACGAGTAGAAGTGTGCCGATGACGGCTCCGACGATGCCTCCAGCTAGAACAGCGACTGGGGACTTTGCTTTTGCGCCAGGTAGGACGCGACACACTTGTTTTACTTTTGCGTCTGCGCCCTTGGGGTCGGCTTTGGCAACCACGGCTGGTGCGAGCTGGAAGGTTTTTGCGTCGGGGTCGACGATGAGGTAGTTCTGGGTGAAGAAGGGGAGGCCTAGGGTTCCGATGGTGAGGGATTCTGTTTGGTTTGTCACGGCCATGTTGTATACTGTTGCGTTGTCCACTTCAAATACTCCTGCAGCGTTGTATGCTCGGGGTCGGCTGTACAGCTCAGTCACTGGAATGACGGACTTGTACGAAGCGACTGAAGGCTTTGATGCATCACCGCCGGGTTTGCCCATGTCGGATAGCGTGATGGTGATGGTGCCTGCCGGAGCGGGAGTGGTGGGGAGCTCAAAATGGCGTGAAGTTTCGTTCCAAACGGCAGTCTTCTCAGCAGCAGCAAGGTTTTGCAGCATGGCAGCAGGAAGCTTGAGGTCCGAGGAAAAGGGATCCAAGTGTACGACAAGCGTGTCTGTTGCGGCTGTGAAAAGGGTCGTACTCTTGCCGCCAACATCGTAAGTGATAGCAGTGAGAATGGCGCATGTTGGGCAGTCTGAAAACATAGGGAACGCGGTCGCGGGACTTTTGAGGCGGCTTTCGTCGTAGCCACCGACGATGAGTAGGCCATCTTGTGGTGTTTCTTCGGATTCCGATCCAGCCCATAATCCATATGTCCGAGATGAAGCCTGTCCAGAGTCGACAAGGAAGTTTAGAAAACTGGAGTCCATTCCCAAGGGCAGAGTCGCTCGATAGCTTGGCTCATCTTTCTTGAAAGCGTCTGCGCTTGCTGAGGCGCGTCAGTTTCGTGTACCTATACTGACCAGCTGCGAACTCACTGTCGGTAGACCCATTGGTATACATGGGAAATTTAGGGAACTTGTTGGTGGCGGGCTTGAGACCAAAAGCCGCAGTATCATCGAAAAAGATGTATGAGCTTGCTGAAGCTAGATCCACGGACTCTCTGCTGCCGGTCCATACTGCGTAGTTTACCTCTGCAAACGAAGTCGAAGTTGCACTCGCGTAGACACCACCAAGCTGACCGATACAGCTGGTGTTCGTGGCTGCTCCGCACTCTGCGGCATTGTTGATGAAAAGGTTGTTGGAAAGTGTCGATGGTGTCAAGGAAAACGGCTGTGGAGGAGTGCCAATAGCGAATGATATGCCCCTGGAAAGGATGCTGCCGGCTGCGGAGACTGAGTTGTTTGCCCAGGGCAAGAGCAATGGTACAGAACCATTTGGGCAAGCCATCGCTACCACAAGTGCCCTCCCAGAAGGCAGAATCTGAAGTTGCGTGAATTTGACAGCATGAGCCTTGTCCAGGCCATGTTCCAAGTTTGGGATCAGTCATCACCGCCCTTGATATCAACATACATGGTCGCGTAAATCAGGGGATGATCTCCAGGGCTAATGCATGGTTACCTGGGCTCTTAGATCGGGCGTCGATGCTGGGGTCGAGAATTCATGTAAGGAACAAAGCCTTATTAGGCTAGTCTCATGGTCTGAGGTCATGCCTAGGTATATTTCACCAGTCTCCATGCTTCAACGACTTCAACTCTCTTTTTCCGAGACCGAGAAAAGAAGTCCTGTCTCTAACATCCGGAACATCTTGCGCTGGGCATTATCGTCTTCCAGAAAGTTCATGACGTCATTGTTTAGCTGCGTCTAGACTTGATTTACTGAGCCCGCGAGTCGTCCTCATCTCAACTTCCAAGGAATGTCGCCGTTCATGCCGCAATAACTCTCACACAACGGGCCTTTTGCGGGGGCGTGAAGGTATCGAACATGTTAAATTCGGACCGTATAAACGTCGCAACAGTTTGAGCCACGCGATGTCCCGTATATCGAGCCAATCAACGCTTTCAAACGCACTAGCGCCTGTCGGGGGAGAAACCTCGCTTCTGCAACCCTTTCGCGGATCCCCTTCGCGGCTGTGACATCTTCGCCGACTGCGTGCCCAACCTTGGAACCTTGCAACCCAAGTATGCACCCAATTTTTGCCTCCCGTTCCGCCCGCAGCGAAAAAAAAACTTTCATCACGCCAGAGGACCTGGTGCTGGCACGCCTTGGGCTTTGATCGCTGTGCTTATCGGCAGTTGTACTTCTTGACGTCCAATCACGTATCGAAGTACTTTCGGCTGAGGGCGTTTCCGTGCTTATGTTGGCTCAAGCTACGGTTACCGTACCAAGCCCTCTTGTCTCGTAGCGAGAAATTCTGCCGAAGACGTCACTTGGGCGACCTCGGTTACTCCGAACAGCCCTCGTGTTCGAAGCATAACTACGCGGTGATAGTTGCGAGCGGGAACGTTAGAGTACCCTTGACAACGTGTCCGTAATAACGGACACGTCGGAGTAGTCAATCTTTATCGCTTGACTAGGAAGACTAAAAAGACTAGAAAGGTCTACATGCTGAAAGAACTCCAGACAGTATGAGCAAGCTTTCGCATGTTTCTAGAGCGGTCCAGACATGGTTGTCCTTGATATCGATATCACAGTCAGATCTTGACGCCATAATGGCATTCCAAGCGAATTGCTCATACAACTTCGATCGACCGAAGTGACAGACAGGATCATCGTCGTGGATCTGCTTACAGACCGTCGCTACCCCTTGAACAGCGATCATTACCACAGGCGAGGGAGTACGTTCAGCCTCATTTTGTAGCTCTCCTTGGCCTCGTATTCACTCTCAGTTACGAGGTCTTTCCCTGACGCTCCAGCTTGGCGACCGCCGGCCCATTTACTTCCCGTGAAGCACGCTCATAGTTCGCTTAGTAGACATTCACGAACTTACAAGATCCAATTTCGTCGCTTGAGAGATATATCATGGGTCGCAGAGAAGCGCTTGATGGGTGACAAACAACTAGATAGGCCTAATATCGCTGAGATTAGTACCTTGTCGTCTCCTTGGTAAGCTGAGGTGAGGAGCTACTGCTCTGATTTCTACGCTGTCTTCTTCAAAGTCTTCACGCGCATCAAATAAAAAGACTGTCATTGTTGTTATGGATTAATCATTCTGTACGCCTGTGTTCCTATGTTGAACCCACTCATGTATGAAAAGACAAAGAGAACAGTCTGGAACAGATACAAAAGGTGGTATTTGCGACTAAGACGGAAAGGTGCTGTCTAAGCAGAGAGGAATCTTAGCTTCTATTCCTCGAAGTTGCGGTGATGGCCATCACTATGGAAACGTGGAAAGGTCCATTTGAGACGACGTGGTCGTGAGGCTGAGTTGCTGATCGGGTGTCTGGTTATCCTGGCGACTTTGATACTGCTGCCAAAGAAGCTCAACGTGTCGCTTTGTAGCCATGTGGCCGTTCATTTCAGCAAATCGCTTAGCGCGCTCGTATTGACTTTCAGGAGGTTCTCCGACTGTGAGTTCAAGTTGGACGCCCCGCTGCATCAGGAGCGATAGGACATCATAACGAGCCCATTCTGCTGCTGCTTCGAATGCAGTGCGTCCATCGCCCCGAGATGGCGGGTAATTTGGGTCGACTTTTAGGTCGAGCAGGTATCTGACAATCCCACAGTACCCGTTCATGGCGGCTAGTTGCAATGCAGTGCCACTGGAGTGCGCAGGAGTTGCATTAATTTCTACACCCTGACTGATCAGATATTGCACGATTTCCATACTACCAACTTCTGCGGCCCTTTGCAGAGGCGTCCGGAAAATACCCATTGAACGCTTGTAGGATATCTCAGCACCCGCTTCCACGAGTAGCCTGGCTATCGTGAGGTTTTTTATGTCGATAGCGGCCAGGAGTGGAGTTACTCGTCCGAGGACCCAACTATCGTTTTGCACTGGCGACTGTAATCCGCTTGTCGAGATACAAGCGTTCGGACTCGCACCATGTTGTAGCAGCATCTCCACCAGTTGATAATCCTGCACTTTAATAGCCTGTCCCAAGGGGCTAATGGGTTCCTCACTTTTATCCGCCAAGTGTTCCTGTGTCGACAATTCGATTGAGTCGGTCTTCACACTTCCACAGAGAATTCCTATCATCGTGGGATCACGGTGCTGCATAGCTTGCCGGAGTGCTGCAGAACCATAGTTATGTTGTGTTGAGAAGCCTTGGCTTTGTGGAGCATCTAACAGGAGGCGAATTGTATCGATCTCTGCTTTGAATTTCACTGCCCGCAATAGTGCCATAGAATCTGCAGTTGTGCTGCCCTTAGTGAGAAGAAAGCGAACCCACTCTCGGAGGTTTCTTTCAGCTGCGACAGCTAGTAGAGATGGGAAGATCTTAAAAGTCCAGAGAGGCGTTCCATCTTTTCTGAAGCTATCGCACCAGACTGGAACTTTCCGAAGTTTTTTTTCAAATGAATCCTCATAGGAGAGCTCACCGGAGTCCATACCAAGTTGGAATAGCCATTGACAAAGATCAAAATCGTTCATCGTCATGGCGTAAAAAGCGAGGACCCGGAAACAAAGTTGTTGCCTGCCGCCCTCAAGGGGAACGCAATCAACATACGGAAGATCCATGCTTTGAAAAATGAAGAATCCCAAGGTGCCAAAGTCTCGGCTTGATTTGTCATTCCCCAAAGCTAGATGCCACTGAGGTTCTTCCTGTAGAAGTGCGCCGACTGCTGCAATGTGACCACTCTCTAGGAGGGTCAATACCTGCCACTTCATATCATATCCGCGAGCCTTCATCTCCTGAATGATTTCTATGGATATCCGAGGTACGCCATCACTGGTGTCGAGCTCAATGAGGGTTGATGCGTATTTTTCCCACGGGTCTTCATGGGGAAATTGTTTCAGATATGTCCAGGCTTTTTTCGGATTTCCCTCCGTAATGGCCTCCCTGATGGCGCCCTCGCTGACCCGCCCGGCTTCTCCCAAAGGATTGGCCTCCAATTCTCCCTCTTCACTGTATGTACTATTCATTTTCGGGTCTCCAAAGACCACGAAGGTTGCGGCCAAATGCCAGTCTTCTTTTTCGCAACATTCTCTGACCGCATTCGCTTGATAGCCTAAGTTTTCATGGAAAACTAAGTCGGTGTTGGAAGCATATCCTAGAGAATACAATGCTTCCAAAATCACTGGGACGACGGATGTGTTTTTCCTCGCACCTGTTTTCAAGGCGCTCAATAGTGCTGATCTGAGGCTCAGATCTCCAGGTGGAAAGTCTTTTCTAAGATTGTCGAAAATATATCGCACTGCTATGACTGAATCTGGCCAGGAACTGCTGGCACAATGTACCAGCCACCCTGCCTGAATCGATGGCGTAAGATTTGATGTCATAGTGGCCTCGTGGAGTTGCTGGGAAGATTGTAAGCTGTCGACCCAGCGCAAACACTTCTCTGTAGGACGAGCTCCGGCCTCAAGCGTGATACATATCAGTTCTCTCCTTCCTGGATTTGACATATAGTGAGATCCCTCCGTGTCCTTCCATATATACTTCTCAGTCAAGACATGCTTCAACAGCTCATCCGGGCATGATCCAGCCGCATCTTTACACATGTGTGTCAGGATTGTCTTAGCAACAGGTAAATCTCCTGCAGCCACTGCATACTCGAGAGAACAGATTGCTTTTGGTGTGGACTCTTGGTCCATCATGGTTTCTTCAGATGGATCCACGTTCAGTTCCAGCATGGCCGACACAAGGCCCACCTTTCCAGCCTTGACAGCGGCAACAAACAATCGCTCTCTAAGAGCATCGAAAACTGGGGTTGGTAGATTCTTTAGAATTTGTGACAAGGTATCCAGTGACAATGATCCAAACACAGCACAGGCGTTGTTTGAGTTTACATTTCCAGATAGCGGCATGTTGTTGACAAGTGCGGTGATAGCATACAATGGGTCTATAATGTCTTCGTTTGGAAGCGACAGGGTCGTCAAGGTCTCTGGTCTTGGACAGAATATGGCATCGAGCTGATTCTTGGGGGTCCGTTTCCAAGTCGTCAACTGCTGCGATTCAGACATCTTCCGCGCGAGCAGATCCAAATTGATAGCTTGTATCCAAGAGAATTGAATCTCCTGTGATATAGAAGCGATAGGCCTATGGTTGTAACCAGACTTGTCAACAATCAAGCGGCTTGCAAGCGCTTGATTGATAGCTTGATAACTATCAATCCCATCAAGTCAAGCTCGCTTATAATAATTTTTTAGCAATCTAAGCTAAGGAGGGTTAGCTTAATTATTCAGCTTAATGGGCTTGATTAAGGTAGCGCGTGAGGCTACTCGTTTTGCAGCAGGAGCGATTTTACGATAGGTTTTTAGTGTTGTAGTCGTCGCAGTACTAGTACGTTATTAGCCTAACTTCTACAACCTACTATTACGTTACTTTTTTTGCTTCCGTCGCCCTTCTTATATTTCCACCGCTATGCCTCCTACGAAACACGCCTCTGATAACCTTACTCGCCTAAAAAAACGCGTTAAATCGTCCACCGCCCACAGCACTGTTAGCTAGCCTATAGCCGTTAATAGTTAGCTATCGCCTCGCAAAGCTCTCGTAGAGGCGTCCTAGGCTTTAACTTTTAAGTCGCAACTACGCGAGTCGCGGCCTAAAGACGCTATCGTCGCGCCTACTAAGGGCAGCGAGAGGGTAACAGCAGCCTCGTCGGCAGCAGCCCTAGACAATAAGACCTTGTAAGAGGCTCTAGACGCGAGCCTTATAGACAACTTTAAGGGAATTAATTAAGGGCGTTTACGTATATATATAAAGCCGCTCTCGTCGCAGAAGTCGCGTAAGAGCTAGATCTATTACTATAGCTACCGCGTTGCGCTGCTAAAGGACCTAAGTAAGCTATACTTCGTGTGCCGTTACTGCTACGAGCATAAGTACATAGATACCGGCGTCGGGATATATAAGACGACGCTCTTAACGTCGTTAGCGCAGCGACACTTAGAGCTGCCTAAGCGCGGCTATAGCTATAGCAAGTTGGCCGTCGCTGTAAAACCTACCTAGCTACAACGTCTGCTTAAGGACGGTAATAACAGCGTATCACAGAAGGTCGCTAATAAGATCGCTAGCTTTAATACCTAGCGCTTCTAGCTAGCAGCTGTTAGCTAGCTTATTAAGAATAATTACCCTCTCTCTAAGTTTAAAACACTAGCTTTTTAACGCCTCTTTAAAGCTGCTAACCTACTAGCAGAACAAGCGCTCTAGACGTCTTATATAAGCGTCTCCTAGTACGTTGCGCGCTTATATAAGTACCTAAAGCCGCGCGTTATCTTGCAACTATCGCAGGCGCTCAGCAAAGTACACCTTAGCTTTAATAGATAGACGACTAAGGGCGGCAAGCGTGGCTTTCTAGGCGTCGTTGCGCACTTTGTCGACAGCAGAGGCGACCTATAGGACTTACCTATAGCGCTGCCCTAGCTAGCAGGCGCTTATAGTAGCGAGAGGATAGCTAAGGTTGTTATAAAAACGCTGCAGGACTTTAAGATTACGTTGTAGTTAATTAGTTACTTTGTACTTAATAACGCCCCTAATAATAATAGTACTATTACAATATTAGCTTAAAAGTACAGTTTTAATGCCACCTACCGGCGCCTCCGCTGCGGACCTTACACGCTCAACCTTATTAGCCAAACGCTCTTTTAGGGCAAGGGTAGCGCCGCCTTGTTCGACAACGACGTATAAGAGCTCACCGACGAGCACGACTTTATAGAGGAGTAGAGACGCGTAGGCCTACTTAGCGTACTGCTTAGTATTATAAACTACATTAAAACGCCACAATAGCATAAGCTCTTCAAGGACTTCTAGTGCCTCGCCTACACTAAGCTGCTGTCTAGCGCGTTAGCTAACGATCGCAAGATCCTTAAGCCTGTTAAACCCGTTGTTACGCGGTAGAACTCGTACTACTTATGCTTTAAGCGTGCCGTAAAGCTGCAGTTTGCAGTTAACGCCTACGCTACTCACTATATACAGCGGGTGCAAAGGGAGGACACGTTTACGCAAAGTCGCGGCAATAAGCTGCTAGTTGCGCAGCCGTAGATGCGATTAGACGGCCTTACAGGTGCTAATTAGGCAGTAATTATAGAGTATATAGACATCCTAAAACCGCTTAAGACTACTATAAAGCGCCTCGAAGGGCGTGGTAAAAGCGGCAGCTTTAGGGCTATTGCTAAGATAATTCTAATATTCGAATACCTCCTTACCTACTACGAGCAGCGCGTTAACGCGTATAAGGCGGTTAACTACAACGAGCACAATAAGTTACCTAAGGATTATATTATAATTAACTTGCGCGCAGCTTAGCAGAAGGCCGATAACTACTACTCTAAGCTAGACGACTCGCCCGCGTACTACGCTGCTACAATACTCTATCCGATGTACAAGTACTACTGCGATAAGGCGTAGGCTAGGAAGCCTAACTGGCTCGAGGCTAGCAACGCTAGCTTTTAGGCGCTCTAGGCGCAGTACAACACCTTACCGCGCGCGGTAAGGCTGTCGGCAGTGATCCTAAGCGATATAGACGACGCAATCGATAGTATACTTAATCCTAGTACTACTAGCAGCCTTACTAATAACGAAGATAAGTTTAAGAGGTAGAAGCGCAGCGAGCTAGCAGCTAAGAGAGGTATAGAACACGCAGATAACCCTATTAAGTACTAGGTGAGCATGCGCGATTGCTACCCTAGCCTTAGTAAGCTTGCGCTTGACGTACTCTCTATCCTAGCGTTAAGCTGTGAGTGTGAGCGCCTGTTTAGTGAGCTAGGCGACCTGTTAGAGCCGCGACGACGACGTCTAGGACCTCAACTTCTAGCGGCAATACAGTGCGTACGACGGTGGCAAAGAGCTAGCCTTAGAGGCGACGACGAAGTAGTAGAGGAGGAGGCAGCAGATGACGACAATATAGAGCTTTTGTGCGGGCTAGCGACTTAGGACGACGAAACTTAACACTAAGGCTAGCGCTAGTACAGGTTATTAAGCCGATTAATTAAGCCTTAATTAAGCTTACAATCTCAGCTTGTTAGCCCTAACAATCCAAGCTGACGCTCTCAAAAAACGAGCAATCCAATCTGACGCCTCAGCTTGGATTGGCTTGATTGTTGACAACTATGGTTGTAACGAGCTGAAGTTCGAAATGAAAGCCTTGGGGTTATCTCTAGCGATTCTGCCCCCTCGAGAGCTGCAGACGGGATCGGAAGCGATGGTAGGGTTACAGGAGGAACCAGCACGACACCGAGACCGTTCGCGTTCTCAGTGCATGGGGCGCTCAATCGGGGTCGGATGATAACGCACTTAGGAAGTTCGCAGTTATCTACGCATGATTAGCAAATGATAAATTATTTAGGATGTCTACGAACATCTATGCCGCTCACTCGTTAGGTCTGCCGCTAGACCACGTCGTGCAATCTCCCGGAGGGTTCTCTCGTGAGGAAGCATGATACCCTGTAACAACACTTCAATTCCATTAACAGAAATTGATTCGTTGTTGATGTATCTGATGGCCCTTCGCCATTCTTCATCTGTTAGGTTTTTTCGCACTTTCCATTTCTTAAGCTGTCTCTCGTACTGTGAGCTACTGTTCGAAGTCAGAGCCTAGCTATTAACAATGCGATATTGTTAATACCTAGCGATGAAATTATGGTGCCTCTTCATGTATGCCACAGTTTCGCCTAGTGTTTTCGCTACATATAACCCCTGAATTGTGGAACGGTGCTGATCCCAGATTCGCTCATCGATCCTGATGGCCCTAGAGTCACTGTCCATATCTGCTGTGAAGAAGCGTGAAGGTAGGAAATGCTGCAAGGGAAAAAAGTCATCAGGCTAAGGTGGGTGGATGATTATGAGCCCATCTACTTGACCGGTCAGTTTTAGATCCTAAGGATGCCCATCCACTACATTGTAACACCACAACATGCACTGTGGTTGTGATGGGCCAATTGAAGGACTGTGGCGTATCACTTTTCAGCCGCAATCCTGCTAGCGAATGATGCGAAACCTGCAAAGTCAGCCACTACGAGATTCCGCAAGCCCTGCATGTAAGCAACCAATAGCGTACAGGATACGTCGCGCTAAGGTTCTGTAAGTAAGACCTCCTAGCATAACCAATCATACAAAACCTGTGAGACGAGCCTCCGCGCACTTCGTGGGCCCAATCTCGCAGACTTGGCTACATAGCCGTGCCGATTTTGCAGGAACGATTACTTGAGTGTTTTCCGGGGCCCCTGGAAGAACATCGCCCAATCATGCAAAACCTGAGATACTCCAGTTACAGGATCTTGAAGTCTCAATTCTCGCAGATTCTGCATTTGAGTATGCACATAGCAGATTCTGCATTTCAGAATACACATAGGAGATTATGCATTTCAGTATGCACATATACCATGGCCCAAGTCCGCTCTACCTCCTCAAACGGAATAAAAATTGCTTTAGAGTACCAATCTCTATTGCAAGCCTTCCAGCCATTCAGATTTCCATAACACCGGCACAACCTTGGGAGAGTACCAACCACGAAACCCCCACGAATCAGTCAGTTGTAAGTTTACATCATGTTTCCTTTCTTATGGCTCTTCCCTCATATCGCCTAATTTTGGACATCGGTATGGCTCCCAACAAGTCAAAAGAGCCATAATTTTTGTCATGTGCCCAATGTGCCCGTCTCTAACAGATAATAGACATCACTAGACCGAGCACCAGCATGTCCTGGTCTATCGAAGCAATCATAGCATTCGTGACCCTTATGCTCACTATTTGTGTCCCATTTTTAGTATACGTCTGGCGCAGGTTCAGGTCGCAACGTCAAGCTGAACGTGCACAGCCCGGTAAGCCCTTCAAGTATCCGATACACCCGACCAAGCTTCTGACAAGCACCAGATGTTGAACTCGGCAATCTTTCAGAATCTCCCAGACCCCTTACACCACTTCCACCGGTTCTGTTGAGGCGTGATACAGATTCGCAATATATGGTGGACACTCTGGCGCCTTGGTACGGTCGACCGAACGAGCCCCAAAACTACCGCACCCACACGATTTCGAACGATTGTAGCGACACCCCAGCTCCAAGATCGCATGACCATCTTTACCCTGAGGGGCGTTCGGGAATGGATCTTGGGCATTGGCTCCCTGACGCCGGCGAACACCTGCCATAGCGCAATAAACATCTGGTTATGTATATCATGGAATCGCGCCATGATAATTGTTTGGTTTTTGGTCAAGTTATTCCAAGCGTTTTATTCGAGTTGCGCATAGCGGTCATCTTTTGAGACAATGTTGGAAAGATACCTAACATGGGGGCGTATGGACTAGAATAGACAATATACGCTGTAAGCCACTGTAGACCATAAGCGAGTTACTTCTTCTTATAATCGAGCGGAGATTGATTATACCCGTTTGTCATTTTATTATCGGGTTTCTATTAAACTGGTGGTTGCGGTTGGGCCCCTTCGACAGAAAGGAACCCAGCAGTAAAAGTAAGAGAATGAACTAACTCAAGATCGTAGGTGAGCTGTAAGCTAGTTTATAACAGCACTCCCGGACTTAGAGAGGGAGAGCCTACAATGCACTGCATCCTGCCCTCCCATACAGCGCTCACCCCCACAACTCAATCAATACTTTCACCCTTCAAACCTCCGTCACGCAATCCTCTCCTCCCATACCATCCCTGGCGCTTGTACCTCACACTAAACCTCCTCGGCTCCAATACAAGATCAAAATTCAGTGATTAGGACATATGTACCCAGGTACAGTGCAGTACAGTAGGTTGCCCATGCGCTGTCTTAAAACAAGTAAAGACAGCGAAGCCCGGTTCCATCCATGGCAAGGGGGAGTGCAGGACTCATATATCATGCCCTGCTCAACCAGTGGTGAAAACTCGGGTTTATATAGCAGACACACCACCATAAAAATAGAGGATTGTAAGTTAACTACAAACACAGGGTATCCCGGTCATCGTCTCGTCACCATCTAACAACTACCAAAATCACAGTTTTCCCATTCTCATCGTCGCAGCTTATGCGGATCAATGGTAAGTTCCGTGCTGACTGTATTCTAATCAACATGTACTAAAAGCTTACCACCGTGATCAGACTTTCCAACAAGCAAGTCAAGTCAAGCCGGCTGGCTGGCTCGAGTGGAGCTTGATAAGATGGTGAGCAGCTTGACTTGATCACATAATCAAGCTAAAATAGGTAGCTTGCTTGAGGCTTGACTTGATAGCTTGATAGCCTATACTACAAAAATTCCTAATGTTAAGTCTTATAATCGTCGCCACCCTAGCTGCTAAGGTCGTACAAAAGCTCTATCTCGTCGTCTGTTATCGTTGACTTAGCCGCTACCTCGACGTCGCCTAAGCCAGCTCTTTGCCACCGTCTTACGCACTATGTAGCCGCTAGAAGTTGCGGTTTAATAGCGCGGCGACGCGGCTTAAGGAGGTCGCTAAGCTTACTAAACAGGCGCTCACGCTTACAGCTTAAGGCTAGGATAGAAAGTACGTTAAGCGCGAGCTTGCTAAGGTTAGGGTAGCGCTCGCGCAGCTCTACCTAGTATTTAATAGGGTTGTTTGCGTAATTGCTACCCTTCTCTGCGCGTGGCTCGCTGCGCTTCTACTGCTTAAACTTGTCGTAGTCTATGTTATTGTTAATAGAGGCGCTAGGGTTAATAAGGCCGTTAATCGCGTTGTCTATGTCGCTTGTAAGGACGTTAGGGCGCCTTACCTTGCGCGGCGAGGCGCTATATAGCTGCTAAAGGGCGCGAAAGTTGCGGTTATTAGCGAGGAGCCACTTAGGTTTATCGCTCTAGACAGTGTCGTAGTACGCTTTGTAGTATAGATAGAGTATTATAGCAGTATAGTACGCTAGCGAGTTGTCTAATTTAGCGTAGTACTCGCTAATTTTAGCCTACGCGGCACGTAAGTTAATAGCAAGATAGTCCTTAGGCGCCTTATTATGCGCGTTGTAGTCCACCGCCTCGTACGCTTTAACGCGCTGCTCGTAGTACGAGAGTATATACTTAAAGACTAGAATAATCTTAGCAATAGCACTAAAGCGTCCGCTTTTACCGCGTCCCTTAAGTCGCTTTATAGTAGACTTAAGCGGCTTTAGGACGTCTAAGTACTTAGTAACTACCGCCTAGTTGTGTCAGAATATGGGCATATTTTGGGTGGTGGACAAAATCCGGGTGTTTGGAGCTGTGGATTCTGTGGATCAGTTAAATTAGTCAGCGCGCACAATCCACCGCGACCCAATTGATCGAACAGCGTTGGACAAGAACAACACACGACATCAGACCAGAACAATACAATCGATCCCCATCATATTATTATACTATTATCCCCGTCTTTGATAACCCATCACAATCTGACAAGTTGGCTGCTGTAAGCCCGTCCGATCGCATCTACTACGGCGCCTTAGGTAGCTTATTGCCGCGACTCTTAGCGTACGTGTCCTTATCTCGCACTCGTTGACAGTAGATTGCAGCTTCACAGCGCGCTTAAAGCACGAGTAGTACGAGTTCTAGCGCGTGACGACGGGCTTAACAGGCTCTGTAAGGGTCTCACATAGGTCAGGTATTTGAAACTGTGTTGAATTACAAAGTAATTGCAGTGCAGAGCTTGTAAGAAGCTCTGCGCGGAATATATCTAAGTGGGGGTGTGCATGGGCCACCAAACAGGTGGCTCGTGCGCGAACATCAAAACAACGCTAAGGCATCTGGCAGGTGGCCTGTGCGGGGCAACGGCCCAAAACCATCACACGTCCCCCCCCGAAAAGCGCTCAAAGTTCCGACTGAGGCGCAAACTTATTTGAGTACTTGCTATCTAGTAGCTGGAGCAGGGCTATAGCGAGCTGTCCGTCGTCATCGTAGTCATGAAATGTGGCGTGTGGTCCTGGTCGGCCAGGGTTGCGGCTGTGAAAGTCCTGGACTGACTCTTTACAGCTGCGCAGGTTATGGTAGGGCTGCCATGGCTCTGACTGATCGTCGCCCACCCATTCCACCTTGTATTGCAGCAATCCACGCTCACCTGTGTGAGGGTCGACGAGATTGCGTCGTATGCGAGAGTCTAGGACTTGGGAGACCACGTATTCTGTGACTCCATCGTTGCCAAGGTGGACTTCGGGGGGAGCGGCATCGCCTGGACGAGGTTGTCCGGGTAAGGCGTCGTCCTCGTACGGTTGTAGGAGCCATGGGTGGAAGGCTGGGAAGATAGCTTTAAGCTGAGGAGGGAGGTCTAGTTCGTAGGCCATGTTGTCAATGACCCGAGTGATCTGGTATGGCCCTATATTCTTGTGGTCTAGTGACTTAACTGGTCTTTCGGTTTTAATGTGGCGGGCGTTCAGCATCACCCAGTCACCCACGTCGAACCGTGGTGCTGGGTATCGGTTCGCGTCTGCGAACTCTTTCATCTTGTCTTGAGCCCATAGGATTTGTTGTCGCAGGAAGGTGCGCGTTGTGTCAATGCGCTGGGCGAGGGCATCAGCGTTCCGTTGCTGTTGGGCGATAGTAGGGTGGTTGTTAAGGGGGCGCAGAAGGTGAGCGGGCTCCAGTCCAGATCGCGGTTGGCGTCCCTTTGTGGCGAGGAACGGAGATAACCCGGTAGCTGTGCTAATGGCCGAATTGGCTTCAAATTCTGCTAAAGGCAATAGCTGGGCCCAATCCGTCTGTAGGTAGTTAACGTACGCCCTTAGGTATTGTTTGAGATCGGCGTTTGCATTCTCGGTCTGACCGTCGGTTTCTGGGTGATGGGAGGTAGAGAGTTTAGGGTGCGTTCCCACCTGGGCACACAGGCGATTCCAGAAATGTGACGTGAATTGGCGGCCCCGATCTGATACAAGAGTCCTTGGGTATCCTTCCTCTTTCCAGATGTATTCCATAAACTTGTCAACGACTGTAGGCACCTCTAGGTTTTCCATTGCAATGAACTTCTTCATTTTTGATAGACGGTCAACCACGACCATGATGTGTTGGTAAGAGTGACCACACCAGGTTGACTTAGGCAGTGGGGTGATGAAGTCGATGGATATGTCATCCCAGTACTGAGTAGGGACAGGCAGCGGGTGAAGCAAACTATGTTTGGCGGTGCGGTTAACCTTAGAGCGTTTACAGGTTAGACAGTTGTTGGTAAAGCGCGCAATTGTGTTCGTCATGCCCTGCCAGTAGTACCACTGGCTTACTTGTTGGTACGTCGTCGTGCGACCTCCGTGGCCGCCCGGTAGGCTATTGTGGATGTGTGCGATAATCCTCGTACGGAGTTTCTCACTGAAGGGGACGACAAGACGCCCGTTGCCAATAAATAGCTTGCCGTCGTTGCTGGCTTCTAGGTCGGCTAGTTCCATCCGAATGCCTTCCGCTATGAGGTAATGTGGGATACGGCGGTCATTAGAAGCGAGGGCTGTCTTTACATCGCGTAGGCGTGGGTCGCTAAGGCAGAGTTCTAAGAGGACATCGTCGAGGGGGCGATCGTCGGCTCCTTCGATGTCGTCATATGGGTCATGGGTGCCCTTTAGGGAGAAGCGGGCTAACCCTACCAACATTGTAGAGGTGGACAGTGAAGCGCCTTCGCCGCTCTCTTGCATCAGTGTAAGGACGGAGCCTAGGTCGCAAGGATTGTCGCCCAGGCATACTCCGGCGAGGCGTACAGCGGCATAGCTGCCGCCCCATCGGTTGGAACCTAGGATAGTCTGGCATTGGTGCTGGACCCGGTCGTCCGTTACTGAGTCTGGCAAGTCTCCTGTCCGGCGGGTAAGGCTGTCGGGTTTAGTACCCTGTTTACCAGGGCGGTATTGTATGCGAAAGTCGAATTCCTCTAGGAACTCAGCCCAGCGGGCTTGTCGACGATTGAGATTGCGTTTAGAGCGGAAGTATTCGAGCCCGCGATGGTCTGTTAGCACTTCTACCGCCTCAGGAACTCCTGCGAGTTCTGGCCTCCATTCCTCGAAGGCGCGGACTATAGCGAGGAGCTCCTTGTCGTATATCTCGTAATTACACTCTGTGGGCGACATCTTCTTTGAGAGATAGGCGACCGGCCGGACTGATCCGTCTGGCTGGACCTGGGAGAGCACTGCTGCGTACACATAGTCAGACGCGTCAGTTTCTACGATAGTCTTTAGGTCGGGGTCAAAGTGGGCGAGCACCACGTCGCTACAGAAGGCGACTTTCAGTGCGAGGAAGGAGCGCTCAGCTTCTTTAGTCATCTTGAATAGCTTAGGGTCGCCCTTAGTGAGATGCGTTAAAGGTTTTGCGATATCCGAGAAACCGCGTATAAATCGGCGGTAGAAGTTAGCAAAACCTAAAAAGGCTTGTACATCTTTTAGAGATTGCGGAAGCTTCCAGTCCTGAATGGCGCTGACTTTGTCTGGGTCCATTTTAATACCGTCGGCGGTGATGATAAGCCCGAGGAATTTAACCTCTGTCGTTATGAAGTCGGATTTAAGAATGTCCATAGGCAATCCGGCGTCTGCGAGCCGAGAGACTACCTGTACTAGGTGCTTCTCGTGTTGATCAAGAGTCTCACTAAAGATAATTACATCGTCTAAGTAAGCCATGCAGAACTCATCGAGATATTCGTGTAGGACGTCGTTAATGTATGCTTGGAAGGTTCCTGGGCTATTGCACATGCCGAAGGGCATAACAGTGTATTGGTACAGTCCGTAGGGCGTGATGAAGGCGGAGAGGTGTTTATGTTCTTCTTTGATGCGTATCTTATTGAATGCGGCGATCACATCTACCTTGGAGAAGTATCGCGATTTTGAGAGCTTAGCAAGCATGTCCCGGATTAGTGGTGGGGCATTTCGGTTCTTGACAGTGTGGGCGTTCAGACCGCGATAGTCGACGCATATGCGGATGCCTCCACCTGGCTTGCGCACAACAAGAAGGGGTGCGGCCCAGGCGGAAGTGCTGCGTTCGACGTGTCCTTTCTTGATCATGTCGTCCACATAGAGTTTCACCGCTCGGGCTTCATCTCGGGACATTGGGCGTAGACGCTGGAATGACGGCTTAGGCGGCTGGCCAGTATCGTCGAGCTTAAGTTCGATTTTGTGGTCAAGGTTACCCCGGAGCTCTGGGAGCTCGTCCGCTTCTTTAGGGTCAAAACCTTGGTACAAGGGATGAAGGACCTTAGGTAATCGCTTGAGGATTTCTTGTCTCGTCATGTGCGGACGTTCCATCTTGTCGCGGAACTTCTCGTAATCCTCTGGGAGCACTTTGGCTCCTGCAGCACGTAGGTGCTGAGTGTCCTCCCATTCCTTGTCGGATAGCTCGGCGATGCGGCCGATTTCATCGTAAGAGGTGATACAAATGTCCTGGTCGTGACAGACGGCTGCCGCGGCTACGCGGCTAGAGATGAAAGCTACATCAATTGGTGGGGGTGCTTTGGGGTGACGAGCAACCTTCCGGCAAGGGTCAGGGACCTGGGGGAGAGGTTGCTTGTGGTGCCGGCTGCTCTGAGTGTGACAGGGTCGGTGGTCGTGGATACAGTTAATTAGACAGTGCTCCGAGTCAAAACTTAGAGACATGTCTTTCCAGTTAACTCGGGGTTCATGGGTTTGGAACCAGGGCGTTCCTAGGATCATTTGGACACCAGAGAGTTTGGTGACATAGGCTAGGACATCTTCGGTGTGGGTGCCAAATGTGACAGTTACCCGGGCCATATGGGTAACGCCTGCCACTAGAGAGCCATCAGCGAGTTCTAGAGTAGCAGGCTGGGAGAGAGAGATAAGGTCGTATTTATGTGCGCGGGCATGAGAAGAATCAATGAAGAGAGAAGCACAACCAGTGTCACCCATGATTTCGACGTGTTGAGGAGAGGAGCGATGAGAAGAAATGATTCCTTTAAAGACTAATTGCTGGCCTACTAGAGGCTGATACTTATCACCGCGTATAGCGGCGGCAGCAATGGCCGAGACGGTGATCCGGGATCCAGTCTGGCTCTGTTGTTTTAGAGCCTTGACACGGTTCGCAATTGCCTGGAGTGTTGGATCCGGGTCGGACTCATCGTCAGAGCTGACTTCTACGGTAGGGGAAAGGGCTAGGGTCAAAGAATCGTCGACAAAGCGGTTAGGATGTAACTCCTCTTCTTCTTCGCTGTCTTCGACAGAAGGGGCAGGGGGAATTAGGGGATGTGCTGGTGGTTGTACTGGGGGTGGCTTCTCATGCCGGGGAGGTCCCTGGGGGCGACTGTCGCCAGGGACTAAGCATTTTCCGAAGGTTGGGGAGAGGTGGAGGTGACGCTAGCTGCGGCGCCCTTGACCTTAGGGCGGGCTGGCTCTCCGACGGGTACGCCATTGTTAGCAATAGCCTTCTCAAGAGCGTCCTGAACTTCGGGGTACGAGTCAAAAGAGGCGACCGGCTCCTTAGAGCAGTAACCTCCTGTAGCCTTAAAGGTGTGATTCTTCTTAAGACAGTTGAAACAACGATTTAAGTGACGGAGGACCTTGACCTGGATGTCAGAGCGGCCACGGGGGCCAGATCCCGAGCTGGATCCACCGTTCCGGGGTCCGTTAGAGGGAGTGGACTTATTGCCGCCTGCTCCGCCGCCCCCGCCACCTTCTAAACTCTGATTTCCTCTACGGTTGCCAGTTGTAGTGGCTCGTTGTGGGTTGGACTGTTCGAGGAGACGAAGGGTTTGACAGAAGTCAAGGTAGGTGAGGCTAGACTCTAAGACTTTCATGGCGGTCATGTCGCGCCACCATACAGGCAGCCGGTTGCGCATGAACTGGATCTTGAGGGTGTCGGGCCAACGAAGGGCCGAGGTGCCGACGTTAAAGCGGGCGATGTACTCACCCATAGACTCTGTGGGCTTCATAGTGGAATTCAAGCTCTCATACCAGGACTGAGCTTCGATGCTAGTGTTCAGCGACTTATAGACAGAGTCAAGGATAGACCAAGCCTCGTTACTGTGCGCGAACTCAGCTCCAGGTTCGAGGTACCCATGCTGGAGGCATCCGAAAGCCTTGTCCTTGGTCTTCTGGCGGATGTAGCTAAGCTTCTTGGTTTCTGAGGCGAACTCGTAGGGATAATCAGCAAACCAATCGGTGACGTCCATCTTCCACTTAAGATAGTCGGCGGAAGTGGTGCCATTACCGGAGAATGCCTCAGGTTCAGGTTTCTTTGGGCGGGGGTGGCGACGGTGATCGTACTCTTCGTCATCGGAGTATCGATTTTTCGTAGACTGAGTGCCGCGCTGACCTTGGCGAGAGAGGGCTGGTAGAGGACTGTTGGCATCGTCGCCTTCAGAGTCCGATGAGTCTGGGGGGGAAGGGCCTGTGTGGCCGCGCCTGGCTGACCTAGAAACCTTGGCTGTAGCCTGTTTTAGCTTAGCCTGGAGTTTCTTCATATTCTCTAATGTGGCTCGGTGGGCGTCGTGCTCCTGTCGGTATTTGTCCTTGTAGGCCGATTTGCGGGCGGCGAGGTTCTCTGCCTGGTTCTGGGCCTGCTGGTAGTCTTCGTGAGCGCTTCCGCGCGCGTCGCGGAGCTCCTCGGTTAGGCGTGCAACTGTAGCGACGGAAGACTGAAGTTGGTCCTGGCAGTTCTTAAGGACAGCCTGTGTGTCAGCGACGTCGCCCTTGTAACCCTCAAGGATATCTTGGGTTTCTTGATCCTTGCTGTGGAGGTTTTCGATGACCTTGTCTCTTGCGAGAAGCTGTTCGCCTAACTGATCGCTGTGTTTGCGCTCGTTGCCGAGGTCTCTCCACATATCGCGGATTTGATCATATAGTCTGTTCAACGCCTTAGACTGGTCATTATTCGTATGTCCGATAGGCGTAGTGTGGAGAGAATCTTTGCGTTGGGGGTTGCCTTGCGCATCGTTCTCCCAGAGGTCGAAGGTGGTCACGTTATCCTCGCGAGGAATGACGTAGGACGTAGAGGGCTGTCGCTCGAATTGCGCACGCTCGTAGGCGTGTTCAACTAGGGGTTCTAAGGACGCGGCGGGTCCAGGTGAGAGCCACGCTTCAGAAAAATAATCAGTGTCGACTTCGGCCTGAGACTGGCGCGAGTAGCGGCGTTGCTCGCTCATTAATGGGTAGCGTATGCCCAATGGGCTGCTCAAGTCGGCGCGATGGTCTATGAAGGCCACGCCCTTCTTGCGCGTAGTGATTGTGGTCGGAAGCTCGTCGTCAGAGTCGTCGGAAATGTCCAGTGGCTGCTGTACACTATCGGTGTGGCCGAGGGAGGGGTAGCGTCCTGGAATGCGTACGTCCCTGTCGAAGAGGTTGTTCTTGCCGTGTGCTCGGGGGAGGCCGCTGGCGCGACGCTCTAGGGTTTCTTTGGTCTGGGAGGTGGGCGCCGTCGCACGCGAAGGCTGTTCGGGGGCTGAGTTCTCGTGGCTCTCGTCCATACGGGAGCGGTTCATGGTTGCGGCCGTCTCTCGCATGAAACGAGGGACGCCGAGGGCAGGATTTCGGTGTTCTGTAGTGCTGGGGCGAGTATCGCGCGATGTCTCCTCAGTGAGGAGTTCCACGATCTCGGGGTGAGGGGAGTCACGAGCCCCCAGAGGGTTCATGACTTGTTCGACGGGGCGCTTCTCGTGAGGCGCACCGTTGGGCCAGTGTTCGGTGACTGCAATTACGTGTAAGGGTCTCACATAGGTCAGGTATTTGAAACTGTGTTGAATTACAAAGTAATTGCAGTGCAGAGCTTGTAAGAAGCTCTGCGCGGAATATATCTAAGTGGGGGTGTGCATGGGCCACCAAACAGGTGGCTCGTGCGCGAACATCAAAACAACGCTAAGGCATCTGGCAGGTGGCCTGTGCGGGGCAACGGCCCAAAACCATCACAGGCTCTAGCACCTTGCGGTCCTCCTCTAGTGCGTTAGTAGGCAGCTTATAGTAAGCGAGCGTCTAAAAACTACTAAAAAGCTCGTACTGTTATAGTGTTTTAATGTAGTTAATAACGCTAAGCAGGACGCTAAGCAGCCTATCGCGCCTCCACTCGCCTATAAACTTAGTCTCGTTAGTAAGCTTACGCTTATTGTTGTTATAAGCGTTCTTATCCTAGCCCTAGAGAAGCCTCTAGCTAACGAGATTAAGCGTGTAAGGTCCGCAATAGTGGCGGCGATTAGACGCGCTAAAGCTAAGCTTCTAACTAATTACTACGACGGCTAAGTTATTATTACTTACATTATTAAGTACAAAGTAGCCTACTATTTGCGCGTTAATACTAAATAGATCTAGCGTCTTAAGGATAACTTCTACTATCTTCTAGCCGCTGTAAGCGCCTATAAGCTAGGGCAACGCGATAGGGAGGTCCTAGAGGTTGCTACGAGCGTCGACGTAGTGTACAACAATACCTAGGTAGCCACGCTTTCCGCCCTTTGTCGTCTATCTATTAAAGCTAACGTATATTTTGCTTAGCGCGTGCGACAGCTCCTTTATAACGCGCGGCTTTAGGTAGTTGTACAGGCGTAGCACGTAGCGCGACACGCTTATAGAGGACGTCTACAGCGCCGCCTCTACCTCTAGGTTAGCTATAGCTAGCATCGTCTAGAAAGAAGATCTCTTAAATTTAGAGAGTAGGTAGTTACTATCTACGAGCTAGGTAACGGCGGCGAGCCTAAAGCGCGTAGTGTTAAAGCTAGAGAGCTTGTTAGCGGTCGCCTGCGCGACTGTTATTTTGCCGTTATACCTATTAGTTGTAACTATAGCCTATAACACTCCAGACAGAAGAGACGTGGATACTTGGCAGATGGTTGGTCAGCAAATCATGTGACCATCGGAAAGACCGAGTTGGTAAGCTGAATACTCTAAACTCTTCGCGGAAGAAAATCGGCACGATAAGAAGGCTGAGAATCAGCTTCTGTTAGAGTACATAGTGGCAGAGAGTCAGCCTTGAACAGTTCTATTTCTACATCCCGAAATGTGACCTTTCAGCACAGTGAACGAGTTCACAGTACTTGATGGATAGCTGGAATTCTCGATATTAATGCCGTTGACATATATTTATTCAGATCTCGGCTACTTCAAGAACGTTGCCGTTTACTCCTACGAGTGGGCTCTTGCTTTACTTTCACGGCCGCAAGGTCTTCCTCTTCAGCTTCCTTTTTGATGCGTTTCCGTTTTGTGGTTTCCTTCCTGACTGCAATTTTGGCCACTGCTTCTTCATCTTCCTTCTTGATGGTGACCTCTTCTTCTTTGATCTCCTTCTTGATAGTAACGTCCTCTTCCTTGATCTCTTTTTTGATGGTAGTCTCTTCTTTGATCTCGACCTTGGCAACAACTCTCTCTGAAAAGGCCCTTAGGTCCGCCGTGAATAATACCGAATGCGCCCATCCCGCCTCTTTACCCCATAGTTTGCGAAACAAGTTCCCAATGGCTGCATATGTGGCGGCAGTCAAGCTACTGTGCTTGCCTTTCCCAAACCGGTAATCGCGTTGCGCAATCTGCCAAACGTGCGTGTCAACGGGAACAGACTCGGACCAGCCGAGACCAAAAAGACACACACAGTCTGCAACCTTTGGACCGACACCGTGTAAAGCCAAGAGCTCCTCGTGAGCTTTTCGGTACCCCTCGCGACCACCTTCCGGCATATCTCCAGCTGGCTTTTCTTGTACGCCAAATTGGGGATATTCAGGGTTGCTGAGATCCTCCAGCCACTTCATCCCTTTGTCTTCAGATACCATGCGCGCGGTCTTGGCAATGTACTTTGCCCTGTATCCGAAGCCAAGCTTCATGAGATTCGCCTCTACGGCTGGACCAGAGAGGGCAGCGGGCGTTGGGAAGTCGTGATATGGTACGTCATGGATATGTCCTATCAGAGGTCCATAGTGTAAACAGAGATTATGCACCATGCCGGATATGCGACTGATATTGTTGTTGCTGCTGCAGATGAAGCCAATGAGGGCTTCCCATGCGTCTTGTCGCAGTATCCTGATGCCTGTGAATTTCGGTGCTCTCTTTTTGAAGTTGGCGTCCGAGGCCGCCCATTGCTCGTATAGTTGACCGAGGTTTGGGGTCAGGTTGAAGTAGTGGTTGATGAGGGCCGGGGTGTCATCCTCTTCGGGGGCGACTGAGGGTGCTTTGGATGGAGGTGGAGTAAGGGGCGTGGTGGTAATAGATGGGTAGGTTGCCCGGTAATGGAGATGTTCGGCGTCCTGACGAAGAGTGATGATGCGACCGTGAAGAGCCATTGACCATTCACCATCAGCAGACTTGCGCCATCTGATGGTATGTTAGTAGTTATTGCGACTACAGTGACATGTCGCATACCGAAATGACTGCCCGCATCGCAAAGTCGTATCTATGCATAGCTCTGTGAGGCTTGTAGGCAGCTTGTGCCATTCTGCAGCGCGCAAGGCCATTTTGTATCGACAATGTTGCGCAATGCTAGTGTGAGGTCAGAGTGAATGTCGCTCGGCCTGCTCCTGCTCCTGATCCATCTGGCTCCAGTGACAGGGGTAGTCGCGCCAAGGGCACGCTAATATGGGCCCTAAGGAGGCGCTAACCAGGCCCCGACTTTCTCTCGCACGTTTTCCGCGACGGCAACAGCAATCACGGCCAAAGCATCGCGTCCTAAATTCGGGACTATTGCAAGCAGTTGATTCATCAATTGCTTCTTGATCCAGATCTGCTAATTGCAGCTTCTTCCGCCCTCTTACCCGCCGTAGCAGCAAAGTCTCACGTGGCTGTGCTTCTACTACAGCGCGACAGCTCCGGGCAACGACGACCCGGCCAGTATGAACGGCGATAGCTATCCCAGAGGTAAGCGACATCTATCAGTACACGTACTGACTAGTGTACAGCTCCCATCATGAAAGAGACTAACATAAGCAGACGGCGGCCGATCGAGTGGATCGCGCAACTACGTGAGCACGCCTAGAATGCGACAACTACTTTACATGTACTAACCAGATAGTCCTCGAGAGATGCCCCTCGCGATCGCGATGACCGTGGTGATAGGCGCCGTCGCCGTTCTCGCTCTCCCCGCCATGGTGGTGGCGGCGGTGGAGGCGGAGGTTCACGCCGCGACTACGAGGTAGATACGTACTCGTCGAGCCGCGACTATCGTGAGCGCGAGCGCGAAGACACATATGCTCGCCGTGAGAGGCGTGATGACCGGGGCGAGCGTGGGGGAGAGCGCGGTGGCTGGGGCGATTCTTATTCTAGACGCGACCGTCCTCGAGACCGCGACCGAGATGATGACCGTGGTCACCGACGAGAGCGCGGAGCAGAGCGCAATGAGAGGGGCGGCGATAGATTCGGCGGCGAAGATCGTAGGGGCGGCCGAGGAGGACGCGACGGAGGCTTTGGTGGTGGGCGCGATAGGATGCGTCAGCAAAAAGAAGAGTCTCCGCCCTTCAACAAGCCACGCGAGGCTACTCCAGATCTCGCAAGCTTCACCAACATTCTGCAACGCCCGCGTCGCATGACACAATGGGACATCAAACCCGCAGGCTACGAGAACATCACGGCCGAGCAGGCCAAGCTGTCCGGCATGTTTCCGCTACCTGGAGCTCCTCGTGCTGCTCCTATGGACCCGTCCAAGCTGGCCGCTTTCATTTCACCCTCTGCTGGAACTGCCACAGCCGCCGCTCTCGCAACATCAGCCGCAAAGCAGTCGAAGCGTCTCTATGTCCACAACCTTCCCTCTGGTTGCACCTCCCAGGAGATTATGGAATTCTTCAACAACCAGCTCAACGGCCTGAACGTTGTTTCTGGTAACGACCCATGCTTGTCAGCCCACATTGCGACCAGCAAAGAATACGCCGCACTGGAATTCAAGGCACCCGAGGATGCGACACTTGCTCTTGCCATGACCGGCATCTCTATGCGCGATGAAGGTGGAGCTCCTGATAGGTCAGGTCTCTCCATCCGTCGTCCCAAGGACTACATTACACCCACAGCCGACGAGAATGCATACCCGCCTGGTGATGAGGTGTCGTCTGTCGTCAAGGACAGTCCCAACAAGCTGAGCATTGTCAACATCCCCACGTACATTGAAGAGGAGCAAATCCGAGAACTCGTTGAGACCATGGGTAAACTCAAGGCTTTCATCTTGGTTAAGGACACTGGCACCGATCAACATCGCGTAAGTACTACACTCAGTCTTGACCTATTTCCAACTAACATAACCCAGGGTATTGCATTCTGCGAGTATGCCGATAACGAGATCATCGACGCCGTTATTGAGGGTTTGAACGACATCCCGCTTGGCGATGGTAACCTCAAGGTCTCGCGTGCGACTGTCGGCCTTCAGCAGTCGACTGGTCTCGACGGCGGAGTCGGTGCCATTTCCATGCTGGCAGGAGCGAGTGCCGCCGAGAACCACGAGCACAGCCGTGTTGTCTGCCTAATGAACATGGTGACTTCGGATGAGCTACTCAACGACGAGGAGTATGAAGGTAAGCAACTTTTACCATCTTACAGACTAACTTTCAATGCTAATACTCTCTCAGAAATCAAAGAAGACATCGAAGAAGAGTGCGGCAAGTACGGGCCCATCGTCGAGACCAAGATCCCTCGTCCTGCAGGAGCCCGTGTCAATCTCGGCGTTGGCAAAATCTACATCAAATACCAAGACACAGAGTCCGCGCAAAAGGCCATCAAGGCGCTTGCTGGTCGCCAGTTCTCGCGGAGAACGGTTGTTGCGACTGAGTTCTCAGAGGAAGGATTTGACGTTGACGCGTGGTAGATGCCGTCTCTTTGCATTGCAAGTTCGATTGCGAGTCTCTTTCCTGCATTTAGCATAGCATGTTTGCTGTATTGGGGAGTATCAAAAAGGCAAAGTAGGGCCTAGGCTTTTGTACAATAATTTGGTCGCTGGGGAGCCAAGTACGCGCCTGCGCGCGCTGGTAGTAGCACGGGGTTTTGTCTTGAATATTTGGGCCATTTTAACGGCTAAAATGTTGATAGCTGGTCTGATTACGATAACGCAGAATTATTAGCCCTTGAACAAACTAGTGCTGTGATGTTGGGGTCATGGTAATGTGTCAGCAACACAACAACATCAAGATGAGATATTGGCACGTCGTGCAGACATCGGCCCTTTTAGATCCTTCGATACATAACGCCAAGACCACGTGCAAAAACAAGACATAACTAAGCTAGTTATTCACTACGCTGCTTATAAATCTGAACCAACAAAACCTAAAAATACCAAATCCTCCAGAGCCCAGTCCTTGATTATCTGGTATGGTCGCGATGGACAGAAGCCGAAATTTGAAATCAACAACCCGATAATGGTCCGACCCGTGTCAGGGCGGGGGAGATTAGAACCTAATCCCCGCTGACCGCATGCGATCGAATATGCGTACAGCCATAAAGTCGCCAATGACGCCCACAACTTGAATGTACTCTATCCTTAAAGCCGGAAGTGAACAATAACTTAAACCCGATAGCCACATACTATCACCGAGGAGCTTTCAACTCCCTACAACTATAAACAGACTCAAACACCAGAGCACTTTACACAGTTCCCCTCTTTCCGCCATCATCCGTTCAGCAAGCCATCACCACCAGAATGCCAGACATTCTCCGCTTCCTCCATTCCCAATTCTTCGTCACTCCACCCAAACCCACCACCGACCTCACCGGCAAAACAGTCATCGTAACCGGTTCCAATGTCGGACTGGGCAAGGAAGCCGCCCGTCACTTCACCGCACTCAATGCCTCCACCGTAATCCTCGCCGTGCGGTCCCTTGAAAAAGGCGAAGCCGCACGCGCCGACATCGAAGCAACCACCGGCCGCAAGGGCGCAGTAAAAGTAATGCAACTCGACATGTCGTCGTACGCCTCCGTGCTCGACTTCGCCGCCCGCGCAGCCAAAGACCTCGACCGCATCGACATCGCCGTGCTAAACGCCGGTATCATCCGCGGCGCCGGCATCTGGGAAGTCTTTGAGCAAGACGAATCCACCATTACTGTAAACGTGGTATCTACGTTCTTGCTGGCGTTTGCGCTGCTGCCGAAAATGAAGGAGACGGCGGCGAAGTTCAACACGAGACCCACGCTTACGGTTGTGAGCTCAGAGGTACACGGATGGTCGCCCTTCAACGAGCGAAAAGCGCCCGAAGGTGGTATCTTCGCCAGGCTGAATGAGAAGGTTGTAGATGGCAAGGACGTAAGTCTCGCAGTTCGGTACCAAACGAGTAAATTGCTAGAAGTACTGTTTGTCCGAGAATTCTGCGAAAAATACCCCAGTGGAGACATTCCCGTCACTGTGAATTTGGTTAACCCGGGGTATTGTAAATCGTAAGTTTTCCCACCCCACTACTTCCTCGTTTGACGTATGTGTGGTTTACTAATCTGATAATAATAGGGAATTCCAACGCGAACAATCTTTTGCAGCGAAGATCGGGGCGTTATTACTCGCTAGGACGACGGAGGTTGGGTCGAGGACGCTGGTGCATGCCGGCGTGCAGGGTGAGGAGAGTCATGGCAGGTATTTTAGTGATTCTCAAATTACGGAGCCTAGCCCGTATGTGAGGAGTGAAGAGGGGAAGAGGGATCAGGGGCGTGTGTGGAGGGAGTTAGTGGGGAAGTTGGAGGGGATTAAGGAGGGGGTTACGAAGGTTTAAGGTGTGTTGGGCATGGTCAGGGGTGGGGGGGATCTTTTTGGATAATGAAAATAACTACGACTTCCCCCTCTTCGTCGCCACTGTAGTCTTTTGATAACATGTATGATGCAGAAGAAGTATTTATATCGCAATATCCTCACAGCCGGCGCGAAAATTAACAGAGCCACACACGACTTAAGACGCCTCCGCCCCTGATTTCGCTGACAGCACACCAAATCCCCACCCTCACAAAGTGTCACGGTTTGGGGTCTCTCCTGCTCTGCTCCTGTAGTCGCAACTTACCTTTGTAATAGACCGATGCCTATCTAGGACTAGCGCTGTTTACGGTCACCCACCTACATATACAGTTTGTAGACTCAGACAATACAACCTCAGTTCAATCCTTCAATTCTTCCAGCACCCACTATCCCCCACACAAAGCCTCACCACCTAGGCACCTTCGCCAAATCTCGTTCCAGTAACCAGTACGTCGATACAACCTCCGATAAGCACTCACAACAATATCGTCTATGCCTGACTTCCTAACGCGCAAACTCTCCTATTCGACGCATGGTGGTGCCTCTACACGCTGTAGATATTACAAGTAGTTGGTTAGCCTGTAAGCCAAGAATATCTGATTGATAACTAGTCGTATTTTTGATAGATTTCTATGATTTGGTCGATAATCTTCATTGCGGTTTCCCAAGTTTTCTAGGATTACATGGAGCTGGTACAATAGTTCTTCCTGCCGGTGAAAAAGTTTTTGGCTGGGCGGAACATAAGTACCAATATTTATCTACTTAATTCTACTAATTCTTCATACGCATAAAACGCTGTTCATGTTTTATAGGAATGGTAAGAGCACTCGCTTTTTCTTGAGTGAACGAAAGTTAGATGATTTAGTGGCTCTTCCTCAAATATAAGTAGCTGCATAAAATAAAACACGCACCTCTATGAGATAGACTACCGTGGAAAGACTCTATTCATAAAACGGTGACGCTGATGTTGCCGTGTCTATAGTATGTCGCATATACTTCAAACATTCGTGATTATCTCGAGTAGGTTCTAGTCGTCGACTACTAGATGCTTATTATGCACGTGAAACGTCGACATGCTCTATAATTAGGTGAATCTTTCTTCTTTGGAACAAATGTAAGAATTAATAAGATTGGTTACTTTGACAAGTGTTAAGAATATGTTAGGTTCAGTCCAGGTCGGCGAGGTGAGGTTCGTGGAGTAAGCCCGAGCAGAAGGACCGACGCGGAATGATGATCTGTCATGTACGTCCTAAGATCATCATAACAACAAGTAGATAGAACAATAGCTCTTAGTGAAGTTCAATCCAATACAGGGTTACCTTTCGTACCTCTACTCGGTCGCCTATGGTAGTCATACCACCAGAGGAGACCTTGTTCTAACAGGTTATGAGCCCGGTTGCCTAACCCAACGTTATTGTTTTCAAACACCTACCCGAGTCACGAAGGACTCAGATTCAAGAAGGAATCAGAAAAGAAAAGAAGTCGTGTACAACGCGGTTAACACGCAATCACACTTAAATACACCGTCTCTACACCCGAGAACCGATAACGACTGCACCGCCCGCAGAATATCACCCGGATCGCCCGGATCGCCCGCATCGCCTGTATCGCCCGCATCGCCCGCATCACCTACACTCTTAGCATCATACCACGTACCTTGCTCGCATAATAGTCTCACCAACTCAAAACACACAAGATGGCTGTAGAGAAGGAAGAATGGAAGATTCCCCAACTTACAGCTGAAAACCACGATACTTGGTTCCGCCGAAACAAGGTCAAGCTTAAGGGGAAGAAAGTCTTCTATGTCTGCGAGAAAAACCTGGTACAGCACTGCCAAATAGCAATAGCCGGTGAACTAACGGAGGCTATGGAAGAGTTGGAAATTGCTGAAGCAGACAAGCATACTAAGATCCGCGTCAACATTGAAAAAAGAGACAAGTACCTAGAAGATGAAGCCACTGCAATCGATCTCTTGTTTCGGTCGCTTACTGAAGATGACCAAGCCCTTATTGACGAATACGACACTGCCTTCCAGTTCTGGGCCTACCTACAAAAGAAGTACACCCAAACTGACGCCACAACCGCCAACATTTACATGACCAGAATTCAAACGTTCACATTCAATCCTGGGAACACAATTGTTGGATCATGGGAAAAGCTAAAGGAATACCGACGCAAACTCGTAGCAGCAGACGCTGACACCAACGGAGCTTACAAGGACTCTGCACTACTACTCGTTCTTATTAGATCACTCCCGAAAGAATTTAAGACTACGATTGACACCTTAAACGCCCAACTTAACCTTACGGTTGAACAGAAACTTAAGTTTCTGGAAGAGAAGGAGGTTCGAGACCAGCAAGACGCCGACGAAAAAGCTCTCCCAGCATTCCGGAAGACGGAGAAGTATGTTCCGCCTTACAAGCGCCGAAATCACAAGAGCTCACCACTATCGTCTGACTCCGAATCTGGTACTAAGTTTATGGTCCAATGCTTCCTTTGTGACGGAGCCCATGGCGTACGAGACTGTCCAAGACGTGAGAGAGCTCGAAAGCTCCTTAAGGAATACGACGCTAAGAAATCATCTAAGCCGCCTATTAAGACACTCAAGCAAAGGAATTCTCACAAAAAGACTGGCAAAGCATATGGAGCCGAAGAAGTCAATTCAGAGTCAGATGAATTATCCGAGACCTCAGACTCTGAACCCGAGGAAATTGAGACATGCCGTCTCTCAAAAGACATTGTCGGTAAGGCCTCTCCATCTACTTGGGCTGCCGACACTGGCGCCTCCTCCCACATGTCTGACCAACCCTCATTGTTTAGACGAATGATCAAGATCAAGCGAAGACTAGTTCGGGTTGGAGGGGGAGAATTATATGCAGACTGGAAAGGAGAAGCTCAAGTGGTGTGTAAAGACGGATCGTCGACATGGTTGTCAGAAGTACTGCTTGTACCTAACCTTGGAGTCAATTTGTTATCAGGGAGAAGAATTTGCGCAGCAGGCCTGAAGGGTCGTTTCAATTCACACGTACTATGCTTCAAACTAGGAAAGGAGATCATTATTAAAGCAACTATGGACGACGGCCTCTACGTAGTGTCACACATTGCCGATGGATACCACGAGACAGCATTCCTAGGCACGGAACCCCATACACCAGTTAAGAGCGAGCTTAAGGTTAATGAAAAGGAGAGATACCTGCTGTATCACAGACGTTTCGCACACCTAGGACCTACAAAGATTGCCAAACTCCACGAAGTTACAACTCTCCAGAAGAAGATTCAAGTTCCAGAGAAGATTGAAATCTGCGAAGTGTGTTCCCTGACAAAGATGAAGAACAGCATCCCTAAGCAGCTAAGAGAGCACAAGGCCACGAAGCTAGCCTTAGTACAGTTTGACATTGCTGGACCCTTTCCAACATCTCTACGAGGAAACAGGTGGTTCCTCCAAATTATTGATAGCTACACGCGGAAAAACTGGGTTATCCCGCTGAAGAAAAAGGGAGACGCACAACGGGAACTCCGAATCTGGAAGACCTTTGTAGAACATCAAACTGGCGAGAAAGTCAAAGCTGCTGGAACCGACAATGCACCAGAACTTCTACAGCAAGCTGAGGAATGGAGAGTTACACAAGGCGTGGAAATTCAGCCTACAACAATTGCTTCCTCACACCAGAATGGACCAGCCGAGCGAAACATCCAAACTGCTGAAGCTGATATGAGAGCAATGTTGAAAGACGCTGGTTTACCAATTGAGTTTTGGGATGAAGCTGTCGAAGCAGACGCATACCTACGCAACCGTACAAACACAGGACCTATGATCAATGGAAAGCAAGTCAGTCCTGAAGAGGCATTCACAGGAACGAAACCATCCATTGACCACATCCGTGTATGGGGGAGCAAATGCTATTCGTACATCAACCCTAAAACGATTCCAGCAGACCAACGACATGACAAGCTCGTGGACCGTGGCAGAATTGGAGTATTTATGGGATATTCTGAGACAACAAATAAGCAGTTCAAGTTCTATTCGCCAGAGCTTGGATACACCTCAAGGACAAGCCGATTGTCAGTGGACGAATACACCCCTGGAGGGAAAGTTGAACTACGACTGCGAAACATACCAGCTGGACCACAAGGAACGCAGAATACGATGCCAGACCGAAAACCAAGAGGAAGACCTAGGAAGGATCTAGAATTATCTCCTGCCGAACGAATGGAACCAACTCCTACCGAACGAATGGAACCATCTCCTGCAGAACCAATGGAACCATCTCCTACCGAACCAATGGAACCATCTCCTGCAGAACCAATAGAACCAGTTTCCGAGAACCTAATGGAACCATCTTCGGCAGAGCTAACTCATGAACCAGTGAAGCGTCACAGAGGAAGACCAAGGAGGCTAACTACTATTCCTCCTACTGCACCATCTGATGAGCGGGTTCCTAATCTTGTGAACGAAGAGGGGCCCGAAGAACCGTGTACCCAGTCTGTACGAGAAAAGGAGATTCCACGATACTTCACTAGACAAGCCAAACGGAAGAGGTCTAACGAAGAGATTGTTGAGGACGAGAGATTTAGCAAGATCGTTAAAGCTATGCTAGCCCAAGTTGGCCTTACAGAAGAGCAAACACGACTATCTGAGAAGGCTTTCGCAGCAACCGAGATCGCAGGAATCCAGATCCCCCAGACACACGAGCAAGCTATCAACGACCCAAAGTATGGAAAGCAATGGAAAGCAGCAATACTTGAAGAGATAATCGCGTTAATAGAGAATCGAACCTGGGAGGAAGTTCCAAAGCCAAAAGACGCGAACATGGTTGATTCAAAGTGGGTTTTTACAGTCAAAACGAATCTCGACGGGACTGTTGAGAGGTTTAAGGCACGCCTTGTGGCAAGAGGTTTTACGCAAGCACACGGAACAGACTACAACGAGACTTTTGCCCCGACAGTCCGCATGGACACCTTACGTCTGTTTATGGCCACTGTCGCAGCGGAAAACCTGGAATGTTTCCACTTTGACATTAAGAATGCATTCACAGAGTCGCACTTGAAGGAAGAGATCTTTCTTAAGCAACCCCAAGGAGTAGAAGTCAAAAAAGGATACGTCCTTAGAGTTCTCCGCAGCTTATACGGACTCAAACAGGCTGCTCGCGACTGGAACTTGTTGATAAAGAAAGAACTTCTGGCATGGGGATTCGTACAAAGCCTCGCAGACCCGTGCATGTTTATCCACAAAGAAAAACAACTCCGTATCCTCGTCTACGTTGATGACATTGCTGCTGCTGCAAAAGATCGAGCTCAAATTGATTGGTTCTACGAGAAGCTTTCTGGAAGATTCAACACCAAGAACCTGGGGGAGATTCATAAGATCCTTGGAGTACGAGTTACGCGAGACAGAAAGCGCCGCACAATCTACCTCGATCAAGAACAGTACCTACACGCAGTACTTGACAAGTTTGGAATGTCTAGCAAACAACACAGAGACAAGAAGATTCCATCTGCAGATTACACTTCATTTAGGCCAGCCACTGACAACGACACCCGAATCGACATCACTGAATACCAGCAAGTGATAGGGAGCCTTATGTTTGCTATGGTTCTTACACGTCCAGACATTGCATTCACCCTCGGAAAGCTAAGCCAATACATGAGCGATCCAGCAGAACACCATGGCCATGCGTTGAAGAACCTGCTACGATATCTAAGGTCGACAGTGACATTGAAGCTACGCTACGGACCAGGGGGAGTACACTCGCAATTTGTCATCTACTCTGATGCTGACTGGGCAAGCGACATGGTAGACCGAAAGAGCGTTTCAGGGAGCACTGCAATGTTCTACGGAGGTCCAATATCATGGTCTAGCAAGAAGCAACGGTCTGTTGCAACGTCAAGCTGCGAATCTGAATACATCGCACTATCAACATGCTGCAAGCAAGGCCAGTGGATTGCTCAAATGTTTAGAGATCTTGGGTTCCCAAAGTACATTGGAAAAGACACCAACAAGGTCCAGATGCTAGGAGACAACCAGGGTGCCATTGCACTTACAAAGAACCCTCACCTTCACGAAAGATCAAAGCACATCGACGTCTGTTATCATTTTATCCGAGACCTAGCAGAACAAGGCAAACTCGATGTGGCCTACGTTCCAACTGCAGACATGGTGGCTGATGGAATGACAAAGCCATTGCAGCGAGTCGCATTCGAGAGATTCAAGAACCAATTAGGAGTTGTCCTTGGACCGGACCTGCCCTGAGGGGGAGTGTTAAGAATATGTTAGGTTCAGTCCAGGTCGGCGAGGTGAGGTTCGTGGAGTAAGCCCGAGCAGAAGGACCGACGCGGAATGATGATCTGTCATGTACGTCCTAAGATCATCATAACAACAAGTAGATAGAACAATAGCTCTTAGTGAAGTTCAATCCAATACAGGGTTACCTTTCGTACCTCTACTCGGTCGCCTATGGTAGTCATACCACCAGAGGAGACCTTGTTCTAACAACAAGGCTGATTTCCAACGTTAGTAGGTATGTCCTACCCCGCTAGGATTGGACGGTTGGATGTGTGTTCTAGAGGACGGTAGTTTTAAACGGCATTTTGTACTTATTTTGAAGAATGCCGTATTGATCTGGTTAAGGCTTGGAGGCAGCGTGTTGAATCCCTTTTTCTTTGGCTAGCACTGTATTGAACGATTCTTCATTAAGCTTTGTATAATAGAAGTAAGTGATCAACGTCACAGCAATCCGGAACCCAATGAACCAAATATTCTTTTGTCAAACAGCGAACACAGCCTAATTATGCTAACCCGTTTTCTCCATCTGCCCTACGCAAACACCTGAATACTATCTCATCATCGCCGTTCAACCCCTTATACATCCCACGCCCCCCGGCCTCTAACGCAACAGCTCAACCATCTCTTCTCCCTAAAACAACCCACTCATACCACCTCTCAAAACATCCAAAAACACCACTAACACCCACATCCAACCCTCCCAGATACCTCAACGCTCCATCTCGCACACGCCCATCATGACGTCACCCCAAGCCCCAGCCAAGCCCCGCCCCATCCAGCCCTACACGCCGCCCCCAAACGCCACAACGCAATCGAATACCAAAAATAAATTGCCTATTCCTACACAAAGCAGGTGCCCTATCCTTTTCCCCCGAGAAACTCCCTATCGGAACAATCATCTCGCCTGCATGTGCATGTCTCTTCCTTACGTTGCCTACCTTGGCAATCGAGTACGAAACCTTCCCCAGCTTATTCGCCACATGTTTCCCCCGCAAAGATCGTCTGTTGATCGCAATGCAACCTGCAACCACGAGTTGGGTGTGATGTGCGATGCAGATGCAGATGCAGATGCAAAGATGTTGATCTTTAATCCACAAAAAAATCTTGATCATCATTCCAGATTCTCTCCACCAGCCCACCCACCTACTCCATTCTGCCTGTCGCACGACCCAACAACCCTACCCCACACATAAAATAAACCCAGCGTCCAAGCGTGCAAGTAAGTAACTTGCAAGCACGAACCCCGTAACTAAGTACATACAAGCATGAACAAGGCACCAAGACACTAGCTAATAAACACCGACATCGGTCCCTAAAACATACACTATATACCTAGCTAGATACCTCCCTAGCACACACCAGCACTAACAAAGACGCCCAGCAAGAACAAGCACAAGCCCATACCAGGCGTTATTAGAGTAAGAAAGCCTACCCCGCTTTTACACTAGCTGCAAGCTGCGCTGTAGAGCGCGTAGAGGGGGGAAAGCTGGGGTAAGTTGCGGAGATGGAACCGGTTGGTTAGGATGGTTTTGGTGTCTAGATGCGTGCAAGCCGGTTTAGAATGTAAGTAGATCGCGGGCTGTGAAAATAATGCCATGTAAGGAGGGAGGTATATTGTGTGGACGGCTGGGGGATAGATGGTAGATGGTAGATGACGGATGGAGGTGTTGGACAGTACCTAGCCCAACGGTGCATGTGCTAGACAGCGCGGACGGATGCAGAGGGGTCATTATGACACATTTGCATGTTTGGGTGAGGGTTTGTCTCGTGTTATTGTGCTTGTTATACCGGATTTTATTGATGTGCGTTGTGGGTTTGTGGGGCTGGATTTGCTTCTGGTTCTGGTTCTGATTCTGGGGATGAGGGTTTGACGAGGAAGGGTAGGTATGCAGGGGATCTTGTATCTGTCGTTACATGTTCATATAAGTCCAATCGTGGATAAGATACAGAATACATATACCTGTCAAGTCTTTCAAACATCACGTCCCAAGTGTCAAAGAAAGGTCATAAGATCAACAATGGTAAAGATTAACGATAAGTTGATGGATATAATAACTCGTAACTCGTAGACAATAAAAGGCGTTATATACAGATATAGATCTCGCGCCGCCCTGGCGCATATGCTCAGAACGATATAGTCATAAAACCAATCGTGTTTATATGGAGCAGCTCGTTAATTAGATTAACACATGTCATTCCAGCGCACTATTTCTTTAAACAGCGAGCTTCTCGTTGTAAGTAGCGCTCCTCTTGCGCTGAGCATCAGCCTCAATATCGGTAAGGCTGGCACTGCGGTTGTTGGCACCAATGTCCTGGACGTCCTGGAAAGAGACGGAAGGAACGAAACCGGGCGACTTCCATGCGTGCGCGCACTTGCCGTAGAGCTCGTCGACCTGCTCGAGGGAGAGACCCTTTGTCTCGTAGATCAAGCCGTAGACGAAGAAGATGCAGACGAAGCAGCATCCGCCCCAGACGAAGAAGACCTTTGCACCCATGTTGGCGTTGCCGGGGCCAGAGTTGACCATGTAAGGGGTAGCGTATCCGATGGCGAAGTTGAGGAGCCAGTTGGAGGCCGTGGTCATGGAGAGGGACTTGGCGCGGACCTTGAGGGGGAAAATCTCACCAGTCACGACCCAGGCGACTGGGCCCCATGAGCAGGCGAAGAAGAAGATGTAGATGCAGACGAAGGCGATGAGCGCCTGTTGAGCAGCAATGTTGTCAACGCCGGCAACGGTACCGGTGATGGCGACGATGAATTGGCAGACGGCCATGCCGACGGCACCGAAGAGGAGGAGGTTGCGGCGACCCCACTTCTCGACGAGGTAGAGACCAGGGACAGTGGAGGCGACGTTGACACAAGAGGTAATCATGGTGACGACGAAGGCGTTCTTGATACCAGAGTTCTGGAAGAAGGAAGTTCCGTAGTAGAAGATGAAGTTGACACCGGTAAGTTGCTGGAGAGATTGGAGCAGGCAACCAGTCGCCAGGCGCTTGCCGAGGTTTCCACGGAAGCAGTCGAAGTAAGAGGCCTTACCGAGAGACATCTCGTACTCGTGGTTGGCGGTGATCTCAGCGAGCTCCTCAACGAGGGAGGGGTCGTCAACATCAAGGCGGCGGAGAGTGGAGAGAGACTTGGCAGCCTGTTCCGGGCGGCCCTTCTTGATGAACCAGCGGGGAGTCTCGGGAAGCCAGATGCAGCCGACGAAGATGACGATGGCCCAAGCAAACTGGACGGCAATGGGGATACGGTAAGAGCCGGTGTCAGGTCTGTCCTTGGTGGCGTTGTCGACAATGGCAGCGAGCAGCAGACCAATGGTGATGGCAAATTGGTAGCAACCGACAATGGCACCACGAATCCACTTGGGGGCGGTCTCGGACTGGTAAAGAGGAATGATGGCACTAATCATACCAACTCCGTAACCGGCGAAGAAACGACCAGCAACGAACATGGGGATAGCAGTAGCAATAGTCTGGAGAACGACACCGACACAGAAGACAACGGTGGAGATGACGAGACCCAGGCGGCGACCCAAGAGATCAGCAGTAGGTGCGGCGGTCAAGGCACCGAAGAAAGTACCAGCGGAGAGGATAGAGACGATCAAAGAGGTTTGCTCGGCGGTGACGTCGGGCTCACCATCCTTCTTGTTGATGAAGCCAGTGCTGAAGAGATCTCGCCAGTGCTTCATGCCCAAGATACCACCAATGGTACCAGTGTCATATCTGTGTATGTTAGTATAGAATCTTGGACCATCAAGTCGAAAATGCATACCCGTAAAGAACACCACCAAAGGCAACGAACAAACCGACGAGAATGGCCGGCGCGGTAGAGCCAGCCACGCCCTCGGGCTTCTTCAACATCAGACCCATGATTGACGATAGTCTGAGGAAGTGGATGTGGTACAATCAAAAGACTCAAGTCCAAAGGAGAGAGTAGTGTACTCGGGTGAGGATGATCTTTGCTTCGGGGCGGGTTCACGACCCTTAAGTAGAGTTGGGGAACTGATTCCACGAGCTTGGGGATCTCCATGGGCAGCTGTCTAGTCTGAAGGCTGGAAGCATGGGGTGAGTGCGCTAGTCCCGCGACTGGCTAGAGAGCTAGCATGAGTAGGTCCGATGGTGCTGGGGAAAGCTTAGCAAGCGGTTCTAGCAAGGATAGGTCCGAAGCTAGACCAGACCAGACAGAGGCCACTCGTGCGCTGGATGCCTATGATTGCAAATGGCGCTCAAATCATGCTAAACTAATTTTCCTTTGATTTGGGAACCGGGAAAGTCGAGACGCAGCTAGTGCAACGTTGCTCAGCGGTCCCAAGGGTTGGTCTGCCAGTCATGGTCGCGGTTCCGAGGTATCGTGACAGGCGCGCGACCAGGCGTTTCGACGTGCGCACCCTCAATGGCATGTCAGCCGCGACGCTGGGGCAAATATGTGGGGGATTCTGAGCATGCTGATAGGGTATTGCAGTAGTGTGCATGCCTTGGCGGAAGCTGCACTGCATGGTCTGCCAAGTCGAATGTCGTGAACCACTGACCCCCGTGGTAAAGGCTATGCGTATGCGCGCATATGCAGGCCATCGCCGTTGATCGTCCCTGTTTCAACGGACGTCACCACCCTGCAGCCTCGGTATCGTCCGAATACTCAAGCCGGGTGTTTGTCTGCTGCTGTTGATAGAACAGATAGGTGGAGCCGATGCACTGGCCATCGTTGGCTGTACCCCGAGCACCATTGACTGTGCCGTAACAAGTATTGATGACCTGACGCTTCTGAGACAAGCCTCGCCACGTGATGGCTTAGTTGACGCCGAGTGGCTGGAATAGGCAAAGGCATGGAAGTATTCCAGAATATGGCCAGTCCGGTTCTCGGTGCTGCTCACATTCACCGAAACGCTGGTACCAGCTCCGCGTCCGTGAGTGGACAGAGCGGTTATCGGAGCGGTGGGGAAAGGAGTAGCGTGTCAAGTTTTTGCTTCTGGCCGTCCCAAGGTTGCATGTAAACGACGGAGTGGGTGGGGTGCATTAGTTCCCATCACACCCCGTGAGGCTCAACAGACGTGCTTGGCACGCTTGCTCCGGGGTGGCCTGGTTTCGGCTGGGAGATACGGGCAAGATTGGCTGTCGACTGCCTGCTAGAGGCTAGAGAAGCAGCGCTTGGCCGAACTATCGGTAGGATTTGGAAATCGTCACTGGTCCAAGCTGATGGCATCAGGGTACAGTATTGCGCCTTTGGGGCATCCGTCTGGGGGGCGAAGTTTTCGTCTGGAGAAGACGGACACTCCGCCCAACCCTTGGGCCCCGCACGCATCCCTGGTCCTGGGGACAGAAAATTGGCCGCGTCATGTGGCATGCGGACCTGATCCAAGCTGAAGCCAGTGTGTGGAGACTGAAGTGTTATGTACGAACGCGGCCAGTAACGCGGTGTGGGAGACGCATTACATCTGTCGGGTCGTGTCTCCACATGATGCATGGGCCTCGAAACACGGCTCCCCGTGGAGCAGAGATTTCATGGAGATTCCTGGAGTTTTATGGAGAGATCCATTGATTTGAGGGGGGAAGCCTCCGGGGGTGTCTGTGGACGCGGTTTGTTGATGGAGATTGTGCTGAGTGGACGACAAATGTCGCAGGTGCATACAAGCTCGTCACTCGTCATTCAAGCCTGAGAGCCAAGTCTCGAAGCTTGGCATTTCCACCGTGTCGCATGAGGCGGCGAAAAAGCTTCGCCTGCGAGAAGAGGTCTCGGTCCGAGTCCGAGCAGGAATGACCCGCAGTTGTTGTATCTCATTTTAGCCACAGTCGGTCGTATGTCCTAGTCTAACTCGACGTCCGGCAACTCTCTCGGTAGCGACAAACTCAATCAGGCTGCTCCACACGCGGCAAATGTCATTGTAATGACCTTGGTGAGGTTGCTCACGTACAAGAAACCTCACGGGCATACGAATGGTGGCTGCAGCCCGATATCAAGGCGGCATCTAAAATGATCGCCATAAGCCACGATCTGGCGGCGGCTACTTTCTTTGCCATGTGTGAAGGTCACGCGGCGGTGCTGGGCAGGGTCCGGCACATATGTAAGTGTACAGTAAGAAGGCCTCGCACTCGCGAAGCCAGGACCCTACCTGCAGCACCGCCCAACCGTACCAAAGTTGCCATGAGAAAACCCGTCATATGACCTGCGACGTGTATCCTCGGCCTGGATGGACATGCACGAAAGAGTTATCTTGGTCCAAACAAACCGGGGCAATCCTTATTCTCGCATTCGCATACTACTGTACCGGTAGAGTTTGGACGAGGGGCAACGGTGCCCCATCATGACTGTATTGTCAAATGTCACTATCGCCATGGTTGCTGGTACTGCATGAGCGATTATTCAAGCCCTACCAGGCCGCCGAGAGTCATGGAAGGCATTCCTAGACATCCAGGATGGGCAACTACAGCGCGGCCCGACATGACTGATAGCAATCAGTCCAACTATCAAATCATGACTGCGGGTCGTCGTCCACACCTAACCAACAAGGCAAAATCCCCGCCATCCCCATCCCATGTGGAGTTGAGCCAGTGCTGTCAGACGCAAGGCGATAACAAACCAATTCCACCAAATCACAGTCGCAACTCCTACACCCAACGATAAAGCAATCATCTCACGATGTTCGACCCCGCCATGATGATGATGTTGAGGACGAGGAGGAGGCTCCCCATACCCACCCAGTCCGACACGGCCACCTCGCCAACCAACCAATAAAACACGCCTCGCACAAACGCGTCCCACCCCAACGCGTTCCCTTCACCGCCCCCATCCACGCCCATCAACCAACCAAACCAGGCAAAACAAACGAAATCCAGACACTGAATTTCATACACAACAAACAAACAAACAACGCACACCGACACAAACAAATCCACCATGTCCAACACCCCCCTCCCCCCTCACGAACCACCCTCACTCCCCTCATCCCCCCTCCCCAAACGCACAAAAGTAATCGACCCCACCCCCCTCAGCACAACATCCACCCTCCCGCGAGGAACAGACAGCGGTTTCGCAACACCCACGCCGCTCGCCGCCAGCACCACAATGTCGGCTTTACAACCGCCCGCGCCCATCGCGCCGTCCATTGCCGCGGCCGCAGCAGCCGAGCAACAACTGCAGGTGCAATTGTTGAGTGCCAATGCGCAGGCGCCGAAGAAGGGCAGTCAGTTTGCGGCCGGACATGATTTGTTTAGTGCAGAGGAGGTTGTGATTCCAGCGCGGGGACGCAAGTTGGTAGGGACGGATATTAAGATTTCTGTGCCGGTGGGGACGTGTATGTTTGCCCTCTCTCTCTCTCTCTCTCTCTCTCTCTCTCTCCATCATCTACCTTTCCCTTTCCCTTTCCCTTCATGATTGGGAAGTACAGAGGCTGACACGACAACTCCAGACGGACGCATAGCCCCCCGCTCAGGCCTTGCGTACAAACACGGCATCGACACCCTCGCCGGCGTCATCGATGCAGACTACCGCGGCCCCGTCGGCGTCATTCTCGCAAACCTGTCCGACGAAGACTTCAGCATCAAGATTGGTGATCGCATTGCGCAGCTGATTGTGGAGAAGATATTGATGCCAGAGGTTTTGGTTGTGAATGAGTTGGAGGCTAGTGTGAGGGGTGCTGGGGGGTTTGGGAGCACGGGGGGTTTTGGTGGGGGGAAGGTGGAGGTTGAGGAGAAGGTTGAGAAGAAGGAATAGGGTTAGGAGATGGGGGTTATTGCGAGGAGGTGTATGGGTGGAATTGTATAGTGGGGGGGCATACGATAGCATGGTACTACGGTATGACAGCAGCAGCAAAAGCTAGCATATATACACCAACCACAGCCATACATGAAACAAAACAAACAAAGACAACAATACGTCTATTCAACATCATCCATCTTCTACACCCCACCTTCCTTCCAGCAGCCCTACCGCGGCCCATCACTTCCCCTCACTCACAACCTGTATCCCCCCCGTATCCTTGGTCCCCACCCCCAAATGCACCACATTCCACTCATCCGGCCTCCTCTCGCCCACCTCCTTCGGCACACAACCCCCTTCCTCCACCACCCTCGGCGTAAACCTCTCCAAGTCCGGCGGCTCCAAAAGCTCCTTCACAAACCTCACAACCGTAACCTCACTCGCATTAGTAAGCGCAAGATGTCTCTTCTTCCTCACCTCTTCATCCGCCTCATCGCCCTCTCCTCTTCCTTCCTTCTCAGCCCGCGCATCATACTTTTCCATTTTCTGCTGGCACACCGCCGTCGTCTTTGTCAGAATAGCTTGCATAGAGGCGAGAACCTTTTGTGCGGCTTTGGCGAGGGGGAGTTGGTCAGCGGGCACGGAGTCCGGGGAGCGCCAGCTGGGTGTGGTGTGTAAATTGCATTCGGGGGTTGAAGCCGCGTGCACGGCTTCGATGAGGCGCGGGATGGTAAGGGCAGCGAACATGTCGCCGGTGCCGGAGAAGAAGAGAGGGAGTTGTGGGGTGTCTATGCGGAAGAGACGGGGTTTGTAGTCGGAGGTTGCGGTTGAGCCGATGATGGTGAGGTTTTCAATGTCGGAGAGGTTGAAGTCTGGTTGTGAGGGTAGCTGTTGGGGTGTTTCAGAGGGCGTGTGTGTGCCGGTTCCCGCTTTGGAGACGGGGCGCGAGGGTATGGTTTGGTTGTCGCGCGTTAGGCGGAGAGAGGTTATGATGACGTGCGGGACTTGGTATGTTTTGTGGAGGACTTGGATGGCGGCTGCGAGGGACTTGAGGTCGGTGATGGGGGTATCGGAAAGTAGTCTGCGTTTCTGTGTTAGCAATTGCCGGCTTTTGTATCTCCAGGGGACGCACTCTGCCTCAAATTGGTTCGGAAGTATCAGATCTGCCTCTCGTAGCAGACTTTTGTACTCTGGAACTTCGTCCTCGGGGATATATAGCTTTCCGTTGTCGCCCATGACAGGGTCCAGCACTATTCCTAGTCAGCACTTCCAGTGTGATGGCTTCCATACGACTCACCCCAGAAAAAACTGCCAGGTTTTGTGCCCGCATTGAACTTGATATCCCTTCCAATTGTCCCTATCGCTTGTACGGCCTCGGCACTGGGCATGTATCCCGTCAACAGTACGTCGAAGTTGGTGAGGTTCGATTGGCGGAGGCCATCGTAGAGTTGGAGGATTTCGGCGGCGGACGTCTTCGTGCCCTTGACTTGCTTATACGCAGTGTGATTGCCTAGCAGCTCCAGCATTAGTATGAGCAATACTCGAGAGACAAGCTATTTACTGTAGTGCACAGTATTGATCGCAGAGACATCGCAACCTAGCGACTGCATGACAAACGTTGCCATTTTGTTGCCGACATAGCTAGGCCCAACGTTAGTCGATCGTATAGACAACTGTGTCGGACAACTCACCCATGAACAACCTGTCGCATGTTAGTCGCAGGTATCGCGCCTCTACGCATGTGAGTCTTACATGACTGGCTATTGCAAGCACGCGCGTGTCCGGTATCAAAGTATCAGAAGCCATGTTGACGAAAAGAAACAACAATCAATCAAGAGGATGCAAGGAAAGAGGCAAGAGTGCAGGCAGGGTATGGTGTTGATGTACTGTTATTTCCTTATCTTAATTCCGCGGTATGACGTGAAGTAGTTTTTGGTGGGGCGTAGCCTTTCTTTTGCGTTTAGGGCCGAGCACCGCAGCGGGTGCGCGTTCTCGGCAATATAGCATGACAGAACCATGGACCTAATAGGCCCTCGATGCATATCGGAGCAATTGCGCAGCAGATCCCCCACAGCTATCCTAAAATTATACCAGTTGTGTGCCAGTGAAGACATGGCCCGCTTATTCCTCGTCACCAATCTGTTTGGATTAGAACTACTCTTGTATAGAAGGGTCAGATGTCTTACCTTGGGTGCGAGGTAAAACCTCAGGTAGCTGTTCTTGTCGCCGAGGTTGTACTCGACAAGTAGGGGGACTTCGCTGGACAGGCAAAGCTTGACCGTGTGAGAAAGGCCACTAGCCTTGCAGAAGTTGGTCAAGTACTTTAACGAGAAGGTCAAAGAGACTGGCTCGCTCATTTCAATCTTGACATCCTCTTCTGGCTTGGTCAAGTCTGTATTTGTCTTGAGAAAGACGGAGCCCGAGCCAATGTCACCGGAGCATAAGAACTTGACACCCTCTTTGCTGACCTCAATTGCCACTAAGCTTGCATTAGCTCATTATGCTGCACAGTATCCAGCCGCCGTGCATTGTATCACACGTACCTGATTCTGACAAGGCGCCCAAATCTCTGCAGATGCGCTGGAATTCAGGCGACGGTAGCTCAATGGTTGCTGCGTAGTCGGTCTCTGGGATTCCCAGATGTTCCTGGTCAATATCCATGAGCTTGATATCATATTCGCTCAATCTCGCGCTGCCGGGGCTTTCGAAGACTAGGTTGACGACATCGGGCGCATCCTCAGCCTTGATGGTGAGGACATCGTCGTTTCCGGCCGCGCGAAGCACCTTTGTGAGGGACCCAAGATTGATTCCGAGGGCGATGTTGCGGTCGCAGCGATAGGGCTCAAAGGCTTCCGACTTGAGCAGCATGGAGACGAGGGCGACGTGGGAGTTGTCCATGGCTTGCAGGGCAATGCCCGCGTCATTGCAATCAAAGTTGCAGTCCTGCACCAGATCCTTGATGGCATCAACAACCTAATTGCTGTTAGAGAGGCCATTGCTGACATGTCCATGTGCAAAGTTACCTTCTTGAGGAGGTTTGCTTGTGGTAGACGTGCTTCAAGCACTACACATTGTTAGCAAAAGTCAGTCTAACGGAGCGGTGACATGTACTCTTGACTGTGAATTGGTACTAATGAGTAGAACAACGCTGGAGGGAGTATACAAAGTGTTGTGGTGGTGCAAAGTCACAATTTGTCGTGAGGCAACAATCAACGGAGGGGAACGCGAAAGACAAGGCTGGCCAACGCGTCGACCACGCGCTAACCAACAAAGGCACGGAAAGCTAAAGTGCCGCCAAGTCCTACTACACATGGTGTCAATATTAGGTGAAATATTCATTGTATTTTGTCTTTATTTTGGAGTGTGTCAAGCTTGTGATGTTACTTTGTAGGTCGACATTGTCTCAAGTCATAATAGCTGGTCTCAACGGTGAGGAGAGGGATGCAGTAGCTGAGTATGGATATCGAAGTTTGCATTTAACATGTCGTTACAGTGGGTATAACAATGAGGCAATATGGAATATACGTAGATGCCTCCAAGCGCCTGACGCTAAATGTCCACTGCTGGCTTTCTGACAGGTGTAGTGCAGCCTCCCACTTCTCATCAACTACTTTGCCCTCTTCCACAGAGTGACTTTCCAAGCTCACCCTGGCTGTGCCCGGGGTTGCATTGAGAAGCCTCGGGAGCCAACCAGACTCCATAGACTGCAACATATCCTAGTGCATCCCAGCAAGCATGTATCCCCTCTCCATCAGTTCGCCTATATCCCGTCGCCCAACACCCCCTCACGCCCTCACCAACCCATAAAACAACGTCCACGTCAACACAAACCCACTCAACCCACCGAACACATCTCCCAACCACAAATCACCTAGTGGCTTATAAAAGTATTTACCGGGCTTTCCCTCCGTCTTGAGCGCAAAGATCATGACCGACACTATCAGTGATGCCAATAGGTAGAATATGAAGCCTGTGTATGATTCGAGGCCTAGTGTGCCGGCGGCGACGCCGAAGAGCGATGCGGTGAGACTGCGGATGTTGGATACGACCTGTTGTGACGGCAATTAGTGATTGGATACGGGAGAGATGGTGTACATGTCGCTAGTCTGTCGCGGGTCTGGGTGAGCGTACCTGGGTGTTGTGCTGGACGCTCGTTCCCACAATCGGATTTATGGCGAGCTGTCGCTCTTCTTTGAGGGCTGATGCTGCCATTGTGTGTGTATTATCGCCTTATATACAGTCGAGATCCGCGCTGTATCGTGGACTCTGTGGAGGGGAGCGGCGGAGAAACGAAGTGGTGTCTGCGTCCGTTGTTCCTTGGGCCTGACGTGGTTTCGGATGGAATACAGGGACAAATAGAGGCGGCCGGATGTATTTGCAGTAATTGCGCAATGTCTCGAGAGGCTCAAACGAGTGCGATGACGTTATGGTAGTTGTTTGGGTTGGTGAAATGGTTCAGAGGTGGAGTGCTGCTAAGACCCATGCTCCACCTAGTTACCGTCATGGCTCGTGCGCGGACCCTTGATGACCGGGGTTGTCATGGATGAGCTTATGAGACATTCTACAACACACGTCAATTCACCATGACGTTATGCGACAAAGACTGTTTATTTCTAATCTACCTGAGCTCGCGAGCGTGAGATGTGTCTATGTTGGACTGCATTCAACAATGACACCAACCAAGTCCATCACACACCGTCGTAAAGAGGATCGTGTTCGTCAAGGAACCTTGATAAGTTAGTCTGATATTCTAAAGCGCAACTATGTATCAAGTATTCACTCTTGTAGGTGCATGGGTAAAAGGTGGTCGGTATACGCTTGAACGGCACGAAGGTAAACTATGGCTTGCTGGAAGTACCCATCGTTGTCCCTGGCAGACATCACGTTGTTGAGACTCGTAACTAAATGCTTTGGCTGCCTTTACGAACTTAGCGGTTGCTATTATAAGGGAGATGGCGCTTACTGTCACAGGATGTGCCTGGGTCAACCGTGCCTATGATAAGGCTGCATCTACCGCGCGCTTGAAGCAATGGGTGGCTGGTACCACACTTCAACACAGTTCGCATCATAAAGTTGCGTCTCGGCTTCGAAAGAAGACAGCAAGACAGTCTGAAGTAGCTCTTGTTCCCCAAGCGAGTCCCATGTGCTGACTGTTCCGAAAGCGGGAAACTAGATCGCTAAAACCCAGGAATCCTCCTCTACCAGAAACCTCGCCCTTTACCCCGCACAGTGTCAACATTAACTCAGGTCATCCACTGCAACAACGACCAAGAGAGGTGGTCCACTACTTGTGAGTAGCTTAAAACCCGTGTAAACCCTACTATCGAGAAGAAAGACCAACCTTCTTTCTCCACCCTAGGGCGAAGCGTATTAGCTCGACCTCTTAGCAACCCGAAAACAGAACAGCTCACCAAGGATCGAACATGTCATCATGGGAAATCAGCCAAATCAGATCTACGTCCGCGTCAGAATTTGATGATAGTAGCATCTACACACCTACTACAACCACCGAAAACGTTCCTACAGGCCTCGTGGAAGGTCACGACGTGCGTAGTCGAGTCCCCACACATGGTTCCACCTACATCATCCGCGCCGTATCATCCGAGAACGTGATGACACTGCTTGACGGGCAGGTCATACTTGCCCCAATCGGCAGTCGTGGGTGCATCTACTGGACGTGCGTGGAAACCGAAGGCTGGCTCGGATTCCGAAGTTGCAGTTCGAAGAAGTTTATATGCTATGATTGGGACGCGAGACTGAAGTGTACGGCAGAACAAAAGGACGGTCATAGGCAATTTACTATTACTCCAGTGCCAAAGGGGGGCTATATTATGCAAATGCTGGACTGGTGGAGACTTCGTCCTATAGTGCTCAATCCTGAAAATGGGGCACAAAAGCTGGCAAGGACGGGGGATATGCTGTCGGATGGCATTGTATGGGAGTTCATCAAGGCTGAAGAGGGATCGGCTATGGGATAATGAGCTACAGAGCTTTCGCGCGACAGAGTTTCTTATTAACTTGATGCTGTTGATGCTGAGTCCTAATGATGAGCATGTAGGACTACTGGGTGCGTGTGTGATAAGTGAATGGCTGGCTTGACATTTGGTATCTGCTAGCTCGAGCTCGTTGGTCGTAGTGTGTATGGGTTGTAGGTAGGAACACCAGGAGTTAGGTGTTGTGTTCAGGGTAACGTTCATTAGCTCGACTGTCGCCATTAATGTCCCGGGCGGACATGACGTTGTCGAGACTCCTAAACGCTTTGGCAGCCTTTATAGATTTAGCGATTGCTAGTATAATAGAGATAGCGCTTACCGTTGAAAGAAGAGTCTCGGTTAACCGTGCCTCTGCCAAAGCTGCATCTACCGCACGCTTAAGGTAATCGGCAGCTTGTACCAACAGCCTTCGCGCTTCAACATAATCCGCATCATAGAGCCGCCTCTCGGTTTCAGAAATTGTTCTAGTGATTGCATCTGGCTCCCCGAACGTACTTGGGTCGCCACTGGAGGAGTCATTCTCTGCTTGTGCTATGCTTGCCAGCGGCTGTTGAGCTCGTAGCAGCCAGTTTCGGCCGATCACTGTGAAGGTCAGAGATGATTCGTTCAAATGTAGCTGTGATTTACAATCCAAGATCTCAACATCACTAGGGTAAACATGCAGCAGAGTCAGCAATTGCCGTAGACACCAATCCGCTATGTCGGGTATGGGACCATTATCAGCATCAGCAAACGCCACGCGCTGGAAGACACTGATGAGAGGTATCTGCCAACGTCTGCGTTCTTCGTCAGGAGTTGTATCGGCTAGCTCGAAGTCGTCGGTCGTAGTACGTATAGCTTGTAGGTGGTCACGCCAGGAGTCAGGTGCTGTGTCGAGAGTGGTGTTCATTAGCTCGACAGTCGCCATCAACGTCTGGGTCATCTGAATGTCCATAGTAGAGAATGATCAATGATGGTACTTTTTGATAGCAGACCAGAGACACGTGGCAGGGCTATTTGTAGTTGACATCACACAGGATGCCGGAAGAGAAACAAGACCGAAACCATTGTACTGAGGATCATACAGGACGTCGGGTTGATATCTATCCGCAGGTCTTGGTTTATTCGGTGTTCGGCCTCGCGTTTTGCATGAGATCGGGTCGCGCCGGCTGCGGTGTACATGGTTGCAGTTGGCTGGACGGTAAGATCCAAATGGCTAGAAGGTGTGAGTCTACACGATGATTTGAAAAGTCGGGTGGCAACCAGTTCGGATGAGGATGTAATGTTTTGGTCGATACATCAGCCTTGCGCTTGCTCCCAGTCGCCCATGGGCGAGAGTTGCTTTTGCTCAACATGATTTGCGGTCAGATTACCTGGAGGCGGCGAATACATGCTGGAGGAGCTTTTGCATTGAGTAGTTTCCAAGTAAGCGAGGAGTCATGATCAAGGTGCGTCATTGATGCTGCAGAGGGAGGGTCGTGACCTGGACGGTGTAGGCTAGCTCAGACAGCTGACATGATTAGCCTCATAAGCCAGCCGAAGTTTTTGGGGGGTACCTGCATGCGCCTGCTATGCAGCTCCCCCATCAAATGCAGCCCTATGTCATGAATCGTGACTACCAAACTTGACACGGCGAGTTTCATGCGGCGGACGAGGGAAGACGGAAACAGACAAGGAGTTTGCAAGTAGGGGAGTTTGAATAAGCCCGTAAAGGATGTTTCATCGCACATCTGCCGTCCGCTAAGACGGAATGGCAATCGGAAGTTCCGTCCGAGAGAGGGTGCCAACAGACGCCATCTAGGGTAGCTTGTCCGGAACTCGCTCTGGGCCTTCCGAGCATACCGAAGGAGTGAGGAGCTCGCCCGGTATGCCCAGGGGAGCTTCTGCTATGGAATTGGCTCAGACGATTCGAGACGCAATGTGATTGTATGTGGACTCGTCCGAGCTGCGCCTCGTCCTGACGCGCGCGCCTGAGTAGGAAGCAGTCCGAGAGCCAGGGTGATGTTTGAGAGGACGGGTTCGGGGGGAACGATTTAGGGGAAACGAAGGGCTTAACACGAGCCCACGTCCTCTGCAGAAGAAGAAACACTCACTCTAAGACCAAGGCAAAAACACAGTTTGGATGAACCAACTAGTCAAATCTACAGCCATAGCAGGGTAATTATCATCTGGCTAGGGTCAGATCAGACAGCGTGAACCCCCCCCCCCATTAACGGTCAATGCCGCTCACACTCACGCCAATCACGACCAAGGCGTCTCCGCAAGCTGCCTCATTTCCCAGGACCCTGCCTCTCAACTACCTTTGCTCCAACTACGGTGTGCTCTCCTTTCAGTTTCCTGTTTCCGTTTCCATTGTTTCTGTTTCTGTTTCTGTTTCTCTTCGTCTGCAAGCCTCACACCGTGACCGTCACTACAGCCACGATTGGATCCCACGCCCTGGACCACGCGCCCGCATCCGCTCCCGTGCCTGCCACAGCTGTCATACCCGCCATATCCATATCACCTGCCAACCCCGGATTAGAGCTACCGCCTCGGCCCACACGCGAGTCTTCAGCACTCGGAGCCTCCAGATTCGCAACATGCGGTAGCAGCATGGAGAGCATTATCCCCGACGACTCGCCTCTTGCGCATTATCTTGAAGGTGCGACGATGATGAATATATCTTTGCAGGGGATGCGCCAGCCACTAACACACCTGACAGGCCAAGGAAGAGGGGAATCCCGCCCACCCTCACCCTCGCCAGCCGCTTCGACTTTCCCAGACTCGCAATCGCAGGGCTTCGCACCGCGGGGTCCTTCGACACTGCAATCGAGAATCAGAGATAAACTCCCTCAGCCGCTTCGCATCCATGCGCGCCATGGCTCCATTGCCCGCATACACACGGCCTGCTCGGTATGACGCACACACTACGACTGGCATGATTTACTGACTGTGCGCAGAAGGCAGTCAACTCGAGATTGGGGCGCGCCGACAACGAGCGCTTTCTAGAGCAATTCCGCTACCTCATCGTCGCTTCCCAGTTATTAGGTGAGCAGGGCGGGTTGCGCACATCGGCCATTCCTAGCTTTGCGACCGACGAGCGCACCGATGCGCATGAATTTAGAGCCGCCAGGATAAGCCCCATTGGCGCTGCACTCACCGGGTCGGCCACCTTCATACTCGTATGGCTGGTACACTGGTCGCGACGCCAGGAAGGCTTTAGCAAGGGGAGGACGCTATTGGTGCTGTTGGTTTTTGCCGCAATGGCCACTGCCGCCTATGGCTACATGCGACGTCAATGGCTTTATTATCTGAGGCAAGAGGCAGTCAAGGGCGCATCTGCATTGGTCACGAACCTGCAAGCATACGACGCCTCTACGTCGGCCGCGCTTGCCTTGATTCAAGAGGTGGAGCTTGTATCGCGTGGGTATCGATTGTAGGTTCCCCATTTGACACCCCATGTCAGTCTGGTACTAACAGTCAGCAGGAGCAGTCCTCTGCCGCCCATCTCGCGCCTCGAGGAAAAGGGACACGCTCGCCGATGCCAACGGCTACGTCGTCATCTGCGTGCGACCTACGCCGAAATTATTCCGGTCCTTTCCCATCAGTGCGCCATTCTGAAGCAGTTGGTCCAAGCTGACGATCTGGAAAAGTACCTCGATGTCTATGAGATCAGCAACCCTGACCTGCAAGAGGCTGCGCTGAGCTACAGCCCATCCGAGTTTGACGATGCCGAGACGCTCAAAGCCCTTCGCATCTTACAGTATCGCTTGTCCATCCTCCGACGTGTATACCTGTGCTCTCTGTTGGCCCTCGAAGCAGATGGCGGCACGCCTGATTTCGCACGATGGTCCACCGTGGTCGATTCCATGCTCAACACCGCTCGTCCTGCGGGGCAATGGAGCGAAAAGTTCAATCGCGTGCTAGTCGAGGAGGACCAGTTTGTCCTTCCATCACCGGCCAAGGCAGCGCCCACGCCTGGACGCGACAAGATCCGAAACTCGGTGCGCAAACTTTCGGGCCTATCCAGTGGCATCCGTGGCCTGCAAGCCAAGATGCAAGTACTTCGAGAGGAGACCACCAAGAGCTTGGAAGACACAGAGGATGTCACCGAACTGGGCCACTCCCTCTTGATGCAATATGACTCGATTGGTGCCGACCTCAAGAGCTTGGTCCAGGCATGGGAAGCAGGCAAGAGCGCACTGGCATTGAACATTGATCGCCAGGAACGCAGAATTTCCCAGGCCTCTTCAACCGGCCTGCGCTCCCCAGTTCCGAGCTTGGGCGGACTCACCGCTGTAGACGAAGGCAGTCCGTCTGACGCTCTACGTGCTCTTAATGGCGACCTGCTGAGTCCCCACCAGAGTGCCCCGTCGAGCGATCAGGGCAGCGCGTCCGATGACGAAGTGTTTGAGGCTATTGCGATACCAAAGACACGTGCCACCATGTCGAGAGAAGAGCGTATGCAGAAGATCCAGGACGACCGCATTCGACAAGCTACATTCCGCGAGCAACGCGATGCGGGCACCAATATGCTGAGGGAGTTGGAGTCGGTCATCAACATGCGACCCAAGCGCATGTCGGCCCCTCCCGGTGCACGAATTACTAGTATTTGAGTCGTATTTTTCCTTGTGTCTATCGCTGACCTAATGATGGCTATCATATATCGCTTTTCCTTTATGCTTCCCTTCTTGTGTCTTCACGGCACGCATTGGGTTTTACAACTTGATTTGGGCATTTACGCTATACCACGGCCGCGGTCGCATTCGCTTTTTCCTTTCTTCTCTTTTTTCATTACACAGTCCCATGGAGTCGGAGGCTCATGTCTATAACGTATATCCTGTGGTCAAAGTACCCTCACAAAATAGTAATGATATACATCACCATATCTACTTGAAGCATGTACTATGCGCCTCGTCGTTTCCCCGACACGGATACGAGAGGTAACGTTACGCGACACGACGTGGCTGAAGGATAGTGGTGTCGGAGAAATAATCCGCAAGGTGGTTATGCGGTAGCGAGACGAGGCTGTTCAGCCACAGCATGGGTTGCGAGATCAGCATCGTATCTCGCTCTGAGAGCGCACATGCACATTTGCTCTTGGGGATAACAGTCAAAGCCGGCTGTTAGAGGGAGCCATATGACCATGTCATGTGCTCGGTGAGGATTCAGTCTGTGACACCTACGCCATGGCTGCAGCAAGAACATGTGATCTCAGCTGTATGGCAATCTACATGTACATGATCACCTTCCAAATTTCATAGTCACATGCGTAGAATGGCGCACTTGAGACATCTGGAAACGGCAGGATTGATTCGATTAAACGCTTTGCGCCAAAAGCAGCTTCGTTGGTGCCACAGGGGCAGTTGCGACTCAGTCTACGACGTGATACCGTGATAGACTAACCGCTCTCGCTCAGGTACCCAATGACGACCGGGTGTTCCTTCCCGCTGGGCTGGACTCATTGGCACCAAAGCCCCTGCCGTGGACCTCAGTCGCGGTTCCTTCTGATCTTACTTCACCTTCTACTACTCCATGACGGCTGGAGGCTTCAGCTTGGTGCACCGTAATACTACCATCTCAATCGTTGTTTCTTTGCAAACACATCATGACCCAGGTCGTCCGCCTAGCGGAGCATCGCGCAGCCAACACTAGACTTCTACCGAATGCCGTCGCACAATGGCTGTCATCTTATCTCAACGAGCGAACACGTACAAGGAACCAAAATGACGTCGGAATCATATCAGGAACTAGTCTGCAGGAGAAAGGACGACACAAGAAAGAAGACATAATTCTGAGATACCTCCATGAACTACGCAAAAGATACTTGCTCTTTCTACAGCATACAGGAAAGCTTCCTCAACCATCACTCACACAGTGTGTACAACACTCTCAATCGTCGTCATCATCGACCGTGCCATCAGTCTTCCGCGGCCCCCGGGGAGCGCCGTGTCGTCTTCGCATGTGCACTTTTAAACCATCGGAACGGGCGTACTCTTTGTCACAGTTTTCGATAGGGCAAAGGTATCGAACTTTGGCTCGACTGGATCCTACGCAAGTCTGAGTCTTGAGATGGCGCGTGAGATTTCCCAGTGCGTGTACACCTGTGAGGACCGTACCGCAACGATAAGGACACGGCACACTATAATCGTTGTCGGTCTGAGATCCTCCAGGCGAAACGGCCGATGATGTATGGATGGTACTTGGAGGCGAAGCGGAAGCGCTCGCTGTTGGGGAAGTGAATGGGAAAGTTTGAGCTGAGCTGAGAAGTCACATCAGCCCCGTCAGTCCAACCTGAACAATTTACATACAAAGGTGTCATGGCAGGAGCGATTGAGGTATTCAGACGAGGCGGTTGAAGGGGAGTGTATCCTGGAGCCGACGGGTAGCTACCTGTCTGGGGAGGACCATAACTGTTTCTAGGTCAGCGAAGACCCGCAGTCTCCACTGGATAAACGTACTAATTGGTGTTGGGATAGGTTGGCGATGGCGTGTAGTTACCCGCCAGATTTTCCTGCGAACCCGCTACAGCATCGCTATTGGGAGTGAAACTACTGTGGCCGCGAAAACTATGGCCCGCTGTACCGGACTGTTGATAACCAGGGTGCGGATAATAGGAAATGGGCTGCTGGGAATACGTAGCCGCCTCATGGTTCCAGCCTTGCCCATATGACTGGAAGCCAGACAAAGGAGACGTTGCTCCGAATGCTTGTTCGGCCCCACTGGAACTCACTGGAGGCAGAGAGGATGATGTCACTCTCTGGTTTCCATCGTTATCTTGTGACCAGGAAGCCCCATGAGCACCCTGGGAGTGATGGTACGCCATATGAGTAAATATCCCTCCGTCCTGGATTGTTCGTGTTGCAGTATGCGGCTTTGGAAGTGATTATCGGTCTACGACTATCTTCCGAGGGCTCAAAATTTGCCTCTCGGGAAAGCCGCAGGTACTCTGGAGATTTACAGTGGATGTGTTTCCAAAGAGAGCAGAGAAAGTTGCCCCCAAAAGACAGCGATGCAGAGCTTTGGTCACTTGGGCACGGGAAAGTACCTAGGTAGTATCCCACAGGCTTTACTTGCTAACTATTCAGTCAGATTTATGGCTGATCAAAGAACTTTTGAATCGCTCAGTCTCCATCCATATTCTGCTTTCCGACGGAAGACAACTTACCGGTGCTGGCTGTTGATCGATGCTGTATCTATCCGCGAAGAGAATAACGGTCAAAGGTTGCACGCCCAAGTAAAGTGGGCTACGCACTATGTTATACTGCTATGCATCATTGGAAAAAAAAACATGTAGGGCTGGATGATGCACGGCAGCCGGTGAAGGAAGCCGAGCGAGCGCACGACGAACCACGGCACGATCAGGCTGGCAAGCCACCACCAGGGAATGTCTCGCTTCACCGTGCGCTCAACATGACATGCCTGTCAGAGTAGCTGCATCCCAACTCAAAGGGCAAGGGATTGTGCGACGATCAACAACTGCTGCCCTTGCCAATCAAACATGCAACAGCAACCCCGGATGTGGCACAGCGCATGAGATGCCTTGTTGGCTTTTATGCGATGCCTTTACCGCCCGACTGTATTGCAAAGCTACCGGCGTTTTATGCGGCTATCGCAACAGACAGAAGCCTTATTTCCGATTTTCAACTCAGAAAATGGGCAAAGGCTGTGGGAAGGGCGTCTCCCACAGCATACGTTGCCGGGAAACCCTGATACCATGTGTACATCCAATCAGTAATACCAGTACCATATCCGGAGGTGTTATTTCTCCGCTTAATTTCAATTCCCACTGGCTTCGATGATGGATGACGGACAAGGGTCAACTGGTAGCATACTGCTGTATCTTCTCGGGTACCCTGAGCAGTGACCAAACAGGCTTCGCTATCTACTTGATGGATACAGGGCCATGACTTGAACAACAGTAACACAGTCGAAGCAGCCATTCAGGGAAACGGGTGGAAATGGATCACGTTCTAGTTTTTGCCTTCTACGCCACGCCTTGTGCACGCTGCACGTCTTACCTGCAGCGGAGCCGTGTTGAATACGAACCACGAGGGCGCTACATCAACAATGTAGCGCATATTATTAAGGGGCGTCTCGTTTAGGCGCACAAAATTCGATTCGACAAGTAGTTCTTGCGAAGTCAAGTGGGTTGGCGGGACGGCTCGTGACGCGCAGTTCCGGCTATGAGTGGTCTACCGATCAACCCGACCGGCCCGAAATCTTGCTCATTGGTGTGCAGGAAGATGGCACATGACAGGAGATAGAACACGGAAAATTGGCAGCAAAATGGGTAGCACGATATGCGTCCAACCCTGGAGCTAAATGCGTTTTACCGTGTTCATGGTCAGCCTCCAGAGCACGGGCAAGCGCTCCGTTACGATGATGATTACCCGCATACGCCATCCGATCGGATCGACGCGGACAAATTGGATGATACCGACACATTCAATATGAGAGGGGCATCCTTGACATGAGTTCTTTACAATTCTAGCCCTGTTCGTTCCTGTCATGATACATGTTTTCCGACTACTCGGGTTAGAGCAAGGCCAGCCCAACCACGTGGAACAAAGAATACAGTCTGCGTCAGACCTTACCCGGAACGTGCTATGGGGCGGCATTACTTGGCAAGCTGTCTAAGCACTCAAGAACATGATCGCATGGTAGTACAGTCTGGGACAAGTATTGTTCAAGGGGCCGAAGCTAAGTTGCGAAGGGTGATTTAATCCTGCTAAACGCCACAATCAGAATTACTACGCTTTTGCCATACAGTTGACGGAAACACCAGGAGCAAGGGATGGGAGCACTGCCTTCCTGCCAAGATGTTCAACGGCATGGCATGATAAGTGCACGCACAGTCTGTACACATTGATTGGCATCGGGACAATCAGGGAAACTGTCCCATAACTGCAGTGGTATCACGACTCCGTATGCTCTCCCCATTCTTATTACCGGCAGCTGGCAATGCATTAAATCGGGAAAAGGCAACCAATGCGATCTGTGTGCAAAGAAGCGGTGAGTATGCGAGAGCCTCGTGAGCAGGCAAAAGTGGGCTTTTGAACTGAAACCCAGGGCATACTTTTGGATTGTCGTATCTGCCAAAGAAAAAAAAATCCGCAACAGAAAAACGGGCATGTCAGCCAAAAGCGGTCGCTTAATCAGATGCAGTCGAGTCGTCGTCGTCAATGCGCTCGGAACATTGAGCGGTGAAAGGGGCCTGTGTGGTTGGCCAAACCTCTTGATTCGGTAACCGATGCAGGCCTGAGAATGTCAGCCTTGTCTGTACCGCAGTGCATTGCATGCAGCGATCCAATTCGGGAAACACATACTTCTGCAGAGGAGACACTTGTACGCCTCACGATTCTTGGTAGTGTGCGTCACTTCGACTACAATCGAGAGAGCATGTAGCCTTGAGGTGGGGATCTACTCTCATTCATCGACGTTGAGTCAGCGTACAGACAGCAGTGCCATCTTACAAGTGCTGTCTTCACGAAAAAATAACGCTAACCCATAGGTATTTTCGCAGACTGCCTCAAAGCTTTCCTATTCTTAGCCGATCATTGCATCGCAAGCGTGTGCGTGCGTACAAACCCGTCACTTTCATACATACCGATGATGCTAGATGCACGTGCTTGGTAACGATATATAACGCCACTACGTTGTGGCAACATGGCGTGTTGCACATGAAATGCAAACTTATCCTAGGCGAAACGTTACGCTAACTCTATTCTAACTACATGGGGCCACAGACAGGAAGTATGGTTGTACATTTTTACACCTTTGGATGCATGCAAAAGATCTGCAAGAAAACGGAGCAGCAGCGCCAGCCTCGTCTCGAGGCTTGGGGGGGTTTTTTTTTACAAACAAGATTAATGGTCGAATGTTGGAAGACGGCGTCATGGGGAAAAGTATTGAGGAAAAAATCTCTTTGCTGGTGTAGCGTATTTTGAAATAGAGAAATCAAGCGTATTGCACTAGTTAGGCCAAGTTCCCATTTCTCCGCTTCTTCGCTGGCGGAACATCCAACTCTGGGTGACTCCGTCGAAGATGCACCAGTAGCGCGTCTTTGCGCCCAAACGTCTTTGCGCACTCTGGTTTATCGCAGCGGATACTTTTTGCTTCCTTGTGGTGGCGTTCCATGTGGCGGTTGTAGTTGCGCCGCGCGCAGTATCCTGTAAAGACAGTATCATGGCACTGCGAGCAGTGCAGACCCTGTTGTACATCGTCACTGGTTATGTAGAAGTTAGCTTGTTACTACAAGGTGTTCGGGGGGTGCAGCTGATATAGCGTACCCTTGGGGTTGAGGTCGATTTGCTCCTGGTGATTGTGGTCGGGGTGGTATGTGATTATATTGATTTTCTGTTGTCGCGGTGAAGATATTGGGGTTGGGGTTAAGCGGAGAGTGCTGTGATGATCCAGGTCGCAGTGTTACGTGACCGTATCGATCTTCTGTCGTCTCGGTGAAGATATTGGGATCCGGGGGAGAGTGCTGTAAGGAGGTATTCATATATTCGGTGGTTGTATACGGGTTTTGATCATACACCCCTTGACTACCAGCCATCTGCGGCAATGCAGCACTCAGACGTCGATAGGGCGTCGAAACCGAATGATTTGCTGGCCATAACTCTCCAGTAGAGGCGCTCGACTCAGGCACCTCGCAATACCGTTGACGAAGTGTGAGCGGCGCATGATAATCGTATTGTACTGCCGCTTGATACACAGAAGGCGGCCAGTGGTGCTGAGCAACCTCTTGCGAAGGTAATGCGGTGAGGTTGTATGGGGAGGTGGGTGTGTGACTGTAGGCGGGTTCTGAGACTCGTTGGATGGTGTTTTGGGGATGAGTATGATGACAGTTCTGTGTGGGTTTTAGCGCAGGCTTTGGTACTTGTGGTTGGTTGTTGTTGATATTTGTGGGTGGTGTTAGGGGTTTTGGACGCACCGGTAGGGTTTTACGAATGTTGTGTGGATGGGGGTTGTTTGTTGTCGACATTTTGATAGAGGAAGTTGATTTTATGCTAAAGGTAGGGATTCCTCACTACCCACTCTCGTTTGATTCAAAAACTCCTGCCACGAAGCAAGAAACAAAGCGAACATTAGAATGTCACAAACCAAAAAATAGAGCCAAAAGCCCTATTTTTCACCACTTTCAAACCCTGACCACGGGACGCGCCGCTCGTCCCACTCATTCAATGCCACTTCAACAAGCCGGCTGCGCCCCCGTTTTGCAAACTCAACTCAGACAACGTAGCATTTGTGCCCAGCCCAAAGCCAGCGGACAACACATCGAAGCGCCCTACTCCACCGACGAATGAGCCAGTGGCGAAACGGAAACACAGTCCCGGAACCAGACCGGGCGAGCGCTTCACTCACAAGTTAGTTGTGACAGAGAAAGCCTTGTTTGTGAGCGTGAGTAGGGCAGGCAGGCAGAGTCATTTGCCTGTTCTGCCTTACCGGTTAATGCTGAAAAGGCGAATCAGAATGGTGTTTGGGTAGTGTTAGCCGCGATATCGAGAGGGAAAAGTGCGATGGGCGGCCTCTTGGAGGAGGGTACGAGTCAAGATGCTGGGGTTGGTTTTGCCAGCGCATTGCTCATGACGGTATGTGTGAATGGGTGGGTATGGGTGTTTGCATATGTCAGCGCCGCCTCTGCTTTTTTGGCTGCCTTGTGAGTGTAACGTGGACTTGACTTGATTTGACTTACCTAGCTAGGTGTAGATAGTGGGGACCGAACTGGACTGGACCGGGACGGGACGGGAAGGGGAAGTTGGTTCCCCTTGTCCCTCCCGTGCCGCAGTATAAGTTTTGCTAGCGACCGGGATGGAGTTATGCGTTGGAGGGAGGCCGCCCACGAGCGAGTGTGGTGTAAGGCAACGAGGTATATGTGGGTGTACATGCCAAGATTGGCCCGGCGGGTCTGAGACATGAGTGAGCTACGGGGGATCCGTTGGGGCTGAGTTCGTAACGAGTTTTCCAAGTAACGTGGGAGAGACAGACGTGTGGTTAGACTTTTTGTTTGGAATAGGGAAGGGGGCAAAAGAAAGGAGAGAGGAAAGGCTGGCCCTTAGGGCGACGATATGTGGCGAGGTGAGATATGTGGTATGGCATGAAGCACCAACAAATCCGTATTCTCGCAGAAAAAGAAACACTGAGTGGCGATGGGAAAAGGTGGCGGATGGGAATATATCAACTTCTCCTATCCCTTTCAGTCTATCCATACCTTCTATCTACCCACAGCTTCACCCCGTTGGGCATCTCTGCGTTTCCTTTCCTCCATCTCTTTCTCACCAGTACATGCCCCTCTTTTCCCACCCCCTCATCCATTTCCCCCAAAGAAGCCCAAAGAGTGAAGCGCACGCGAAAAGCCTAGCCGTACAGAATCCCATGTGCCAACACATCGGACACCACATGCCCTGCCCTGCCAGCACATATGATGTGTGGTAGGTAGGCTGAGCGCTAAACTATGAAAGCCCTGGAGGGCACGAGGTTGGCACACAAGGCTGCAGCCTGATCAAGTTTAACAAACCTATGGTTAGATGACACGTTTTACAGACGGGCTGGCTAGCTTGAGCTTTAGTTTGAGCTGAAAATTGGGCTTGGTTTGGGCTGGCTGAGTTGTGGGTTGAGGAGTGGGTTGTGGTGTTGCGATTCTGTTGGGGTGGGTGTGGCGCGGATGTGTGGCACAGCCGAGTATGGATGTGGAATGTGGATGCCTGGCTGGGGTTATGTGGCGCAGTTGTGGTGCTGTAGCCTGAGAGGTTTGGAGGCACAGAGACTTGGAGAGAGGCAGAAGACTTGTAGGAGGGGGGTTGGGTATTTAAAGGGGCCTTGAGATATTTTTTTCTACTTTGTAGGGTTTGGAGTGGTGGGTTTTTGGGTTCTTGGTGAGTGTCTTGGTTAGTGGAGGAAGGGAAGGTGTGTACGATTATGGGTATGGAGGATAGGTCGGGGTTTGAGAATAGGGTGGTATTGGTAAAAAAGATAGAGAGAAATTGATTCAAGGATTTAGTAGGCTGGTAGAGGGTAGTGAGCTAGGTTCTTGCATTTGTACAGAGGTCGGTACTGTATGTGTAACTCCTTTGATATTGTGCATCCAATTACCTAAGTATACATAGTATTCGTATTACAATGATACAGTTGTCAAACAGGTACCCGTTAGATACACAATTCCAGGACGCGCCTACAGGCTAGGGGTTCTCTTCGATCTCAAATTTGCTGCGTCGATGTAATCTTTTGAAGTCTTTTGGATGCGGTGACGCGCCTGTAAGATAATAAAGTTGACGTCACTCAAAATTAATCGACGAGTTAGGTATACAGGGGGGTGTCTTATTATGATGGATCTGCGGGTGTGCCGAAGAACTAGTCAGCATCGTGGTTACCTAGCGGGGTCAAGCTCTCTGACGTCAAAACTTGACATACAGACAACCTTCAAAAGTCAAACTTCAGAATGTTACTGCTACTGAAAGCCTTGATTCTAAGCTTTCTTATGAAAGTTAAAGTATACTCTGCTTTATCTTATATCCTTTCCCTGATGCGTCCCTCGCTAAAGTCGGGTTGGCAACCCCTGGGGTACAAGCTCTGCAGCCGTCTCGTCTCAAGGGAGAACAGAAGGGCTTGCTCGATAAATGCTTCAGGTTACGAGCGCCGGTAGATATCTTGCAAACCTTCCAACAAAAGCCTTCGAAAAACGAGCTTCGCCGTAGAATGTCAAAGTTGCATGTCCCGTCAAAACAAGTCGAGACCGTGTACAGATGCTTCGTTAACACCTGGAATGAATACGGCGGACTGAACGGTAGAAGCCCCGATTCATTCATGTTCACGCCACCAGACACGACATACCAAATTGTCAAGACCAGGAACAAAGGACGTGGAATGGTAGCTAGTCGCGATATTGCCGCAGGCGAAGTCATCCTTCGGGAGACTCCTCTCGTGGTACTCCCCTACCCAAAATCTATGGCTCCTCTCTTACTCCTTCTGCCTAAGCAAACTCTGAAGACTATTCTACTTTTGCACAGCACTATGCCTGACGAAAAGAAATTTTCGGCTGATTGGGATATCCCTCACAATCGTCTTCTCGATGCTCTTATGGGTTGTATCAATAGCAATTCTTTCGACGGCAAGACCCTATATGGTCTGATGGGAATACTTGTCCTGACTGGCCCCATGTTCAACCATGACAGCTCGCACAACGTCACACGCAAAGTCATCTTCGGCCGGAAGCAAGGGAAGAGTCATTTGGAATTTTCTGCGGTTCGCAACATTGTCAAAGACGAGGAACTGACGGTTTTGTACAATAAAGACCCCGCTGCTGTTGCAAGATACGGCATCTTAGAGTCCCTGGATATCGAGCAAGATGGACCATGTTGGGAATGCAGATTCTTTTAAGAAGCTCGCAGGGCGCTGTGGCACCATCCTATCTATGAGGTGAGCAGGAGTCGGTTGAATGGAGATGGGCCGAGCTTCCTGTGCAAACGACCATATGTATAGGGACATAAGTGAATTCGAGTTGTGTCCGAAGTAACGCCTGAGAATTAATACATTACGTTTCGATTGAGAATGACAAAAGGCTCGTTGCCCAACTACGCATACCATGACAGCTTCGCGGCTTCTTATGTCTCTCAGACCGCTCCAAGACTAGCCTCGAAGTAGGACTTTGTGGGGGAAGTTAATGATACAAGATAGGATCAAGAGAATCGATTACAAAAAGTGAACTCCGAAGAAGGTCGGGAAGAACATGCACTATCGGACTGCTGTGTAAGCATGTGCATCCGGAGTAATCTATTCCCCTGCTCTGACATTAGAATCGGCTAGCGGCTTCCTGCGTGTCCTGCCGATGCGGCGACCCTAGGCCTAGAAGACTGGGTAAAATCTCCTGCCGATTCACAGTGACGACACGTTAACGGCAGCTAAGCTAGCGTTGCGCAACATTTTTGCCTTGTTAGGGTTTTCACGCGTCTTGGCAGATGCTCTCATACCTGGATAGGAATCGGGCAACCGCTTGACGTCTTTGCCGCGAGCATCCTCCGAGATTTCCCAGTCTTATCGCCCCGTCTCTAGAATGTTCCAACTTCAAGGGGAATTTATGGGTAGGTAGGGCACACACCGCTTTGAGGCTCAAAAACGTGTTTTGGGGTGGGTCTGGTACACCGGCGTACATCGGCGAAATAGCAAAAAACATCAGGATAGCGATATGGGCATCATCGCACATATTTTGATGTATTACAAATGCTCGGAAAATTTCTAGAAAGTGGGTAAGTGTTGGTATAAGAGGGTGAGGACGACTGGTGTGGTATGCATTCCAATAATCCTATCAACTCATAATCTCACCGCAATATCACGATAACTCTTTCTCTTCCCACACTTCGATACCAGTAGCCAACGATAATGTCTTCATCACCCGACTTCCAGGGCTGGGTTGCCCACGACCCTTCCGCCGCTGATGGAAACATGAAATGGGGCGACTACACCCCCAAGAACTTTGAGTCCACCGACATCGAGATGGAAATCAGCCACTGCGGTGTCTGCGGTTCCGACATTCACACTCTCCGCTCCGGCTGGGGCCCCTCAGACTACCCTCTTGTCGTTGGCCACGAGATCATTGGCAAGGTCACCCGTGTTGGTGACGATGTCAAGGACCTCAAGGTTGGTGACCGCGTCGGTGTTGGTGCGCAGAGCGACTGCTGCGAGGCTTGCCGACCTTGCAAGACCAAGCAGGAGAGCAACTGTAACAACTTCGTCATGACCTACAACGCAAAGTACAAGACTGGTGACAAGGCCATGGGTGGTTACGCAAAGAACTGGCGTGGACCTGCTTCATTCGCCATTCCCATTCCCGAGGGCCTGCCTTCTGAGTACGCTGCTCCCCTCATGTGCGGTGGTGTAACCGTATACAACCCTCTCGTCTCATACGGTGCCGGCCCAGGAAAGCGTGTGGGTGTCGTTGGTATTGGAGGTCTCGGCCACTTTGCACTCCTCTTCGCGAAGGCTCTTGGATGCGACGAGGTTGTTGCCATTTCCCGCTCTTCCAGCAAGAAGGCCGATGCCCTTGAGCTTGGTGCTGACAAGTTCATTGCAACTGGCGAGGACCCTGACTGGATGAACAAGAACGCCGCTGGCCTCGACATCATCATCTCCACCATCTCCGGCGGTTTCCCTCTCGACCAGTACCTCAACCTCCTCGACGTCAACGGTACTTTCGTCCAGCTCGGTGCCCCCGACGACCCATTGCCCAGCTTCTCTCCCATGGGCTTGATCTTCAAGAACTTGAAGATTGCTGGTAGCTTGATCGGCACCAGGCAGCACATCCGGGACATGTTGGAGTTGGCTAAGAAGACAAACCTGAAGGCTTGGGTACAGGTCAGGCCAATGTCTGAGGCCAATGATGTTATTGTTGATTTCGAAAAGGGCCTACCCAGGTACCGATATGTGCTTAAGAACTAGATGGTTGTGGATGGATTAGACGATACCCTGTAGATGTAGTTGTATGAATGAAGTTTAGCGCTTTTTCTAATCGTTCTGTGTCATTGGCATGCTTTGATTTCTTTCCACTTTCTGGGCGTGCGCCACTCAGTGCAAAGAGATATGATGATTGCGCCGACCATTGGCCGCTTGATGAAGGTGACGTTGATGCAAGATGATGATAGGGTGCAAGGTTCGGATGTAAAGGGCGCTAAATTTGAGGCCTACCAGCGACCAATCAGCGCTCAGCCGACCTCGAGCATATAACCGCCCCCCAAGACGTCCATCTCTCTTCTTTCCTTCTTCACCGTGGGGCCTGTGGCCGCCAAAGCGTCCACTCCTTTCTTCTTTCTTCCCATCTACTTAGCCCGCTCTTCTTCGTTCTTTACTACCTTCTGGGAGCCAGGGGCTTCTTTGCGGCACACAGGTACCCCATCGCTAGACGTTCTATCGTAGCGTTTAATTTCCGGACCTAGAGAAAGCGCGTTTCAAGACGAAGACCAACATCTACATCGCCTTTTTATTGACCCGCGCTTGCTTGACATTCGGGAAACCTCACACTGTGTCCCGCTTGCGAACCAGACTACCCAGTCAACGACAGGCGAAGAAGAGCAACAACAACCTTATGAGACAGATGGACTCCCTCTTTTCCCTTCCTGCGTTCTATTTGACCCACGGCCACAACACTCTTTTCTCGACAGACCTAATGCTTACGAAACAACACCGTCATCATCATCTCAGCCTCAGTCTGCCCCACTTTCCCTCGAGGCCAAACCAGAGTACAACTGTCAGAAATGCGGGAGGTCCTTTCCTCAGCAATCCAAGTTGAAGTGAGTAGCTTCAATTACAAAGCCATAAACGTTACTGATGCCTGAAAGGCTGCATTTGAAAACACACGAAACGTACAAGTGTGAGACTTGTGATGTGTACTTTCGTGACAGCAAAGACGCTAAGAAAGACCTGGAACGTCACAGGCAAACCAAAGCACATCAGAAGAAACTTGGAGTTGCTTCCAATGCATCGCAGTTTGTATGCCCTGTTGAGTGGTGCGCGAAGAGCATGCCGCGGAAAGACAATTTGAATCGGCACATCAAGTCTCAGCACCCTGAACAGCAGCTTTTGGGAAATTAGCTAGATGAGAGATTAATATCATAAATTATGCTATCAATGATTGTGTGTATTGTCCTTGTTTCGTGGTGAATTCGTGGCGACCATGTTCAACCTCATGTGCAAGCCACCACGTCTGGAAAGATTTCTCGTTAAAGGCTGAAGAACAGGCCGTAATTAGACACTCGGCTCACTGAACTGATAGATGATGATAATCCTGCGGTCTGACGGCACATTAAGCCACTAGACGCCGTGACCAGTCATTTCTGCACTTCATATCCCGTCAAATCAGATGTTTCCCGCATCGAAACATCATCCTGTCCAATCATTGCCAGACCCAGAACATCCACAACGCCAGCTTGATTCTGGTACATGTGGTAGGCCTCAATCATGTGTCTCCCACGACCCTTGGTTGTCCACACACCCGTATCTCCAGCTCTTCTTTACAATGACATCCATCTTCTGCTGCTCCAATACCCGCGGTTACAAAAACCGCACCCTATCCCACGAATCCAAATTTATCACCTTCCTCACCTGGGCCAACTTCCCCCAGGAAGCAGCATCGTTCCCCCCCCCCCCCCCCCCCCCGATGCAGCTCCAACCCCCGCAAACGTTTCATTCGCCGTACAGATCGTCAAGCAGACTAACTACGGTCCACTGGATGGGAAACGGTACTTTGTCGCTGCAGACGATGGGTCGTTCACCGAGGTGACGGAGCAGTGGCTTGTTGATGCGAATTTCGAGAAGTTGAATACGTGAGTTGTTGGCCGTTCTGTGAGGAAGACAAGGTGGCTGATAACATGTTCTTAGGTTTAAGAATTTCAGATGCTTGACGCATAATAAGTTCTTCGAGGTCAATATTTATCAGAAAGATCCGGCGAATGCGCATCGTTGGCGTGCGAATATTGCTAGACCTGCTGGCGATATTGACTTGTGAAGGGTCGTGATGCATGGTGAGCAGGAAGGGCAGGGGTTGATGGCTAGAGGTTCATTTCGATTGCGAACTTGCTGCTTCGATGTAACCTTTTAAAGTTCTTTTGGGTGCGGTAGCGATTGATGGCGTCACTCTGTACGAGAATTTTGTGAACAGGTCGACTGACAATTGAATATACAATATTACTAGATATTAGGGTATCACAAAAGAAATTAGCTATAGGCTCGACACACTCGTGTTGTTGCTCTGATGTTTTGGTTTTCTCGATGCATAATTGTTCATCTCCATTTGAACGAGCTCCTGCTCATCACTTTCAGTACGTTGGACCTCGAATGTCTTTGTGTAAGTGATGGAATGTGGGGTTGAGATTGCTGTTCCAGGTGCGCTCACACTGCCTAGTGCACTTTCTCCTTTCTTCAGCCCTTGACTCTGACTGCCGTATGCGTAGTATGGTCGGTCCGTGGCTTTGGTCGTACCCATCAGCTTGGGGAACATGCGAACGAGGATGACGCGGAGGGCAGGCAGGCAGGCACATATGATTCCGACGTTGATTTCGATGTTGGACCACTTGATGACTTCTGATTGGTCCCAGGTTGGGTTGGATGAGGCGGCGAAGTTGACTAGAGAACTCAAGCGGAGAATGGAGATGATGGTAACACTATGTTTCGAATTAGTGGCTGGGCATTAAAGGTAGTCAGGGGTCGACTTACAATGTACCGACGCAGAACATGACGGCAACACTAAGCTTCTTGCGCCACGACAGTTGAAGCTGGAAAACTTCGTACAAGGGTAGTGCCAGCATCCAGATGTCTAGAACGATGCTGATGATAGCACTGGTCCATGCTAGCCCGTTGATGTCGACGCACTTGCCGGTACCTTCCAAATCCCATTTTGTCCAATAGAACGAAATAGGCTGGCACTGGAAGATCGCCACGATGATGAAGGCGATTCCGTTCAGGACATTAAACCCGATAGTGCCCCAAAGTAGTCGTCTGATGATCATCTTGGGAAAAATCCGTAGAAAGAAGAAAAGGAGCGTGAGTTTTAAAAGGGCGAGCTGGAGGAAATAGAGGATTTCCAAGGCGTAAAGGTACTTGACAAAGTTGGTGATTTGGTCAAAGCTGACTGTCCAGACGTCTCTTCCGAGTCCGTTAGGGACGATAGCCCTGTCGATGATAACGACTGATGGTACACCAGCAACTAGGGCGGCAACGACACTGTAGTCATCCCACCCTAGTTCACCGACGGAGAATGCCGCCTTGTAGATGACACGGGTAAGCGCGCAGAACGCAGTGGCAGAAGCAAGAGCAACGTTGGAAATGCGAAGGGATGGACCCTTGTCACGTATCGGGGCGTGACATATTATCGAGGTAGCGTTCTTTGTTGCTGGGGTCACAATCAGTCAAGCCCATTGGTATGATCGGAAGTGACTACTCACTCAAGCTCTGTCTGAGAGTACATGATTTCATAACACATCCCTCGACGTTTTTTTGTAGTTTGGCGTCCCTGCATATGCAAGCTGCGTCGGTAAAACTACAGTTTGACTGTGCAACTGCAGTGACAAGGCATACTTGCTGAAGTGGTTCGTCAGTACTCGTTCCAACCCATCATGCAAGATGAACATACCGCACATGAAGGAAGCTTCTCAACGGCTGCTATTAAAGACGAATCCTGGGCAAGTACTACCTGCTTCCATGCTAGCAATGGGAGTAGCAATTGCAGAAGCCTCATCCTTCCTCGTACACATGCAATATTACTGTTTAGAATCGAAAGGTCCGGGGTTATTAGGGTAATGAAAAGGTTGGCGATGGCCTGCGGGGTCAGGTGGCTTCACGACTTTCAGACTTCGCGGGGAGATTCGAACAATATCAAGACGTTCCAGTCAAGGTCGCTTAGGGTCCAGGGGAGAGCTCCTATATGAAACGCTATATAGTAAGCGAATGTCTGCAGGCACATTTAGCCATGGGAGAGCGGACGGTAGCTGTAGCTTTCGGTATGGAGTGGGGCACCACGGCTTCAATGGCAAGGAGTGTCATGCTCCCTCCGTGCCAGACGTTTGTTATCGCCCTACGGATGCCTGGTCCATGCATTCAAAGGTGTGTACTAGTTTTCATAGTGATGGGCTCCAGCCAATTATACAGCTGAAACTGGAAGCGAATGCACACGCGGCCCCAGAAAAGCTGAAATGGACCGCTGTTGAATCCATGGCAAGGAAGACGCTAGCAGCAGCGGAGATCGCCCTTTTTTAGCAGTCGGGTGCCTGGCGTCTCGTGGGCTTCGCCTAGGATGCAGGGACCGAACATTTGCGTGAATTGAGGCTTTGGAGGTCAGCGTAAGACGATCGGCAGGTATACCGAACATGGTTGCTCGTTCCGGTACACGACGTGAATGGACAACTTGGCGCGCGACACGTGCGCCACCCCTAACGAAATCTTCAATGCCTCCGTTCCAGCACGCGATCATCTTCCCGTCGCCGAACTTCAACCACCTCCAGCCGCTACTTGGTCTCTAGGCCCAAAACCCGGTGGATCCCGACTTACTTTTCGAAGATCATGTTCACTGGCTGCTACAACGGCGACGATCAGCTTAGCGAGTCACGGTCGACGAGTACGGCATTTGAGATGCGAGACGCAGTTGCAAAGATTTCACATGTCGACGTCACGCATACCTAGGTAGTGCCACGATGCGCTGCATTGTTGCGCAAGCGTTCGCCGATGTTTTAACACATGACAATGGCACGTCATTGGAGGCGCAGGCGGCCGGTGAGGCTGGGGTAACCAAACGGTTCGAAAGAGGTCAACCTTGCCAACTAAGCTTCCATGCCACCACAATCGTGATGAGGTATTTCAGGACGCACTTCCAATGCCATTCGGGGAGATGCGTTGTTGAGCAATTCGACGTCCGCGGCCTCTGATTGTGGTTGAGATTGGCGAAACCAACACTAGAACACCATGTTTAGCGTCTAGAAGAATCGAACGGTCTAGGAGACATTCCTCCGACCCGTACAAAGCCACATCCGAAAGAATCCGTCACCCACCGTTATTGTTACGAGATATTCCGTCTTGTTGACATTGCCATCCGGCCGACGTTTCGCCTTCAAACCTCCCGCTTGGGAGAGATGAGATCTCAAAACTTTGAATTCAACACTTGTTCCACGACAGGGTGCGAGACATATCCCGGGCATTACCTCAGCCCTACAGGGTATACCTGACGCAACAACGAAACAAGCCCATGCGACAGCGGCAGAATTCCGCCTTTCAACACACCTTCTGCGCTCCCCTTTTCTGACGGGCCGCACTTCGAGTTGGGATTAGTGGGACCTTGTGGCGATGGCGTGAGTTTCGACTCACGGCATTCCTCATTTCTCAGCCGTCCCTTGAGCGCCAGTGTGCGCCTCCCCCAGATCAACGAACACCTACGACTTTGGTATGGAATACTCCAGACTTTCAGATTGATTATCGGTCCGATACCGTTGACCGAAAGTACTGTCACGAGCATGATCGCCGCCATCTTTCCCAAGGTCGTCGTACTGCAGCGGCTACGATATTAGCGCGTCGCGTGGTCTGCACGCATCCTGACCGCACATCACTGACCGCACACCAAATGTTGTCTGCAAGATCCGTTGCAGCGGCACATTTGGGCGGCTGACTTGCTAGTAAATGGCAGATTCCGATCGCTTGTCGTCTTGGGCGCCCCTCGATAATTTCTGACAGCCACAGACTCAGGTTGAATCCTACGATTCAACCAACCATACCATTACTTGGTAACTCCACATGGCAAATGACATACATTCCCAACGTGGAGCTCGCATACAGTGGACTCATGCTTCTTACTCTGCTGACCCACAAAGATATCGCCATCGCTGCTTCACCAGCCACACCAGACATCACAGCGCATCGCATCGCAGCACATCACATCACACACACGTCATGTTACCATCAAAAGACTTTCGGGAACCAAACTTTATGTGTGACGAAACATCGCACTTGCAGGCAAACAAGAATCCCGAGATCGGCAAATACCATGCCACGACCACATGGTAATAGTCTCGCGTGGCCTTTGTGTGCGCTCGGGTACGTGCCGATCACCCAGTAGCTCATATCTTCAAACGGCCAACCACCTGCATCACGCGTCTACAAAATCCAAGGGGCGACGATCTTCAGTGGAATTGACGAAAGCGAGGACCATATGGGGTTCACTAACCGAAACCGCTCTATATGCCACCTTGGTATCGACAACGTCCACTTCCTTTTCGGCTCGATTATTGAGGTTTCTACTCAATTGGTAAGTATTGGTCATATGGTTTGCCTTTTTTGTGCTCCTTGTCGATATGTGACTGTTCCTGGACGGCCGGCAGTCGACCTACAGTGGCACCAAGCCCTTGGTGTCGGTATATTCACCAATTGGCGAGGGAGACGTATGACAGGTGCCGTAGCCGATGCCAAGAAGGTGCCGTAGCCGATGTCAAGAAGGTTCCGAGCATCTGCACTCTGCGGGTATGTTGTCACTTGCCGGCTTCTTCCTCTTGCCGAATTCATTCACCTCGTATTCATCTCACCGCCCAACTTCGGCGTTGTTTCGCATCCAGCATCGATCTGCCTCAACTATGCCAAGCCCAGCGCATGTCATTCCTAAACGATCGGGGGAAGTGAACATCTAGACCACACATCCGAGCACTACTGAAATCCTACAAACCGATCATCCTACTCGTGACTTTAGTTGGCAAGTGCATTTCACCTGCATGTCTACTCAATCACATCACTGTCACCTTCTTGTAACTATCTAGATCCCCCTACCCCTCGTTGAAACCCCGAAAATCAGTACTATAAGCCGCGGTTCATGTGTTATTGCCCCCTTTGAAGATCATCACCGACGCAGCTGACGCCGGCGAGCCGAGGTCAAAGTTGACGGAGCAACCAACATCAGATCGAGAGAGAGCATGTCTCAGAATTTCCGAGAAATCATCCTTTTGCATGCGGTATTATCTGGAGAAAAAAAGATGTCCCCTGCATTTTGGTTGTTCGTATCCAACGTCGGATGACATGCATGGGTGGTCTGTGACATCGGAGTCGAAGTAACGGGTAAAATCTCCGATGTGCATGTAAGCACTCAAAACACCACTACACGTGGAGATGAGTGTGCGCGAATATTGTGCCGACAGATTGTGCGAAAAAAAGTATCTCACTCTTCTTACAGAGGTAAGAGTCGAGGAAGCTTGGTAATGCTCTCGTCAGCATCATGTAATCGATGGTTCTCCAGATTGGTACGCCAAGGATGGGTATCATGGTAGTGTAGTTCCTTTCCTATATAATGTACCCTGCCATGCCTTCACTTTGTTTCCCACACCTTCCATTCTCGTATTGACCTACGAAATGAGCAGCTTACACAACAATGGTTCGTTGTATGTGCCTCACCAAAATCAAGAGGCCAAGCAGACATGTTTTCTCCGTCTTTTTGAAATAAACAGGGACGTGCATATATGAGCATTTCCAAAGGTAAAAGCGATATGATATGATTGGAGACATATATTTTCCACCTGCCATGCAACATCTACCATGCAACATTAAAAGACCGAAAGACTTTATGCATGACATCCAAAAAGTCCACATGAGGAACTTATGCTGTCGGTCTCTAAGAAAACAACGGAGCATGTGGCCATGTGCAAAGCATACATTTTACCCTGGTCTTAGCGTATTGTCTGCGCCGCACGTGATGAGCGCTACTATATATATTGCTATTCTCGCCTTTGTACCTTTCTTCTCTACACACAAATCATTCTGCCTTCCTAAAATGGATGAAGTATACAAGGATGTACGGTCGTGCTTTTTTCTAAAACATGCGTGCAAACATACAATGAGAAGGGTGTGAGGGAGAGTGTGCCCTATACAAAAATTATTCTGCCTGCTTAAAAGCGAAACATGTGTGATTATATCCGGTCCTGCGTTTTCCAAAATTTTCAAGCAAAGATTCAATGAGAAAGGTGTGAGGTAGAATGTGCGCTCAGTAGCACAAGTCGAAACTAAAAAATGCTGAAGCTGAAAATGTATGGTGCGGGCAATGGGTGTCCTTTTTTATTCTATTCCGGATTTCTCAAATCTTTGTATAAAGCCTTGCTTCTGGGGCATTCCTTCTATTTTGTACGACAGAAATTTCGAAATGGCTACCCTGTAAAATTGGCGTACAACATGGCCATGTGGGCGAGAAAGCCCTGGGCCCTATTATATTCCAAAATTCCCTGCCTCTTCTCCACGGGCATAGATATCCGTTCTTTCTAGAGAACCGAGTATCAGAGGCTGTCAACGGTTTTATCTACCTCTTTCCAAAGTCTTTATGCGAATGTGGCATGGACTGCTTCCTCCCTTCCTCTCTATCTCGATGTTGAATAAGCACGTCCCTCTACTCTATATAAACCCCTCGGCCAGTCCGTCTTCTCCCTTCTTTTCCTACTATCTACAATACTCAAAATACCATTCTTTAAAAACGTCTTCAAAGAGCAAGAATGACTTTGCTCGTCTTTCCACTTCTAAAATTAGCACTAGAGCAACTTCATGGCGAGCTTTTCCTGTTACTAAAACTACAGGAGTATCTATAGATACGTACTGGGGACTATATAAAAACTTGTACCTGCCTTGTCTCTTTCTACTTTTACACTCATATTTCTTCTATTTACTAAAAGAATAACCAACAAGGACGAATGGTTGTCGTCTACTTTTCTTTTTTAAAACACTCTACAATACATGCTATGACCTGCTTTTGTGTACTCTGCAGTAGTTAAACTTTCCCGAGAGTTACCCTTTTATTCTTTACAACACTTCTACTTTCTCTATCTTCATACTTCTACATTCACAATCATCTTTCTTATTACTAAAAAAGGTCAGGTTCTGGCGATGAATGGTCATTCTCTTCTGTTCTTTCGAAAATACAACAAAGTCGCACGTATGACCTGCTCCTGAATACCCAAAAAATCTGCAAAGCTCTTAGAAAATCGCCATCTATACCTTCGATGGCAGCTTTGCCCTTCTTCCTCTTCGTATCTTTCTATCTCTACACCTACAAACCACTTTCCGATTACTAAAACTAACAACCTATTTGATCATGACCGTCTCCCTCCTCTCTTCTTTTAAAAATAGTTGTGGACGTTATATGTCCTGTACCCGTGTACTTTGAAATTTACGAAAATGCCGAGGTTACGTACTCATGATTTACACAGGACTTCCGTCCTTATTACTCTTCTTCTCTTTCTACTTTTACACCCACAATCCCTTTTTCTGAGTACTAAAATCAACAAGCAAACCACCCAACCCATGGCTGTCGTCTGCCTCTCCTCTTCTAAAACCATACACACACAACATGTGTCCTGCGCCCGTGTAGAAATCTACCATCATTCTAGAAAATTGCCTATATCTACTTTACACATGACTTCCGCCCACCTCACTTCTTTCTTCTCCTTATGTCGACAGACATTTTCTAAATAAATTAAAATATGGTCCAAAAATGTTGTATGACTGTTCTCTGTTCTCTCTTTGTAAAAAAAAACATCCATTCCGCGCCCATGGAGTGCTCCCGTCTTTCTGAGCCCTCGTATATCTTTGAAAAATCTGCGTGCAGAGAGGTCTATGTGTTGTTCCCCGCCTGTTCCCTCTACTTACCGATATTTCTAAATCTACTACATTCTGTTCACTAAAAAGACAAAGACAAAAGACCTATGTCTGACCTGGCTCCTTCTTCCAAACCAAAGTCAGTAAAACTCATGTCTTTCTCAGTACCTCCATCCTCTTTACGCGAGCAAACGTAGGTTTCAACCCTGTATAAAAACCCCTCTTCTACCTTCTTACTCACTTATCTTCTTCTTTCCCACTAAAATCAGAGGGCTTATAGTCTTCCAAAAAGCCTGCAAAACAGCCTATGCGTGTTCCCTCTTTTCCAAAAAGGTCGACCTAAATGTACAATGTCTTGCTCGCGAGTATTCGCCGGCTGTATGACTAAACACTCCCTCCGGATGCGTATAAAACTCCACCCTCTACCGCATGCTCTCTTTCTTCCTCCAACATACCGAAAATAGTACTTCTAAAAAACGATCAGCTAACTCCGCATGACTCTCCTCTTTCTCTTCCTTGAACATATTGAAAAAATCAATTCCAGAAAGCGCATACACTAAGGTGTATGATTCTTCACTCCCTTCTTTTTGAAAAGTAGCCTGCAGACCGAACTATGGGCTGCTCCCTCCGTTTCCTAAAATCTACATGGCTGGTTTAAAATATTCCGTGCCGCCTGAGTATGTACTGTGAGAGATCCGACCTAAAAACGCTTACGAAACGGATATGTCGGAAGTTGGAGAAGAGTGTGTATTCGATGTTTTCTAAAAAACCGCATAACGAACACATGGTTGGGGAAGAGAGTGTGTGTTCTATATTTCTAAAAAACTAAACTTCAAAACGAACAAATGTCTTTGTGGAAAGAACGTGCGGAAGTGGTAGTGTGTATATAAACTTGTGTCCTCTCCTCTTTCTCTACATAATTGAAATTCACAAAAAAAATTGCTTGTTTCAAAATGGACGGAGCGAAAGCTCTAAACTTACTACGTGAGGAAAAGCCTAAAACTAAGGAATAAGAGAGCCATGTTTTCAGAATATGAACACGCGCGTCAAGATGAGCTGTGTGACTAATCACTCAATTCATCTATGTATATTACAAAAACTTCTAATATTAACTGGTATCCTGCGCTATTTATCAGCGTAGAATAACCCCTCTGCCGCTGCTACTGTAAACCCCCTTTCCTCCTTCCTCCTTCCTTTCCAGACTACCACGACAACGCTAACATCCAACTAGCCAGGCGATAATGGTCCAAAACCACGTGCAGTACGCTCTCTTCCACATAGTCCTTACACTTGCTCTTAGCTTACGAATCCGTGTAGGTTGCCATGCGTGCTAAGCTCAAGGAACGCGCTGCGGGTGATTGGAAGTATTAGGCGTTGTAGCTTAGTCACGGAGGGGGCAGGGTGGAATATAGGCGAGTTGTTTGATAGTTGTGTGAAGCTCTTCTCGAGGAGGAGGGGGACAATCGAGGGTGGATAAGAGGGAGTGGGTGTATGTGAACACCTACTGGGGAAAATTGTTGTATTGTATAAGATTTCTGAAATGGGGACAAACTTAACAACCATTGCTTGTCTAAACTGCTCAAAACACTGTTTACCGTGATTACTACTCTTCCTTTGCATAACTTAAAACACACCCCAAAGTCTGCAAGACATGATTAACATCGAAGCCGTCACACCACTTTATTATACACACCACTGCAGTCAAATCCACCCCTGTAGACATCATCCTCATCATAAACACACCTATATTCAAGCAGGCCACCTCTAACACACCAACCACCCTCACTCATCTAAGCTATGCACACAGAACCTCTGTACATCTGCAACAGAGAAAGAAGAGAAAAGAAAAGGAGGACGGAGATGATACAACCCCGCGTGTATAATGAATGAAAGACAAAACGCCCAGCTCAAGACAAGACAAGACAGAGAGTATCAGAATCAAGAGTCCAAAAAATACAGAACCCATAAATATGGGATTATACCTCCCAACATCATGTCATACATACATTCGCAATATGGATATTGGCCCTTAAGTCTCCACCATGTGACCCATTCGCCATTGGTTCCCCCCCCCCCCCCCTGTGTTTTTGATATGCAAGAAGATGAAAAAAAAAACAGGACGCCGACCCGATGTGAATAAAAGCTTCAGCTTCAGCTTTGTTGTAAGAGCAAGGCAGATATGTGCTCGACGCACAAACGCAAAGGTAGTAAAACAAGATTTGAAGAACACAACATTGCTGGAAAAGTGACAAGCAAGACGTCTTGTCCACAAGCGTCACCGTCCGAATAAACCGCTACCGACGCTGATTGTGCCCAGGCCACTGCGTTGGGGCAGTGGCGGTCGTGCCGCGTCTGGACGACTACCTGCACCTGGTGGACCACTTGGTGGAGGGGGGTTTGATCCTGCGTTTAGGGGTCGCATGTTGTTGCCAACCCAACGGGGACCACCCTGTTCGTGAGGTATGTCCATGTGCTGTGCTGCGGGACTTGACATCATTCCATAAGTTTCTCTGCTCAGGACGCTCATGTTGCGAGGGTCGGAGCCCGGGCCGTCTGCATAATTCGAGTGATCAGACGCGCGCTTCATCTGCATTACTGGCGAGTCCGCGTCACCTAGCATGCCGTGGTTGTGAGTATTTGACGATGGAGGGTTCGAGTTTGCTTCAATTGTGGAAGCTGAGCCGTTGGGGGCGGTAAGATCGACCATACGACGCTGACCGGCTGGAGTCTGATAGCTAGGCAAACGTGAAGGCCCTGGGGGATATCGACCCTCTTGATGTGAAGGATGCCGTGGGTTGGCCCATGGGGTGCTCTCTATGAATTGCTCTTCGGCAGCTACCTCGTCCGCCGTGGTGGTCCTATTGTAGGTACGGAAGGAAGGAGGCGGCACCGGGACACGCGTGGCAATCTGCACCGCCAGATCAGCTGCTAGTTCTCTAGCAGGTGCGTTCAGCCACTTACCTTCATTGCTCGAAGATCGTCATCGATTTCCGACGGCCTCGCGGCACTGATATCTGGTGCGGCGGGGAAGCCAACGTACTTGGCCACACCTGATAAGACAGAAACCTCAAGGTTGTATGCTGCTTGGTGTCTGATCTGATCTGACCGCTTCCCTGGTAATTTGACCATGTAGTTCGTCTCGTCACAGCCAAGCTGTCGTCGTCCGCGCTGTAATTCGAAGACTCGCTGGTTGCAATCTTCGAGGATCTCTTCCCGAACGTGTCGCACCGTTTGGAAGAACTGGCTGTGCAGCTGATGCCGTTCTGCCGTTGTTATAATGTCGAGGTTCTTCTGCTTGTATTCCAGCAACGTCGTCTCGTATGCGATCTTGTCGGCGCGCCGATCGTCTATGCACTTGATCATGGCAACGTACTCAGGATGTACGCAATTGGGCTGTTTGAGCATCTCAAGCTCGCGTTCGAGCTGTGCTATTTGCTCGTCACACAACCTGATAACAATCAGCAGCTGTTTCAGCATGCCACAGCATGGCAAAGACTTACTTCTCCCGGAAGAGCTTAAACTTTTTCTCAATCTTGTTGAGTTCGTCAATAGCCATCTTCTTCTTTGTGACCTCCTCGTCCATCAGAGCACTGTCTTCTTCGTCATGCTCACCCTCGGCTTCAGGCTCGTGTGCCTCAGTGGCCGCGAAAGGCTCTGCATAAGCATAGCTAGCGTCTTCTGTCTTTCGCTTCCCTCTTCTACCGCCTTTTCTCGGTTTTGTGTGTTTTGCAACGGTCGCCATCTCATTGACAGTTTGGGCTGCAATGTTGGCCTGCCGCTCCTCGAGTTCGTGTTCTTCGCGCGCAAGTGCAGAAAGATGCTCTTCTGCATGATTCAGCTCTTCTTCAGCGTCCATCTGCCCTTGCCGGTTAGCTGCTGCATCGGCTAGACCATCAAGCGCTGAGCTCTTTGCAGTTTTACTTCGCTTGCGCAATGGCTCCTCTTCTTGTTCGTCCTGAATGCTTCGATCGGGGCTGGCTCGCTTTCTTTCCTTTCCCAAGTATTCTAGATTGGCGGCCTCCGAAGCCGCGATGAGTGAGAGCGAATGTAAAGGGTTTTCCGCTGCGTCCGCGTCTCCCATGGTGACGTCTTCTGCTATGCCAGATGGGGTAGCTGGTGCAGAATCATCCTGCTCGATCGTTTTCGAGTGCGCTAGCTTGCTGGGCGTTCTTGTGTATGCTGGCTCCGACAACAAAGACGTTTCGGTGTCTGCCCGCGCGATCTTGCGAGGCGTGTTCTCTAGTCGCTCGGTTTCGGCCTCGGAGTCATCTTCGTCAAGCCTTGTGGTTGGCCTCGGAGTTGGCTCAGATTGGTCGTCTGAGGCGTCTCCCAGCTCGCTCAAGCTACTAGAACCGTTGTCTGCAACATCGTCGAAGCCATTAGGAGCGTGATCGGTCAGAGGTGGCTCGGTGATCACAGTAGTGGAGGCTGTCATTGTAGACAGCATCGTGGCGGCGATTGCTTCGGATTCTTGGTCAGGCGGCGCCTGTGTTTTGGTTGGCGCGGATTGGGGGGAGGGGGTGGCTGCAGATGAGGGGTTAGGTAAGTCTGTGGAGAGTGTTGAAATGGTGTCTGTGAGAATAGGTTAGATTTGGAGTACGTTGAGACGGATCGTGCGAGAGGACGTGGTGAGTGGGCGATGTTCGCGACTCCGCCGTCGCCTCTGTTGACGCAAAGAACGACGGTCTCTCGACAGCCCCAGGCGCAACCCAGGACACGGAAAAGGCTATATCGCTTATCGAATTTACTAAAAAAGTGGTATGACGTACTGGCTGGTTGCGCGACGGCGTCCCCGGTGTCGGAAGCTGTTCGTGATGTGCTCCGTCTTGTCTGCTGGGGCGCGCTCATAGTGCGCCCACGCCGAATAATGCGTCAAGTCGTGTCCAATGTCGTGGATAGCGGTAGCAGGTGATATAGATAAGGCGTGCGATGCAACAGCAAGACTGTACGAGGGCGTAGGCACCGGGTCTTGTGAGCGGTCAAAAACGCTCGTGCTGGTGTGGAGGACGCGGGCGCCGAGGGTGAGAGAGCGTGTGGGGATGAATTTGGCAGGAGCGAACGGGTGCAGCTCCGTCAGGTTTGGCCGTTTCTGTTGCAAACGCTGGACAGCGACTCGCATGAGCGTTGTGGTGGTGAATGCGGAGGACAGCTCGGTCGAGATGGTGTAAACTGCGCTCAGAAGCGGGTCGACGGCCGGGAGAGGCCCTGAGTGTCTTGCGAATGACCGCACCGTGTGAGAGCGGGCGGTGAAGATTCTGCCACCTGCACCCCGAACCGGGCCTAGCGTCATACAGAGGCTCCGTCTCCACCAAAACTTTTCGACGAGCTTGCTTGCCAGCAATAGCGCAATTGTCGCAATGGGTAAATCAAAGGACAAACGCTCTGCCAAAACAGAGTCGCCCAAGAAGAGCGAAAAGGCAGACAAGTCATTTATCAAAGTCGACAAGAAGGCGTTTGACCCTACGCTAGCATCGCTGTTTGCGACCAGTGTGCGTTTTTGGCCGCCATAATTATCCAGTTGAGGCATGAATACTGACAGCGTGTTCAGGCCGGGCCCGTTCAAGCACCCCCCAAATCACGATACCAAGCACGTGTGCAAGAGCAGTCTAAGAAAAACTCAAACGAGGACAAGGTCGCCCAAGATGCAAACGATGCAGAACTAAGTTCGGCGTCGGAGAGTTTGCCCTCTGATGACGACGATGAAGAAGAGGAGGATGACGAGGAAATTTCCGACGCTAGCGACGACGCATCTGCCGACGAAGATAAAGATGAAGATGAAGACGAAGAGGAAGATGAGTCTGAGAACGAGGCGGCTCTAGCGAAGCTACGTGAATCAGCGCTGAAGGGTGCACAAGAGAAGTCAAAGAAGCGCAAGCGGGGCGACAAGGAGGAGATTGAAGATGCATACTTGCGGAAGCTAGCTCGTGAAGAGGAGAAGGAGGAAGAGCAAAGGCAAAAGAAGCGCAAGACCAACGAAGACTCAGAAGACTCAGATGCGGACTCGGACTCAGAAGACGAAGCAGAAGAGGCAGACGACGGCGAGGATGACGAAACCGAGGAGAACTTCACAATCCCCAAGCACGAGTCTCTCACAGAAGCGACGGATGGAAACGCATCAGAGGTGGAAAAGGCATCCCGCACAGTCTTCCTAGGCAACGTATCTATCGAATGCATCAACTCCAAGCCGGCCGAAAAGGCACTCAAGAAGCACCTCGAGTCCTTCATCCCCGATCTCGCCGACAACACTCCTCCGCACAAGATCGAATCAATACGATTCCGCTCCACCGCCTTTGGCAGCTCGCTCCCCAAGCGCGCCGCTTTCGCAAAGAAGGAAATCATGGAAGCAACCACAAAGAGCACAAACGCATACGCAGTCTATACTACAAAAGTCGCCGCCAGAGAAGCCGTCAAACGCCTCAACGGCTCCGTTCTCCTCAACCGCCACTTGCACGTCGACTCGGTCGCCCACCCCACAAAAGTCGACCACCGCCGCTGCGTCTTCGTCGGCAACCTCCCCTTTGTCGACGACGAATCGCAAACGCCCACAGTCGAGGGCGACAAGCCCAAATCCAAGAAACCCGCCTCAGACATTGAAGAAGGCCTCTGGGTGCAATTTGCAAAATGCGGCAAAGTCGAGAGCGTACGCGTAGTCCGCGATGCAAAGACACGCGTAGGCAAGGGCTTCGCCTACGTCCAGTTTGTAGACGAAAACGGCGTCGAAGCTGCCTTGCAGCTCAACGAGCAAAAGTTTCCCCCCATGCTCCCGCGTAAACTACGCATCACACGTTGCAAGGCGGAGAAGAAGAAGGATAAGCCTAGGGGTCCACCGCCATCGTCGTCGAAATCACAAAGAGGCAATGGTAAAGCGGGTTATGCGCCAAAGTTGACAGAAGAGCAAAAGTCGCTGCAGGGTCGTGCGCGATCTATGCTGGGTAAGGTGGCAAAGGCGCAAACCAAGGAAGGCTTTGTGTTTGAGGGTCATCGCGCGAGTGAGAGGCAGGGTAAGAGTGGGCTCAAGTTCAAGGGTAGCGGTGGGAAGAAGAAGGGACCTAATGGGCGGAAGAGTAGGAGTGCGGGGTGGAAGAAGAGCGGCGGGAAGAAGTGAGATGTCTAGTCGAGGGGTTGTTGAGCATAAAAAATTGTCGGATGCACAGGGAGTGGTGCGTCGTATGGCATGGGCATACTATCCAGTCGCGATATGCTCAATTACTTACGTACCCTCCTAAGACCCTTCTCTTCCTTTTGCACATGACTCACCTTTTTGTTCTTCCCTACAACGGACTTTGCTAACGTAGTCTTCCGCTCTCACATGTGTACTTAGCATAATTCCAAGGGGTCACGAGTACATCATCACGCTCCACAAACCCATCCCAACAAAACCATCCGACACGCGCCCTTTGACCCTACCACACACTCAATTTTAAATATTCATCTGACACCAAAACATAAGCACCGCACATACATTCTCCGGCAGATGGCCGACAACCAAAACATAGCCACCCGCCGTCTCACAACCACCCTCAGATAGATTAAAAATCCAAAGCAAACTACTTACGCACGGCAGCTACAACCCCAGCCAGGGCAGATCTGCCGCCCCGGAGCTCGATACTCGGAACGAAACGCTGCCTAGTCAGCATCCCTGAGGCCAGATTCATCAGTGGAAACCGATGAGTTTTGCATGGGCGGGATAAACGGGGTCTAGGGAATTTGATTAATGCCGTGTCTAGCTTGACTTGGTCCGGTTCGTCGGGTCTAAAAAACCACGACCGTTTTTTTATTGCTCTGGGAATGGTAGGGATGGTGTCTGCGGCGATGCGGATGGAAAAACAAGTTGCCAATACTTACATGTGACAATTATTATATACCATTACCTACAATGGGAACAATGACTTACAATGTAAGCAACACGTTTCAGGCGCTTACACAAGCTTTCTGGTGCTGGTGCAAGACGTGGCGAGTAGGTAAGTGTACGTCGACACACCAAAACGACTACCAGTGTCGAAAGATCCGGGGGATCTACGTCCAAGCAAAACTTTAATCGCACATCGACAGATTATTCTCGTGGAATATGCAGCATAGTCAACATGAAACGGACATGCTGATCTACCGTAACCGAAACTTCACCCATGCTCAGTATACTGTAGTAACAGTTTCATCCAGGGTGGCCTGACGTTGGCGATGAGGCCCGACCCGAAGAGGAAGGCCTGATGACATTGATAATCTGAAGCATCCAAGGTTCTGTTAATCCCGATATCCACCCGCTGCCGTGAGGTGGGTAGAGGTCACAAGCGGTAGATGCTCTGACACATACTCCGAGGCTGCACTCGGAGGACGGAGGTGGCTGGCATCCGTGGGAATACAGCAAATACGCATGTGGTGACCATGCTGGACGCGTGGGGAAGGGAACATGTCAGCGGAAGATGTAACCTAAACAGATTAATGCGACAAGCAGAGATAAGTAAAAGTTTGGTACACTGCGACATAGGGCTGGTAGGTAGATAGCTAGCCGAGCTGCATCGTCACCGTTCTGGTACTTGGGATCGCGTGTCGGGCAGGCGCCGCCATGGCAAAAGTGAGGCATTTGATTGCCTGTGAAACCCTTGTCGATGCCGACTTTGCACTTGCCGAGCGCAATGGATTTGCAGACGTTGCAGTGTGTGTCGCGATATGTAACCCCCTTGCAGCGTGGTGGTTGCCTTCTAGATGACTGCCCAGTTCAGCCGGCGGAGTCAGCACGTGTTTGGTGAAAGGGCCGGGTTTTGTTACTTGACCGACGCGGGCGAACCATTGCCGTGGGTCATGGAGGCAGCGAGTGTGGCACGGAACATGTCGGTGGCTGCAAGCTGGTCTGGACTTGAGATGCATAGACCAGACAGGATTGTGCAGTTGTGCAGACGAACAGGCAAAGGTGGGAATCCAGCAGTTACTTTCTTTTCTCTTTTGTGGCAGGAGCACGCGCCTTGGCCGATGAGGGCAGCGCTAGTATGGCGATCACCCCCAGCATTGACGCCGCAGCGGATCGGGCGGAGTCAGACGTGAGCTGTGAGCACCTGGGCTTGCACTCGCCTTGTGCTCGTCGTTGTACAGCAGATTGTGACGCCGGTGCACGTACAGGTGGAGCGATTCAGGCTGGGAAGCCATGGGATAGCAGACGTGATTATGAGCTATGCCCACGTGGTGGCACACGGCCAGCACCTCCTCTGAGACGCGGGCGAGACAACAGCCGGGCCAATGGACACGGCAGTGACGAGTAGTCGCAGCTGAGCGCGAAACAGTCAGACGGCGCGTCGCGAGGCGGCCAAAAGCTGAGTGAAGCTGCGGCGACCAAGGCCGGCGGCGGCATCTGCGGAAGGGTACCTGCGTAGAGCACAGCACTGTGCGGTCTAGCAAACAGGAGGGTCTTCGCAGACGACGCTGGGACACATACGTGGCCTGGCCATGAGGTTGAGAGTTTGGTTAAGAAACCTGCCCTGAATTTGTCATGCCACTACTCCCGGTATGGTGGTGGTGGTGTTGTTGAGCGCTTCCCTGGAAGCGTCCGCCCGCAGGCTACGGATCAGCCGTCTGGGGGCGGAGCAATTTCAGCGCCACGGACCAATCCCAGCCAGGTGCCAGGACGTGGAAGCGCGCCCGTTGGCTACGCGCCCAATCAATTGCGCGCTGTGCGACTGTGATTAGCCTGGGCAGTGGAATGCCACCATGTCCGACAGCAGCCAGCGATTCAAGACGCAAGAGTCGTGGGCGGGCGGGGACGGAAGGCGCGATGGATCATCATGGCCATGGGATGGATCATGGATGAATGGGAGACATGGACAGGGCGAGGGGGAAAGTCGACTCGCAAGCGACGACGCCCCCAAGCTCAAGCTCAAGCTCAGGCTCACACCGCTGCTGCCCGCCTTTTGCTTCTGCGCACGTCATCGCCGCCGCGGACCTTCGGCCTTGACCGGGCGGTCCAACCCCGCGCGCGCTGAGTTGCGACGCGGCTATCAAGAGATAATCTGCACAGTCAGATGGAAGACGCGCAATTCAAGAGAGCAAGAGCGATGTGCAGAGCTTCGATGACGCGCCCCGTGTGCAAGAATCAGGACAACAACGTGTAGGCAAGAATTGGGCGGGCGCGCCGTGTGAATGGCCCGCTCGTGCTGGTGACGCGCAAAATGCACCTCTCTGCTCGGCTCCCATTGGATGAACCCTGCCGTTTACTAGCGTGCCTTCCGCTTTTCGCGCGAATAGAAAGCCCCGCCAGTCGCTCCTTCCTCAAATCAAACCTTTGCTTCCTCCATTCTCCAATCATCCTGCCTGCACCACCACGGCTATCTTAGTTAGCTGTCGCATCGGCCATCCCATCACGAGTCTTTGCACCACGACGCGCTCGTGGTTCAAAGTACATCAAGTAACCGCAAAGCACAGCCTGGGCGCCTCCACAGTGCCTGCAGCGAGCCCGCCAGAGCGTACCGCCTGGTATTCTGAGAGCAGAGAGCCTGTCCTGGCAGCCTGCGCCTGCGCCTGCTAGCTTCCTAGCCTCGTAGCCCTTCTAAGCCGTCCCTACCCCGACGTGAGACAAGACCAACGTCCTGCCTTGCTCCCTCCAGCAAATCAACGCGACTCGCGAAACCTCCAACCACAGACCACGCTCATCCATCACGGGATCGCATCTTGCTGCGAGAACCCCAAGCACATCGGTAAGTCAACCCTATCGTCGCGCCCTGATCTGCCCCAATCCAGTTTTATTTTCGCCGCCTCCACCATTGTCTGTGTGTGCGTGCGTGCCTGTGTGTCTTTGTTGCCGACGATGCAACTTTTGCACAAGACGATGGCGGCGGCGCATGCTGCTCGGCACTTGCCCGCTGCATACTGTTGCGACCAACATAGTCGTCGCCGCACTGCACCAGTCATTTCTTGAATATAGACACGACGCTCTCTTCTGTCTCTCTCTCAAAACACCTAGGCTGGTTGCATCTGCATGTCCTCTGCCGCTGCACAGCGTCGCGCCTCACATCTCCACTCTTCATGGCCATGGGCTGACCGCGCATTAGATAAGGCATCACACATCTCACCTAGTAGCTACCGTCTTGTAACGCGCATTCTGCCCGCTACTTGCACCACGCTGCTGCCACAACTGTCAGCTGCGCACGCCAATATATACCTGCGCACTCGCTGGTCGCCCCAGGCTTTAGAGCCGCAAAGATTACCAGCCTACCTGGTCATCGCGACGGCGCAACTACTGACGATACGCGCAATTACGACGTGCATGTGCCGTGCTGCCGCTGGATTAAAGTCGGTAAGTGCCCTCACCGTCATGCATGCACGCACCTGCATTGCCAGCGCATCACCTCCAATCGCCCACACGCCAGCACATGCCACCCTCGACATCCTCCAATTGCTCCAGCATCCGCGTCTTGAACTAGCTGACGATTACTCTTAGCAGTGTAGACAGACTTCTGCTGATTTCCTGACTGGTGAATACCTGCAACGGCTCTTTCCCCACTACGGCGCGGCCCTCTAGAGTGCGTCTTCATCCTCGACAGGACTCTCTGCCTACGGTACGAGTGCACAGCCCCCAGCATTCAATTGCGACCGTTGCGCCTCAAGTCTCGAGGCTAAGCCTAAGCTCTAGCGATTTCGCCTCAGCTAAGCGTGGCCATTGACAACGCATCAACCTTCGGCCCTGCCGCGACGTGACCCAGCCTGCCTGTGCTGCGCGCCCTGAAACAGTGATCCACTCGATATCTCGCCTCTGACCAGCAAACAAGCCCCAGGAGAAGCATTCTTTAACCATCTATCCACTACGAGAAGCTACATTGATCCGCAAAAGCACCAAGACGACTCACCCGGCCTCCTTCCGGACTGTACACGCCATTGGTCTACCACTATCATCTCATCTCCAGGCTACCATTCTAGTCGCGTCAGCCCCTCGAATCGCACGCGATTCCTCTGCGCCCGACTCCCCAATCACCTCACTCGGTACTGCAAACCCATCTACGTCTCAGATCAGACGCAGAATAACCCGCGCCTGTACTCAGGAGTGGCGCTTCTGGGGTAATACTCAAGACGACCAGCCGCCTCCATAGGCGCGTCTCTGTCAAACCAGCATCTTGTATCCCAAATATATCCATCATGACCGACTACGCGCAGTTCCAACAATCCCACCACGGGCATGCTCCCTCGCACATCCAGAACTATGGAAGTGCGCAGAGTCCCACGGGCGGAAACCCATCAATAACTTCGCCTTCACAGCAGATGCAGCAGTTCCAGCAGACATCACCCATACTACCCTCGCAAGGCTACGGCCATGGCGGTGCTCCGCATCCACAGCACCCCCAGCAACATCACCAGATGAACTTCCCTCAGCAGCAGTACATGGCAAACATGCAAAACCCATATATGCCGTCGCAGCAGCAACAGCATCAGCAGGCAGCAGCACTGGCCACAGCAGCAGCGGCGGGCCCAGCAGGATACTATGATCAGTCCGCCATGCCCGGCCAACTAGCCCAGGACCCCCGAGCATCTCCACGCATGTCTGTGTCTCAGATGAAGCCCGATGGACGTGTTCCGCCGCGTTCCCCGACAAATGTCACAAACGCCATGAACAACACACTTCCGTCGCAAGTTCAAATGACCCCCACTCAGATGCAACAACGGCGAATGAGTACCCAGATCAGCAGCCCTGCCATGCATCACCCCCAGCCTGTCATGAACCAAGGCCCTAGACCTTCTGTGTCCGTTCCCCCACAGATGGCCCAGCAGGCCCAGCACCAACAGTCGCCAGAGCTTGTGTCTGGAGGACCGCAAGCCGAGGAAGCCCCTCTATACGTGAATGCCAAGCAGTTCCACCGCATCTTGAAGAGGCGTCTGGCAAGGCAAAAACTCGAGGACGCACTGCGGCTGACGTCCAAGGGCCGTAAGCCATATCTGCATGAGTCGAGGCACAACCACGCCATGCGCCGTCCGCGTGGTCCCGGTGGTCGCTTCCTGACCGCCGAGGAGGTGGCTGCCATGGATAACGCAGCAAAGGGGGAAGGTGAAGACGGTAACAAGGAGAACGCGTCAATGCCCACCAAGCCCACTAGTGGCGGACCCAAGCGCAAGGCATCTACTACTCAGCTCAAGGGAACCCCGACACACAAGAAGAACAAGGCCGGTGCGGTTCAGCGACACAGCACAAGCGAGGACGATGAAGAGGAAGAGGACGACGACGTTGAAGATGACGCTTAGGCATCGTTTCTCTGCGGCTTGTCCTCTCCTCGACCTTCTACCACCACATGTTATTTAATTTCGACCATTCATATTTTCGAGACCCCCCTTTCGATTCACGATTTACGAAGCGAGTGCTTTTGGGACACCCGGTTGGCTTCTGCATGTTACCCTTGTTGTCAAACACTGACACATTCACACACACAAATTGTCTTACCAAATGACTGGGTGGAATTTCGGATACACACGGCGGGCCGGTCGGAGCATACGGCACTCACCTCTTCACGGAGCGCAGTTGGATCTTGGGAGTTTTGTTGTTATATTCCTTCTTCTTCTTCTTCTCTTCTTCTTCATTTGTCCGCGGACTTGTGGACTTTGTATACTTTTCTTTGCCTCCGTTCTCTGTCACGACTGAATACCCCCACACTCGCTCATGGCTTGGCGAGGATACCCACACCGCTGGCCAGGAGAGCCAGCGGTTATACTAGAGGGTCTTCCTTCATCGGACGAAAATCTATACCACACGCTTGTTTGTTCAAACTATGAATCTGACTTGGCATGTGTTCCCTTGTTGGTGACGTTCCGAGTGGCACCCGCGGCTTGCGAGTACAATGTCAAGGGTCACCTCAGCCCTATACGTGATATAATGTGACATGTCGCATATCCCATCACACTAAATGTGCTACCAAGCTGTCACTCAGCTGTCAATATCTGCTTGTGTTCCCGGTTGACAGTTGCAGTTTCGGCGCTGCGACGTACATGACATGCGTCCAGTCGGCCGCTAGGCTTGTGCCGTCAGAAGTCGCCGACCTCGTGATATGGGTTGATGGGTCTGGTATGCGTGATGGTCTGATGGTTTTAGGAAGGTGCCGGTGTGGCTTAGTAAGAATTGGAGTCTCCACAATAGTACATTGATCATTGTTAGGTAATTGGGTGCGGAATGGTGCTTCGGCGAGATCTGCACTTCAAAGTGCGGATCCACTGCACCGGCTATGTAAAGTGTTTTCAAGTGTGTAACCACGGGACGATAAGCATGTTCTGGCTCCTTCTGTGTGCAGCCTACATTATGAGTTCTCCGTCGTACATTGTTCCCATCCCTCCTTCATCACATCGGCGACGAAATGGCGAAAGGTGCAGCTAGCCAATGCTCAGCAGATGAGTCGATCCGGGAAGTACGGGACGACGAACAAGACGCAATTATCCATGAAGAAAGAGAAGACATTGAAGAACAATGGCGCAACAGCGTTCGCCTAAAGGTTGACCTTCGCCTTTGCAGCATCGCTGGTCTACTATGCTCGCTAAATCTACTGGATAGCGGAGTCATCTCCAGCGCATCCGTCACCTCAATGCTCAGCGACCTAGAGCTAGATGTCGGCAACCGATACTCCGTCTCCATCTTCATCTTCACAATCGCTAGTATCGCTTTTCAGCTACCGTCGACGATTGCGGTTCGGACGTTTGGGCCGCGGATCTGGTTCGCCTTTATTACCTTTTGTTTTGGTGTCATCACGATTGGCACTGCATTTGTAAAAACATGGCGACAGATGATTGTAATGCGAATCTTGCTTGGTATCGCCATGTCAGGCATCTATCCAGGCTTGACGTACCTCATCTCGACGTGGTATACGCGCAAAGAGCAGCAACTCCGGTTTGCACTCATGCAAAGCGGAGAAATTGTTGTCCTGGCTACGGGCGGTATCGTCAACTTCGGGCTGAACCAGCTGGACAGCAAGGTCCTCAAGGGATGGCAGTTGATGTTCATCTTTCAGGGAAGCATCACAGCTTTCATCGGTATCTTAACCTACTGGTGGATGGTGGACTTCCCAGAACACGCACATCGATCGTTTTACTTCCTCACACCGGATGAAAGCGCCCTGGCCGCCTCGCGCATTGAGAAGGATCGTGGCGATGTCACAGCCGAGGGCTTTTCTTGGTCCAAAATCTTTGTTCATGCCAAAGATCCAAAGATTTACGGGTTCTGCACTCTCTACTTCCTCCAGAACGTGGTTTCGACATCCCTGGGTTACTTCCTCCCCATCATACTTCAAGGTGGCATGGGATTCAGCTCCAACAAGTCCATTCTGCTGGCTGCGCCACCATACTATTACGCGGTGCTTCCAGCTATCCTGTCTTCACTGGTGGGCGATAAGTTCCAATTGAGAGGGCCAGTCATCGTGTTCAACAGTGTGTGCTTGATTGTGGGATTCTGCATGTTGGGCTTTTCGGACCAGGTTACGGTCAGGTACATTGGAACATTCCTTGCTACCGGAGCATATGTCGCCAATTGGGCCGGCATGGCTACATACCAAGCCAACAACATCGTTGGGCAGTGGAAGAGGGTATTTACGGCGGCCGTCGTGACAGCATTCAATGGGGCCGGTGGCATTGCCGGGAGCTTTATCGTGAGACAGCAGGAAAGCCCAAGGTATATGACGGCAGTATGGATCAGCATAGGCAGTCATATCATGATCATTGGGCTCATCGGGATATTTTCGGTGCATTTCTACTTGGCGAACAAAAGCCAGAGTAAAGGGAAGCGGGTGTTGGAAGGCAGGGAAGGGTTCCGATTTACTTTTTGAACGTGTATGCAGCAGTTGTAAAGCTTCCATCACCAATATCAAATATATTACACATTCACTCTATGATCATGTTATGACGCGCTATAGCGCGAAAATCGGACAGGCCATGCATGGATGCCAATGTTGCAGCAGAACTCATCTGACTGGGATGAAGGCGGGTTGACGTCGATGTGGGGACTTGGCTGGGCGAGGCGGATTCAATGCTGGCTCGTGCTGGGCGGCTCACGACGGTCGTCAACCAACTCGATCGATTTCACCTCCTTCGGCTGAGGCAACATCAGCATCCCCGCTTTCTCGCCGACCGTCTTCACCAACCTCTATATCGCATCACGTGGCCTTCTGGATCGCCCGCTGCTGGCCGCCGATTTGGTCGCGTCAAGCAGCTTCCCCTGTTCAGCTGGCCCCTCGAACGGCAACAGCACCCCCGTGAACCTCCGCCGAGCTTATGCGCATCGCCCCGGACTCTGCACACGCAACATCAACTTCCGACGCTCTGTATACGCTTTTTGAGGGTGCGCCGCGCCTTTGATTGCGACAATGGTGTTCCTGGGTATCTACCGCGCTCTCTACGACTATGAGCCCCAGGGCAGCAATGAAATCGCCCTGACCGAGGGCGATATCTTGATGGTCCTGGAGAAGTCGACGGATGATGACTGGTGGAAGGCCAAGAAGAAGGGACGCGAGGAGGATGAAGAAGAGCCCGAGGGCCTGATTCCCAACAACTACATCGAAGAGGTAAGCCGCTGCCTACCTGGCCTGTTGCATCCTCAGCTTGGCTGCATGCCATGGTTGCACCATTGACCCTCCTGTACAGGCCGCTCCCATTGCACAAGCAAAGGCGCTGTTCGATTATGACCGCCAGACGGACGAAGAGCTCTCGTTCAAGGAAGACGCCCTCCTGGATGTGTACGATACCACGGATCCCGACTGGACCTTGGTAGGCGTCGAGACCGACTATGGCTTTGCGCCCGCAAACTACATTGAGCTCATTGAGGGCGGAGCCGCCGCAGCTGCACCAGCGTTGCCCTCGCCAGCCATGCCGACTCGCCCGCCAATGCCTGTAGCCAGGGACTCTTTCGACGACGACGACGACGACCAACCGCCCACCCCAGACAGCCCTCCCAAGCCGAGCCCTGCTGCTGCCCTGGCTGGCATCATCCAGAAGAAGTCACAGGAAGCGGCGCCGCGGTCAACTATTTCTCCCCCACCCAACGTCAGTGCGCCCGCGCGGCGACGTGTACAGTTTACCCCGGAGGAATCCGACGAGGAGGCTCCCGCGCCCCGTATTCCCCATCGACCCGCTTCTCCCCCCACTCAGTATGCGCGTACGCGGTCACCGTCACCTCCCGTCAGATCGCCTCCAGCTCGAAGCGTTACATTCGATCAATATGATCCTCCCAATAGCGAAGATCAGCCCCAGACACCCAGATCGGGCTCGGGATACCATCTTTACAATATTTACGAATACATCACACAGCCGGGCAAGAACAAGAAAATGCCAATGACCCTGGGCATCAATATCCCCAAGGGAATGATTATGATTGCGCCAGAGAAGTCGCGCGATGGGCCGCAGCAGGAATGGAGTGCAGACAAAATGGAGTACTACTCGCAAGAGGGCAAGCACATCTTCATGGAACTGAAGCAGCCGAGTAAAAGCGTAGACTTCCACTGCGGGGCCAAGGACACTGCATCGGAAATCATGTTCGCTCTCGGTGAGCTTGCAGGAGCTGCCAAGGGCGCCGGACTGCGCGAGGTTCTCGCTGCTGGATCGGGGAGTTCCAACGTGCAGAAGAAGGGTGTCATGCTATTTGATTTCATGGCTCAGGGCGACGACGAGGTCACGGTGGGTCTCGGTGATGAGATTCTGATTCTCGACGATTCGGCTAGCGATGAGTGGTGGAAAGTCAGGCGGCTGAAAAACGGCAAGGAGGGTGTCGTACCAGCTAACTACGTCGAGATCACAGAAACCGTCCCCATACATGCTCCTGCAGCTACCATCGCCCGATCGGGAACGAATGCTGGTCGATCCATCGTGGAACAGAATAGACGGGAAGAAGAAGAGCTTGCTCGTCAGGCCTCTCGAAAAAAGAGGCCAGAAAGTGAGGCAAGGAACGATCAGGTAGGCCCTGGCCTGCACTTGCCTTCGCGTAACTCTAGCCTTATGAAAACAAATATTGACCATCGTCGTACTTCACAGAGATCAAGCAAGCGCGAAAGCTCCTCCAAAGATTCGGGCGCAAAGTCCTCGTCCAAGCCAAGTCAGTATACCAATATCTCGCTGCTCGAATTCCTCAAGTCTGAACCGATTGCTGACTCGAGTGCGCCAGACTCCGCCAAAGTCCGCACGTGGACCGATCGATCCGGCTCCTTCAAAGTCGAAGCAGAGTTTATTCTCATCAAGGATGGCAAGATTCATTTGCACAAGATCAATGGTGTCAAGATTGCAGTACCCGTAACGAAAATGTCGGTGGAAGACCTCGAATACGTCGAGCGCGTCACGGGCGAATCCTTGGATGATGATAAACCGCTGTCCGACCTGAAGAGGAAGAGCAGCATGGCGCCGCGTGCAAAGGACTCAAGATCACCAACCGGAATATCGCTTGAGAAGAAGCCTGAGTACGACTGGTTCGACTTCTTCTTGAAGTGTGGTGTCAATCCTCAGATCTGTGAACGCTACGCACGAGCGTTTTCCAAGGATGAAATGACCGAGGAAAACATTCCAGATATCAATGCGAGTGTGCTGCGTACATTGGGACTCAAAGAGGGTGATATCCTTCGGGTGATGAAGCATTTGGACACACAATTTGGGCGGGACAAGCGAAGTGTCAATTTTGCTGAAGAAGGCGGCGAAGGCGCTTCGGGTGGATTGTTCTCTGGACCAGGAGGTGCGCTCCGGAACAACACTCGCAAGGGACGTCCTGCACCTCCTGTCGAGACGAACGACGTGGTAGACCCGAAGGCGTTTGAGAAGAAGACTGAGGATGCCAGCAAGAAACCTGCAGAGGGCGCATCTGACTCGGACAAGAAGGCCAACGGGTTCGATGACAACGCTTGGGACGTCAAGCCATCCAAGTCTGCTCCAACATCTCCACCAACAACAACTGTCACCCCGCCTGCTGCGAAACCGCCTCAGTTGACTGGTTCCATGAACGATTTGTCTTTGTTGGACATGCCAGCCCTGAAACCAGACGAGATTGCTCAACCCCCACCGCCTGCACCGGCTCCACAACCAGCCCAAGCTCCTCAACAACCTCCTGCTCCTGCTCAGCAGCCACAGCCAACCGGTGCTACTCCAACTTTGTTTGAACAGGTCGCAGCAATCAAGGCTTTGACTCAACCTCAGAACATGGGTCCACCACGTATGCGACCACAAGCTCCTCAGCAGCAGAATCCTGGTGGACTTATTGCACCACCACCGCAGAGGTCTTCTTCTGCCCCAATGAACCCACAGCAAAGTGCCTTTGCCCCTCCACCGCTGCAACCTCAACTTACTGGCTACAACCCCAACATGATGGCTCAGAACGGCCAGCAGAACATGCAAGGCATGCCACCAATGCAGCAGCAGATGACAGGTTTCCCGCAACAGAATGGGGGGTTCGGTTTCCAACAGAATGGTATGATGCCACAGCCCACTGGCTACAACCCAATGTCGCCACCACCGCAGCAGCCTATGCAAACTGGATATGCTCAGTTTCAACAGCCGCAACCAACAGGCTTTCAGCAACCTATGCAAACGGGGTTCCAACAGCCCCAGCACTTCACACAAGGCTTTGGCAATGGCAGTCCGTTTGCCGACCCACCACGAGCACCCTTCCAGCCACTCCAAGCTCAACCCACGGGCTACAACTCATTCCAGCCATCACCTCTTAACCCTCAAGCGACCGGTGTCAACCGTTTCTTGCCCCCAGCTCTTGCACCTCAGCCAACAGGGTACATGTCGAGCCAAAGCCCACCACCAATACCGCCAATGCCACCAATGCCGAACATGGCTGCACAACCACTGGTGCCTCAGAAGACCGGTCCACCTCCCAGCGTCAAATTTGGTGTACAGCCAGCGAAGAAGTTGGTGGCTCAGCCAACAGGGAAGGCGAGCCTCGCCAATGCTAGTAAGTACAGTCGTTGCTCCTGGATACATATATGTCTAACAATGTATCAGCACCTCAAAACCCCTTTGGTTTCTAAGCCTCATCATTTGCAGAAAGCTATCCCCTATTGCCCTGTTGGCTAGATCAGGGCAAGACTCAATTAAACTACCTTGCATTGCTGTTTTGTTGCAAGCATGTATGTACATGTAAAATCACTGGTGCACACAACTCTTTGGCTTTTATCGTTTTGGTGTGCGAAAAGATTTTTTCTGGGACTGAAAGGTGGAATGGGGGGCGCTTCCATTTGGCATTGTTTGTTGTTTGTTGTTGTTTGTCAATAATTAGCACACACACTTACGTACTTATCTTCTTACCACATTTTATACTTTTTTTCACTTCTATTTTTATTTTGCTACATTGGCGTTGTTGTTGGTGTTGCGATTCTCTCCCCTTTGGTATTCGTTGGTGCAAGTTTTGATATAACATCTGCATCCTCATTATTCGCATTATTAGGTAGGGCCGAAAGTTGGTGTTTCTACATAGGTACAGTACATAGAAGTTTTGGCTGCGCTGCGTAACCAGCCTGCCCTTCTTCTTCTATCGGTCCGGTTCTGCGATCTTCGTTTGGGACCGGACCGAAGCGAAGCGATGGAGGGGCTGCGTATGTACACGTGTGAGGTAGGATTTTGGTTGTGTTTGCGTGTTGCGCGGGTGGCTGAGCAGTGCAGCCAGCAAGCTAGCTAGTAAAGTGAAGGAAGGATTTACGGTAGACGGGATGGATGTATGGATGTGGGGATGTGGTGGTCTAGGTGGGTGGCGTTGGTGGGTTTGTTGACCATGTATGTATGTATGTATGTATGTATGTATGTATGTGTGTAGAGAAATAAGAATCGGGGGTGAAATTTTAGGAAGGAAGATTTCTGGTCGTTTTTTTTAGAGAGTTCTGTACAGATTGTTTAGCGAAGGTATAGACGAGACGAGACAGAGGGAGTAGTAGGGGGAAGTGTGTATATGTATCCAAAAGAACAAGCCGTGTTGGAAAGGGAATGCGTTAGATCTATGGATTCTGGTTCTTTCTATGCCTGTGCTTGTGCTTGTGCTTGTGCTTGTGCTTGTGCTTGTGCTTGTGCTTGTGCTTGTACTGTTTGTGCGTGATAAAGTCTCATGTAAATGTATGTGGTGTTTGTGTATGTGGTACTCGTAGAGTTGAAGGGTATTAGACACAAGCTAACAATAAATCAATATTATTGGAAACCTGTGATTAACCGGATTTTTAATACCGCGATTATTAGATGGCGCGAAACCAAGCAGGCTACGAATGCCTGAGGTTTTGACGCAAAACACACTCGAGACCAAGCCTTTGCCAAGAAAAGCTTAGCTGACGATGGGTCGGTGTTTGGGAGGGGCGTGTGTGTGGCTTGTCGTATGACATGTTGCTACAGGCCCGAAGCTGGTCTGTGCCCAGTTCTAGAAATGGAAGGAAATTGAAATACGTAGACAAGGGCTAAACCTAACCAGCTGGCGCGCATATCAACACGAAAGAGGAGGGTAGGAGAGCGCGCAAGGTTTCGTGGCTGACGGTGCAGGGCTAAGTAAGAACCAAGTTACCTCACAAGCCTTGCATGTGCTTGCTTGCACAGCTGAGGTACACGCGTAGATGACAAGACGACGGAACAGAATGACAAGTAACGGCAAGTGGCGCAGCCTAGTGAAAAAAAGATCTTATGCCAACACAACAACCGGGCCGGCACTACTTGCGTATGTGCTTTGTGGCGATGAAGGTCGCGATGACGGAACTGCGGATCTTTTACGATCTGAGGTCGGCTTATTCACACCAATCATGCGCACGCGTATGCCATGGTGACCCGTCAAGGCAGGGGGCTGGAGGGGTATGCGTGTGTGTGTGCGTTTTGTGGCTCAGGGCTAGAATTCATTGGGACCGATATGTGTGATGCGTGATGCATCTCGTGAGCGGGAAAGTAAGTCAGCCCAGCTTCCGTGGCTTTTAAAGAGAGGACCTGCATCCTCTAGGCGGGCTTTTTCGTATCTTTTTACCCCACTTTACCTCAGCCCCAGCTGGTTCTTAACGTCGAGTTCATTGTCGTTTCTATATATTTGCGCGTGCCGCCTGCAAAGACAAATTCTGTACTGTGTTTTCACAACACCAACGACGACAAACCCGACCCGAGCGCCGCCACACACACACACCGGACCACGCCACTAAGCCGCGCACGTGCAAGCTCCTGGGCGCGTAAAGCTTAATACTTGTTTCCGGTCCTCCCTCCGCCAGCGACGAACAAGAAACCAATTTACCTTTTTCTCACCCGCCGTCCTCGCACACAACGTAGGATCGATTAATCAAAGTCGCGCATTACCTTCAATCGCACCTTCCGGCGACAACGAGATAACCTTTTTGCGCAAAAGGAAGACTATACCCAGCTACAATGTCGAACCAAGGCTACTACCAAGGCGGTGGCGCTCCTCAGTACCCACAGCAATCGTATGTATATCCTTTGCCTGCCTCACCAACCACAACTGCTGTTCCCATCGCAAGTTTTTTTGTTGTCGCGAAAGTATGCGCAATCGCAATCGCAATCTTTTGTGATTGTTTTGCTTGCTTGCGTCGCGATGACCCAATGCGCAGACCTTGCCTTCTTCATAAAACAGTGATACTAATACGTTGTTCTTTTAGCTACGGACCGCCTCAGGGCCAATACGGCGCGCCTCCCCCACAACAACAGATGTACTATGGTCCTCCGCAGGGACAGGGACAGTATCAGCAGGCTCCGCCACCAAAGCAGAAGAAGGATAGGGGATGTTTGGCTGCTTGGTGAGTTTGTCTCTTATTTACAGAGAGTTGGTGGAGCGTCCGCCTACGAGATATATAGGGCGGGCGCATATATTTATGGTAATTAGCACAAACGCTAACGTGATATTTAGCTTGGCCACGCTGTGCTGTTGCTTCGTCTGTGAGGAGGGATGCGAGTGCTGCGCTGATTGCTGCGAGTGCGCGGCTGAGTGCTGTTAGATGGGTTGATCGGGGGTAGGGAAAGTTTGCGGTTTTGGAGGAAATTGCTGAGAGCAAGGGTGGTGGTTTGGCATGATTGTTTACTTTGTTGCTGGTTTCCTTTTTTCTTTGCACGATTATACCTGGCCGCTAGTGGTCTCTCTCATTTCCTATGCTGTCTATGGAATTCATGTCATGACCACTGTTTGAACCTGCTCAGTACGAGGTTGTCTTCTTTCTCATTTGATGTGTCGTATCTGCTACGTACTGCTAACTCCCAAAACTAGCAGGGATTTTGGTGTAAACGCCATTACTCCAAAATACCCGCAAACCGAACTCCTCCCAGTAAAAGATTCCACGCCGACTTTTTTGTCCAACCCGCTGACATACATCCCCCATTACTCCAGCTTGGCCTCCACCTCTGTCTCATAATGACACGGCCCCTTCATCATCACCCTATCCTTATCAAGGTCCCACCGCAAATGCCTCGAATAATTCTCCCAAACACCCCCCGTCGTCACCCGTGGAAACAAGACCATCAACCCACTCTCAACATCCTTCCTCCTCGCCTCCTTCCTCCACTTCTCCCCCTCCTCCTCCTCTTCCTTCCACCGGATCGACATCCCTAAATCCAGCACCTTCAAACCTGGAAACAAACTCGTAAACGTTGGCCTCTTCTTCCAGTAATACCGATCAATATAATGCGGCATTGGCGCCAGACTCGCTATCGCACTCATCTGCACCGCGCTCCGCTGATCCAACCACAAGTCCAGCGCAGAATACTGATTCCGATTCGTGTACTTGCCCACGTTCTTGATGAGCGCGTGTTCCGAATCGCAGAATTTGAAGTGGTTGAGCGTGTATGGCAGGATCGCTGTTTCGGCATAGAGTTGCCGGCACACTTGCGGGAGGCACAAAGCGGGTAGGGTGTCGTTTGGGTGCGCACGGCGGAAGGGTGTTCCGTGAGGGAGCATGATGGTAACCATGCGGTAGCTGTGTTGGGTGGTTTTGCGGTATACGGTACCTAGGACTGTTTCGTGGGTGTGCGTCGCGCGCGCGTTGTAGGCGCTGATGTAAATGTCGTAGTCGCCTATTGCGTACTCAAAGATTTTGTTGCGGACTTCTGCGGGGAGTGAGAGAAGGCGGGATTGAGTGGCGTTGAGTGACATGCTGTATTGTGTGTTAGTACTTTGTAACTTTTGGTCGCGCGAGAAAAATGGGGACTGGGTTTCTTACAGCACTTTGAATCGGGCAGGTGCGCTCATCAAGTCAAGTTTGCCGTTTCGGTACTTTTTGTATGTCCATTGTTTTTTGGTCACCTTGCATTTGCTTCCTATAGTCTTCTTGATCGCTGGCTTTTCGGTCGCTGGCTTTGGGTCGGTTTTTTTGTACGCCATGGTGAAACTTTATGCAGTTGGGGGGAAGAGTGCAGGCTACAGTGGGCAGATTATGGGAAGTATTTGTAGTACTAGGCTGCGCATTCTAAAATGCTCTAGTGCGTAAAGCCTGCCGAGTAAAGGTAGAAGCGGGTGGTTCGGAATCTACCACTCCGGTTTGGTCAGTCGGGTGGGTCATTTGCTCAGTGGGGACCAGATTTGAGAGGTGTGACATAATCGCGAGAGTGAAAGTACGGAGTCACAGTAAGTAACATTTGGGTCACCTTTCAACCCATGGTTCAGAAGTAAGTTACATAATTATATTAGAAAAGTGAAATGAAAGCTAAAGTGGAGCGGATATCTGCAGATAGCGAAAGGGATCCAGAGACCCGAAGTCAAATCTCTCCGCTTGCAAGTGCCCCATCCGATTATGTTCAACCCCAGTAACCCATTATTATTGGCATGTTGCCCTTCTAAAGTCAAGCCCACTCATTTGCATTAGTATGTTGGGAGAAGCATTCTCCGTTGGAATCGTGAGGGATACTAATGAGTATCCAGTTCCTGCAGCACATGTGTGCCTCATCGCAGCTAGTGTCTTCGAATAACATCCAGCCTCCAGATAACAATCTCTCATCCACGCCATATGTTTCTCAACGGAAGTGGAGGGACAGGTAGTTGCTCGAGCATCCACCATACCACTCCACCTCGACACCGGTGCCTTCCTTCTCTTTCACAAAGTCGACTACGCGCTGCTTCGCATCTTCAAGCGGCTCTTTCTGGCTGCTCGAGTAGATATGCTGGGCGTTATGAGCGGCCATGATATGCACTCCAATGCGCTTGATCCTCGGGAAGGTTTGGCAAAATAGCTTTCGGGCTCCTGTGATGTAGAGACGAAAGTACGCAACCGTGACGTCAACTGAGGTAATCAAGCGTCGCTGGCCAAGTGCGCGATCCCTGATGAAGGTATCCATGGCATCCTGGTCATCGAAGCTGAAGGTGTTGAGCGTGTACACCATGGCTGCTGCTTCGACATACATCTGGCGGCAGACGGCCGGAACAGCATACTTGGGCTTGACGAAACCGGAGGTGGTGACTTCCAAAGGGCTCGAAACGTGGGTGAGCTCGGTGGATATCCAGTTGTGGGTAGCGTAGTCCGTATTGCACAGTTCAATCTGGTGGTAGCCCACGGCATACTCCCAGATCTTGGTGCGGATCTCGCCTGGAAGACGGAGGAGCGGGGACTCATTGGAGTTGTGTTTGGCGCTGCTGCAAGTTAGCGTTTGGGTTGCGCACTGGAAGCAGTCGCTACACATACATCTTCATCGATTCCGATCGAGCAGCGATCGCGGTATTCAGTAGCCCATTTCGATGAAGAAGCTTCTGTCGTGAGGTCTTGTGGGGGGTCACTCCTTTCTTCTGCTTCTTGATCACCTTGGTGCGCTTGTCAGGGATCTTGGAACCGCGATCCATCGCAGAGCGCTTGTTGAACCGAGATCCTGAACCCGTCGCAGAGTGCTTATTGGACTGAGAAGAACCCATGATGCAGTGCTGTAGTCGCTGCGAAACGCTGTAAAACGCTGTAGTTGAGAGACGAAGAAGTGAAGAAAGCTTGGTAGCTAGCAGAAGTACAGAAACCCCCATTTTGACGCGAAATTTCGATTAGGGATGAGGAGGAAATTAAGCGAGGAAATTTGTAGAGGTGAACCATATGTGGTGCGAGAGCGATGATGTTAAGGTTTGTAATTTAGTAACGAGAAGCGAGGACAGTAAGTTGGCAGTACGCGCAATTACTACTTAGAGCTTTCAGAAGCTCTCGTGCCCTGCATTCACGTGTGTATAATTCCGAATGCAGCTTAGCATGTAAATAAAAGACAGGTGCGCATGTGCAGTGTTGTATACCGGTAGGTACAGTCAAGACTTCGCGAGGCGAAGTCAGACACTCAGCATCTGAATTGGTGAAGGCAGTGGTGATGATGAACGATGGGAGGTACTCGTTGGAGAAGATTCATCATACATGCTCAATTGAGATAAGTTTGGGCTGGAAAAAGCACAGTACTCGTAGTGGGTGGCACTTACGCTAGTCTCCACTGGAGCATGCCTTTACCGGTATAGCGGCAGGGGTCGAGACCAAGGATTCGAGACTCGAGTACAAGAGCAGGTAGTAGTGTTTTATCGCATGATAAGTTGAGAGGTAGAGCTGCTCTCCGTTTGGTAGTTGTCAGCCAGTGTGACGTCATGCGGCATATCTTTTTGCACCGCCTTTTACAACCAATCCGGCACCGCGATCTTGTGACATCGGAAGTCCACACTAAAGACAAAGAATGTAGAAACCAAAACTCATGTCACTCAGCCGCTTGGTGTTGTGCCTGTATATAATCAGTTGAGCCGTGCACAAAACGAGTGCTCACATCACGCACCCGCTTTCTCTTGTATATGATGGTTATACTCGAATCTTCCTGTATGAAGTCAACGTCTTGAATATCTTCCACTGCTAGGACAACGTTACAAAATCTGGAATCATGAGGGGTAAGCCTTCCAATGTAACAGTACAGTTCGATAGTCTTGAGATTTGGAAAGGTAGGCCTAAGCCACGGATTCAAGCGTCTCAAGACGTAGCCAGTCGTTCCTAAGCAAAGTCGTAGTGATTGTACAGAGTTGAGCTAGGCTACTGTGCGACGAAGGATCCACTTTATGAAGGTGTAGTTAGTCTTAAAACTGAAGGTGTTAATGACGTAGAGCCGGTTCCGCGTTTCTTTGTAGATTTGCCTGCACATATATAAAGGCGATATTAATATCTTTCCAGCAATCCTGTTACTATGACTTGTGGCTTGGAAACGTCTTCCATGAGGGTGATAGCTGTGGATTATTTCGATCCCAGCGTGTCCATAGTTGAGAGCGTGGCCGAAGATCCGGTTCCTCAACTCCGCAGGCAGTCTAAGAAGGGGGGATTCGTTTCTGTTGTTTGTGGCACTTTGCATATGTTAGTAATGTTTCATAATCAAGGCTTCACTTAACTTACAGAGCGCAGAGTTTAGGATTGTCGGTGCGCAACAGTCCGTGATCTTCGAGTGCTGCTGTCATCGTGGGAACTTTCAGAGGTGCTGCCTATTGCAGGTAAAGGTAGAAAAGCTCGAAGGACCCTTAGTCAGTTATTTTATGAGCTCACTTAAAGACAGTTCGAACAATGCTGCAGTATATTGTAAGAATTCAAATAGTGCTGTGTAGAGAAATTATTTCGGTAGAGTAAGAGTGAAAAGCTTGGTAGAGTTCTCATCAAGACCAGGTGATTCATGGTTCCTCAATTAAGTATGCCGAGGATGGGTACCATGGTACTGTAGAGCAGATAGAAACTCTCCGTGCGCAAACTTTTTTATCAATTGTTGAATATGTTCTGAAGTGTAAGCTCTCTGAACTGGACGCATTTGCATTATAAATCCACCATGTAGCTGCTTTCACTTTTGTATTGACAAAATTTTAGTGTACCACATGAAATGTGTTATAGCTCCCGCAAGAACTAAGACGCCCGGATGAAAACATTCCGCCCAAATACAGTAGCCACATAATTAGTAACGACAAGCTCCAAACCGGCTCTCTCTTTGGCTAACAGTGACCTCCTTCTGGCCTGAAGATCTTCATCAATCTGGACCTTGGACCAGCCAATGATCTCATTACACATTCTCCCTCGCCATAAGTCTATGTAGAGCACTTTGAGCATTGGGAAATAACTTGTGAACTTGTATCCCTGCTCAAACTCGTACCGACTTTCAAAGTATGCCGGTACCTTGACTTCCTTAACCTGGCGTAGCTGTGCGGGAAGACGTTTTGAGATCCAAGCTTGCATAGCATCTGTAGAATAGAACCAGAACGAGTTCAGAGCATACGGTAACAGGCATGTCTCGTCGTAAATCTGTCGACAGACTGGTGACAATGTGGTATACGAGAAGACACCATCGCCAGATCTGAGACTATTGTTTAGTTTTCCACGACAGATCCTGGCTTTCAAGACAGCCGCATCTGCGGACAGACAACCGTCAGATCCGGTATATATCTGCAGACCTGGCCCTTGTAGAGCGAATGTAAAGATCATGACCCGAAGCTCACCCGGCAACTGTAGAAGTGGCGAGGATCCTCTGTTCCTAGCAGCACTTTACCAGATCAGCTTATATCAGTGCAGTCCAGACGAGGTCACTTACATAGGGCATGTAGCCAGTTTGCCTGTGTCAACAAAGCCTTCATCGGTGAGCGCCAGGGTCGTACGTTTCATGATTATGTTCTGAGCCTCTCTAGACTGCGCAATAGATTGAAATGCCATCCAGCAGCCTATTGAACGTGGATTTGGGGCTTTGGATTGTTCTATCTTCTCCAAGATGTCTCGAAACGAGCAGTTCGCAAATAGGGGTTCACTATGCGGCCAAACTTCTGCTAGAGCCGAATGACTAAGTGTATGACGATAAGAGATTGTGATATGTTTGTGCCGTGCAAGTGTTGGAGTGTATCATTCCGCAGCAGATAGAAAGGGTTGAGAAAGGCAGGCTCGTGGAGAAAGACGTGCGCTAGTGAGACCCTAGTCTTCATCAGACAAGGTGCGGTTTCGCGTGCCGCTGTCATATGCGCGATAAGCACCTGCACACCAGCATCTCGTTGTCGCATCATGCGCATCAGCTATCATGTTACGTCTTTCATTAAGCATAAGCGAGATCGGTAATCGGTATGCCATGCGCAGCACCTACCTTAGCGATGCTTTTAGGCAACCGCCAGGATCATCGTTGACACCATGGAAAATGCTAGGTGTAAGTACCACCGATAAAGTCGACAAAACTACTTAGCCGCTTATTTCTTTCCCTGGAAACCACCAGTCATTACCTTTGCAGTATCGGCCAGCCAGGTATGGTTGAAACGAAGAGGATAGCGTGTAATTTATCTAGTCAAATTGGGCAGGCCAGAGGGCGATAAACAGGCACGGGGTTGTATGTGCGATCCTGGACTGTAATCCTGGGCAAGGACATACCGAAAGTTGACAAATGTCAGCTGTATACTCAAGTAACTCGAGGGTTGCAGAAATCGTGGTTTCCATGCACCGATATCCGCCGCTGATGTAAGGGTCCCGCATGAGAACTGACTATCCGACCTTCGGAAGGGTCCGCTGCTGCGCGCGAAACACCGACCCAACACTTACAACTACATCTCAAAGACTCAAAATACGGACATCATGACGTATTTAGCGAACGCGTACAGTGACCCTAACGAATCAAAGATACCATAAATATCAGATTCGATTGCAAACCATAGGACATGACGGGGTAGCACGAAGTTAAGTGGTTGAGTGATTGGGGGACTGAATATTTGGACCAAACGGGACCATATTCAGACTCAAAGGCGTTAGCGCTTAGCTATTCGACTGATCAGAAGCTCTGAACACTGGTTCTACTCATCACTCCAACACTGTCGTGTGTACACGCAACTCTGGTTCATCCAAGAATTAGGTACTAAGGGTCGCAGTGAGTCACTGCCTTCCGCGCACACATATCAAGCAGTTTGCCAGAAGACAAGAAAGTAGAAACTCTCTTTACACCTAGTCAACAATCGGCTTGTATTCACAGATCGCAAACTCTTCAAACTCCCCACATTCGAATATGGCCGGAACTATCCGTTTACTCATAACATCCGACACACATGGCGCCTGGCCCTATTCCCTCACCAACCCAGCGCCCAAAGCCGACGTTCTACTTCACTGCGGCGATCTCACACAGGTGGGCGGTCTCTCCAGTTTCAAGCGCGCCATAGAAGACATCAAATCATCCGACGCAGAACTAAAGCTCATCATCGCTGGCAATCACGACCTTGAGCTTGAAGACGTTTGGGGGCGCGAAAACATAGAAGACGAAGAGGACTTAGAAGAGCGTTCCAAATGTGTCGCTTTCATGCAAAGTCACAAGTCACATGGAATCCACTATTTGGAAGAAGGCACGCATCAATTTGTTCTTCAAGATGGGCGACAGTTCACTGTGTATGCGAGTCCATATTCGCCCGAATTCAACGGATATGCATTCGCGTACGAACAAGACGAAGATCGATTCAATGTAGGTGGGAATTCAGTACCAGCGAACATCAATATTCTCATGACGCATGGACCACTGCTTTTCCCGACGAATCCAGAATACCAGCTTGACGTAAGCCACGATGGAAAGCATTGTGGCTGTAAGAAGCTTGCGGATGCGGTGCAAAGGACGAAGCCGCGACTCCACTGCTTTGGTCACATCCATGAAGGACGGGGCGCTCTGCGCGTTAGCTGGGCTGATAGCGAGAAGGACAAGAGCCAATGCGTATCGATGGAGAGGGTGCAGGATAACGGCGCAGTCGTGGAGCAAAGTACGAGGAGCGAGTCACTTCTAGTGAACGCTGCTATGGACGGGCCCGGAAAAGGCTGGTTGGTAGATCTTGCGCTCTAGCCGGTAGCTTCGACTGGGTATCAACATTTGGGGTCGGCCGACAAAAGCCTACCCAGACGATACCAAGGTGCCTTTACTCAGAGCTGGACTCTGTTACAAGGCATCTATGCAACGAGATCACGTCAGATCCTAGAGCCTAGACAGGCTACCGGCTTTCTTTTGTCTTTTTTCGTGATACCCACATGTTTTCAGATAGTTCTGCATGTTGCAATAGCTCACATAGGCTCAATCCCACCGACAGATCCGCAACTCGGCCTCATCTAGACTTTCTCTCACTTCGCAGCAGCCTAGGCGGTCAATATTGTTCGTCCTTCAGCTACTTAAACCTCTGCAATTGCAATACTTCTCCACTTTTCCCTCAAAAACCTCAGTACTTTCTTTCCCAAGCAACTTCACCGCCCTCTACCACCATTGCAAGTATCGGCATGGGACCAGAAGAAAACAACCATGCGGGACTAAATTCGCCCCGATCCCCCGATCCAGTTACTCTAGGACTTCATTGACAGCCATGTTTCACAACCTGGACATGAGCACGAATACATCACAGGGCAAGGGCAAGGGCAAGGGTAGAGCAAGACATACTACACAAGATTCGGAATCTTCTTAATCACGGAAAGAAACTTGCGGGTGAACAGGCTCTCCTACTCAGCCAAGTGACCGACTTTCTAAAGACAGTGGCATTCGAGAAGTGGCTTGTACAAGCCTGGGAAGTCGCTAAACTAACGACAGAGTATGTTGAAGACTATACCTACAATGGCATGTCGGCACCTGGAGTGGCTATTACCACTCATAAGCTGATTAAACGACCTCTTGTATTCTTCAAGGGTGTTTAAAGGTTGTATGACGGCTAACGTATATCGACATGTAGTGGAAATAAGACTGTTGAACGAATGGGACTACGCGCACGCCTGGGAAGAAGTCTAGTATAGCGTTGACGGAGTCACCTAAGAGATACCAGTGATCACATCAAGACGTAAGAAACGGGGCAGAGAATTGTTGCATCTGTATGTATTATGTGTAAAAAAGGTGGACTTACTTGAAACGGAGGTGACAGGCGGAGCAGAGAGTCATCAACGTGGACAAGCATTATCCATGTATACTATCAACCCGGACTGACTCAAGAAACGTAAATGATGTAGCTGAAGCGCTTACCCCAACTTCTATCGGGATACTACCGTAAATGCTGCGAATGAACATCTTACCGCGACAAACCAAGTACAGTGCAGTATCAATCTTTACTACCAGTGTTGGTGTGTGATAGTTACCAGCCCATACTATGACGGGCGCTATCAAGCCACATTTGGCCTTTGAAAGCCCCAGGCTTTGTTGTCTCATCGTCCTTGTCGCATGTCGGACTGGTGCGGTTGTGTATGACGAACGTGCCCAGTTGTACGGATATCGATGGGTAGGACGTGACGGGCGAGGTGTAGTTCGAGGAAAGCGCAATTGTGATGGGTAGGCTTCAAATGGTGTTCCTTTATGTGTATATCGATATTCGTGCACTTCTTGGATGCTGGCGTGGAAGCAGAGGTGTCGCTGGTTGACTCCAAGCTCCTCAGAAGCATTCCAGGCGGGAGGTCTGGAGTTTTTCTCGAGCTTATGAAACTCTGTCAAGCTTCCTCGATTGAAGCCGTGCATGTGTAAGCAATCAGTCGGGGAGATGGTGAGACTGAACTCATTGCGTGCCAGGATAGGCAGTTCCGATCTTCAGTTATTGTCCATTTCGATTGGGGAGAGTTACACAGCCCTCAGGACTAACGTGTAAAACGGTAATGGAGACATGGGTAGTTTTGTGTGCTGAACTCGAGTCGTTTCGTTGGGGCTTGTGCGGAGAGGTGGGTTGTGTCGGTGGTGGTGAAGGGCTGTGACGAACAGAGGCTATCGCGTTGCGCTGCTTGTTGCTTCTCTTTCGGTTTGCGTGGCCATATCCTTCCTCTTCTTCCAGATCTGATCTCGGTCAAGATATCTTGTGCTGTACCCCTCATACCAAATATCGTTCTTTCTCCAACCACTCCGCTTCATCCCGTTTCGCAAGCACGAATGCGATCTCCGAACCTACGGCGACTACAGCAGTCGCCGCAATACCGATAGCAGTTCCGATCGCCGCAAAGCCCAGAATCGTAAAGCATGTATACCCAATGAAAATGGAAAGATACATGACGCGGAAAAGAAGAAGAAAGAGGTCGTCCGACCTGGGCTTCATGGTGCCCGACTATGGCACTTGAGCAACAGGCGATTAGGCAGTCGCTTGAAGAAAGCCGTCGCTGCTCCCAGACGTTATTATTGCTGCGAGATCCGAATTTCTGTTTTTAGATACGAGGCCATGTTTGGCGTTGGCCATTAGTGTGACAGCACGGCCATTGAATTGTGGAGAAAGCGCGCCCGCCACCAGCCGACTCTGATGGAGACTGTGAATGTGAGGAGGCCGGGATCGCGTCATGACGATTGACCTGCAGCAACATTGCATTAGAGACCAAAGAGTAACCATCCATAGATAGCAGCACTGCCATAGCCAAGTGAGATGGCGTTCAGCTTGTAGCATAGGCCGCGTCAGCCCGTCAACAATCGGAAAAGTGGTGCGTGTTCTCCCTGCGATACTGCTTTCGGCTGAGGGTACGCTTTTTCTATCGATTTCCATCGCGATGGTTATTGCGCAACGCAACTCTCGCGCCTTTTACAAGGGATCGACTTGTATATCATGCTTCAGGTCCGATCGGGGTCCAAGGAGGCTCCCGATGCAGTATAAGAGCAGCGCAGCTATGAAGATTGTGAGTAAATCGAGAATAGCTGTTTTATGCAATATTATCAAAAATTCGTGCTGCTCCACACGATAAAACGTAGTCGTCTCATATCATGGTGGTCTTCCAGGGGTGCTGCACACGTGCGGGGGTTTAGCGCAGATGATGATGTAATCCATGATACCCTAGGACCTAAAGAAAACAAAGACACCCCGGTAGGTATTTGCTAAGTAAAAGATATCCTTTCCGAGGCCGCCAACAATAATACCATGGAGACTCTGAAATGTTTGTCTTATCATCCACGGTGATCGCAAACAGGTTCCTTCCCTCTCCCCCCTTCCCACACATCCATACACGCACATATTCCTCTTGGTTTGTTTCCTCATCCAAAGCGCACTGAAAAACAATAATCTGTACCTAGATTTGACACTCGCGACTCCACGATGGTACAGCCTCACCATGGTTCCAGGCTCTCCGACATCTTGTCCAAGCACAAAAAGCAGGTGTTCGCACAACGGGATACGGGACACATCCCCCAATGGCTTCACGAACCTCCAATCTGCATGAACACCATGAGAACCGCCGCATATGCTGCAGTCGATGCCACGACTTCGAAAGGTCTGTTGATAGTTGCGCCTGTCATTAACGATATGAAAAGGGTAACAAAACCCGTGATAATCTTCAGCCGATCTTGGCTGTCCTTGACACGCTCCAGCCACCACAAGGGCGCGAGGAGCATGGCAAGGCCCAGAACAATTATTCCAATTGACGTGAAGCTCTCAAAGGTTTCGTCGCTAGAGTACGATGTAGCGTCCGATCGCACATGTAGGTCCTCTCTAAACCTCGCCTTGAAGATTCTCCATGTGTGTAGGATGCGACATGCCTCTAGCCACCGGCCTAGAGGTGGGCGAACTCTCTCGTTTATGGATATCAGATCGCTCTTGTGAGTGACGAACCCCTTTTCTGCTCCGGTGATGGCGCCGCGCTCCAGCCAGTTTTCCATACTCTTGATTTGACGGGGCTCCGCTCGTGGGCGTTTACGTATCTTGGAAAACGCATCGATATATTGATCTATCTCTGTGAGTATGTTTTCGGAAGAAGGCCTTCTGAAACTTACTATAGTGTAGGAGTAGGCGCGATAGTTCGCCCATGATATGAAAGCGGTCCTGCTGATACTGCTCATCCCATTTGAAGCTTGAATTTTTACGGTCTTTTTCCTGAACGTTTGCACGATGGATATCTTCCAGTTCGCTTTCGAGCTGCGAGATGCGGTACTGCAAATATGCTATTGTTGTTGCATTCAGACTCTCAAAGCGCCGAAACACGAAAAAGTCATCGTCAGAAGCCATCCACCTCCCAAATTCTTTGTATCCTTCATATTTCCAAGCCATTTCATACTTCTCCTTCTCGGTCAGTGAACCGTTGCTGAGGGTGGTTCCGGCTGAAGTAAGAGTTTGCATAGGAACTGTTGGGGAAAACGTAGAACGTGTATGCGCACCAGGGCTTGTCACTGGTGCTGGCAGCACAGGATCGCGGGGCCAGGATATATTTGCCATGACGACCGTTTCTTTCGATGAGGTTTGCTTCTGGGGCCAAACAGATGTTACTTATTTGTTTGATGGAGGTGACACAAGGCTGAGCTGCATACCCCGCTCATCAAGGCACTGCCATGTTACATACTTCAGGTATTATTGGCCGCCACCAAGCCAAAACATACACAGCCGCAAACGAAAGGCTGAAAAGAAGGACCAAATGCAACACGGAGCGCGTGCATACACTGCATGTGTCCTCCGTCTCATTTCTGACCGGAATGCGACGCCACTGGTTCGCGTATGCTGTCTCTGCGCCACATGTCCCAGCACCGGAAAGGCTCACTTTCCAGAGCCTCATTGGAAGCGCCCTTTTAAATTGGTGCGCGTCTGACTTGCTGCCTCGCCGGGCAGATAAGAGTGCTCATCCAGCAGCACTCAGCCCTGCTCTACAAACCACTTCTTTGCAAAATACCTGACCGGTAGCCATCACGATAGCATCATCCCTTTGCGCCACTCAGATCTTATTGATCGCCCCGCTAAGCTCAGCTGGTCTCAAACATTAACACACAGCCCCCGTCCGTTCACGCGGCTCGCGCCTTGGGCCAATAGCACGTCATGAGGCCGTGGAAGTCTAGCAAGGCCAAACTCGAAGCCGTCCACGCATTTCGATTCGGTGATCAGAAGCACGATGGGAAGTACACTCCAAAACCAGAACCACCAGATCCACCCGCAAATGCTTTTCCCCCAGTTCCTGGCCAAGGGGAGAGCTCGGGTTATTACGGTCCCAACGGTCCATACGGTCCCTGGGTGCCTCAGTCGCCGGTCCCAAACGCACCAGGCTATTATACAAACCCTACGCCATACCCACAGTATCCAGGCTACATGATGCCCCATCAACCAACACAGGCTCCCCCACATGGCCTGGGTATACAGCAGCAGCAGCAGCCGCAGCAGTATGTATACCAGGCACAGGTATACTACTACAATCAACAGCACCAGCCATCCTCACCAGCGCAGGGGCAAGCCCCTTTCCCGCCTACGAATGCAAACCAAAACGCATATCAGAACAGCCAACCCTACAGTTACAACACACACGGGCAGACACCTGCCCCAAGCACCTCACCCGAAGCTGGCGTCCAATTATCGCCACCAGCCCACAGCAGCCCATCGCCACCACAGCAAGCTCACACCCGCGGACCACAACGTAGCTTGACATATGACAATCCATATGAGCCATATGAAGAGCCTTTCGCGCCGCCTCAGCGCATCCAGACAGAGCCTCCTCAGATGGCTCCACACGACTGCAGAGATTATGGTTTCTTGTGAGTAGAAGAAATCCCACTTTGCTTGTGAATGCTGACGCGTGGCATATAGGTCCATGGGAAGGTGCACACGCTGTGGATATAGGGAAGACTGAAGGGACATGCTACGGTAATTCTCGCGTCGCACAGAGTTCATTCTTTGTTTTAACAGCACCGCCACGACTAGCGGCGCTAGCAAGTTCTTCTGAATTCTTTCGTTTTGTTCTCTTGGTCTGGCTTATACCCGCAAACGCTTTTGCACTTGTTTTAGGTCAACGGATACAGGTTTTCATTCGGGTCGGCGGCGTTATTGATGTTGAAGGCAGGTACCTAAATCTACAAGTACAGCACACGCTGACGGTATAACTGACGCTCACCACCCCTCCCCGTTTTCATCCAGTTTGAATAAACCATTTTTCTTCTTATCTGCAGCCCACCTATCACACCAGGCCTTCATCTTCTCCCTACTCTTCGCGCTACCTATGTTGACTGTGGGGATGATCTTGTCGATATGCAATGCGCAGCAGAACATGGTCAATTCCCTGAAACTGCTGTGCTCACTGTAAGGGACGCCGAAGCAGCTTGCTCGGCTCCCGCTCCCAGCTTGTGGTGTCAGGTCTTTCATCGAAAAAGTGCTTTTCCAGTTGTCGGAATGAAGGACAGTCTGTACTTGTGGCGATTCAGTAAAGCGACCTTTGGGCGGACGATAGTTCCATCCCGAGGGTCGGAAACCGACGATGCGCGTGAAACTGTCTGCATATTCGCGGAGATAGTCGTCTAGGGTGTCTGCACGAATCTCAAAGAGCGGTGTCATATGTACTTGGGCTGCGCGAGGATCGGTTGTTAGAAGTGCATCCAGCTCCGGATCTTCGAGAGCCTTGCAGATGCGTTGTTTGTTGGTAGGCGCATAAATCTTACTGTTCAAAGCCTTTGCGATGCCGGTACAAATACGCTCTTTGCCGATACTGTATGTGCCAACGACGACGAGAAGACGGCCGCGCTCTGGACTCTTGGGTTCCGCTGGGTTGTCTTGGTCAGACTCCTTGCGTACGAACTTGACCATGCCTTGTCCAGCGCGTTCTCGCTTCATCTTTTCCCATCCGTCTGATTCGTCGGTGCGGACCTTGCTGAGGCTGACACACATGTCTGCACACGCTTGGATGACTTGTTGTTGCGGTGGGAAGGCGTACTTTGGGTTGAGATATGTTGTATCGAGGTAGCAAGCATCGAGCTTTTGCTGGCGATTCTTTCCACTTACAGCGTCAAGAACGTTGGGTCGGAGGAGCGGATGCTCAATATGTGCTTGACATGCGCGAAAGTCGCCGCAATGCAGCACTCGTTGCAGTCTAGGGTTCTTGCCTTTGCCAATTTCCTTTTCGAACAAGAATAAAGAACTGCCGGGGCAGTGGTTTGCTGAAATCATAGTAACAAACACACCTTCTGTCCCAGGCACCTCTGTCTTCTCCTCAAAGTCTAGGTCTATAACCCACTTGGGATCAACACGAAGCTGCTGCCGTACAAGGTTGCCAGTGACTTTGCTGCAATATATCGGTCCATGCTTCCAGGAGGCAGTGAGGCCGACGTAGTGATCGCTGTGAAAATGACTTAAAAAGTAGGCGTTCTGGCCCTTGACCGCTCCATAGCGAAAAGCATCGACGGCAATGAAGAAACCAGGCATGATCTTGTAGAACGGACAGGTGCGTTGATACGCAGGCTTTCCTCGGGACTTGTTGTTTTCGGCCGCGGCAGTGGCCCATGCAGCGTCCTCAGCATGGCCGGCCATGAGTTTTGAGAAGGCAGAACCAGACTGGGCACTGGGCTCCGAAAGTTGGAATGGATCGGCTTGTCCAGGTTTAGCTGGCCTCTCGGGTCGCTTGAACGCTTTTGCATTGCTCGTCATAGTTGGCTTGTTTTCCTGTTCCGTCTTGATGTTAGGCAGTGGGGGTGGGTTACCATCCAAGCATGCATTGACATGCACAGATACATCCTGCTCTGACAAACCAGGCAGGCTATTGGCGCATATTGGGCATGAGGGTACGTCTTGGGTATCGGTATCTTCTTTCTTTATGACCGTTCTATCACTTTCAGGAAACAAAGGTGGGGCGTCAAAGTCGTCTGGGTCGCCATCAAAGCCTGCCTCTTCCATCTCAAGTTTCTGCTGTTCCTTCATCCACCGCCTTTCATCGTACTCCTCACCCTCGAGCAAATCATCATCTTCCAGGTCCTCAAAATCGCCAAGTTCTTCGCCGCCATACTGAGATGTATATTCGGACGTAAATGGTGGGGGTGGATGTGCAATAGGAGGATCGGTGCTATCCTTGGGTAATGTGAACTCGGTTGGTTTAGTAATTGACGACTCGTCACTCTTTCTCCGCATGGCCATACCTGCAGTAGTATTAGGTATCTCCGCACTGTCATCATCTGATTCCGAGTCTGAGTCATCCACAAATGGTCCAGACTTCTTTCGCAGCTTGGCCTGTGGCTTGGGAGCACCAACGGCTAGCGCATCTAGAGCATTGCTTTCTGCATCTGCAGGCGGTGGTGGTGAACAGGCTGGCACGGGCGCTGCCACTTCTTCGCTGACTTTTCGCCGCTTGACGCTCCCGCCGTTCTCATTGTAACGCTCCTCGTCGTTGTCTGAAGTCATGACGCCATTGATCTTCTCGTCGCTCCAACCAACATCGTCCTCTTCATTGCAGTCGAACACAATTGTGGGATTTGACCCACGTTCCTGCAAAAAGATGCGACTGTTGATCTCCTCGGCTTTCTGGAAGAACGCCTTGATATTGCCGTTTGGTGTGCCAACCGGTTTCTGCTTCTTGGCATTGTTTGCGGGAGATTTCTTCGCGAACGCGGCCGGTGTGAGCGTCGTTTGAATGACAGCCTTCTTTGGTGGCGCCGCCTTCGAGCTCGGCTTCGGCATCGCCTTCTTCGTCGCGGTTTTGGAGGCCATGTCGATGGTTCTTGACAGAGAGCGGGGTGGCGAGGGGGCGCGGCCGGTAGATGGCGTCACTCGCGATGACTCGGGTAGCGTACGGTTCTCGCGAGGATTTCTGAACATTTGGAGACTATCCAAACATTGTCGAGCAGGAATGTGCTGCTCGTGGTTGTGGTTGTTACCCGACTAATCCAGTGGCAAGTGAATGGTCCGAAGCGCGCCAAGACGCTAAATCAAGCGCGTAGGCACGTGTGACTACGCGTAATGTCCCTATCCGTCACATTGATAGTCTTTCTAGGTTCTCACGCTTTTTCCATCACCCAACAGCTACCTCTTGGCCTTTGAACGTCTGCTTCATCTCTATTACAAATATACGCGTCTTTGGCTAGACATGATCCACTGTGATTACCACGCCCTTGACTTCTCTTTCATTACCTAACACCCAAACATCTGTATGCTCGTCAGGCTGGCTTATGTCTCTTACTTTTGCCTTCTTGTACCTCTCGTCATCCCAGTTGTAGCCTTGGTAGATCTATTCGCCTGCCCCAATTGCTACCCCCTGTGCTGATCAATCGCGATCTAATTTCCTTTGACCTACTTTCGCATTCTGTCTGATAGTTGATACAGCCTTCTACCCATAAGGGCCAGTGAAACATCAGGTATCTGTTCTGTGGGTAGTAGTTGGTATGACGTGCTTTCATGCACCTTCGTGGACGACTACGAGGATCGGCCGGCATTTGTACATGTTGGGGAGGCCGCATGTTGTCGAAGAAGACGGCGAAGAGTGGACTGAGGTTGTGTTTGGTATCGAGATGGATGAATTAGCTATGATTTTGCACGGACAATAGACTTCTCCTAGGTGATGTATTGTTAGCAAGTCACGAAGTGACTTTCCTGGAGACTGATAGAGATGTTTCACAAAAGGGTTCATGTCATCTGTTATACAATGAAAGCCACAGATTTAGGCAATTAATCCTCTGTACTAGAAGAAATGATATAAAGTTGGTATATGAACACTTGCACACTGGCTTTCCGGGCCATGAACAAAACCGAAATTTCCAAACATATCGGATCTTCAAACCTGTCAGCTTCCTGCAATCACATGCGCCCATCATGCTGTGGCAGGCAAAGGCATCGAAGGCATGCTCGCCCCAGCTCTAATGACAGGCTCCTTATTCTTCTTGAGCTTCTCTTGGATCGCTTGATAGTTCCGGCTCATAGCGATCCGGGTAAATTCCTCGCCAGTCACCATTGGGTACTTCTTCAGTGGACCCTGAATCTTTGCATCTTTACACGGTTGGTTAAAGAAAGCGATGCTGTAGCGCTCGCCGTAGAAGTCATCAGGCTCGCATGGGGCCTTGACGCGGTGGAACGTGGACTTGAAGCGGTCGTCGGACCATGACATGAGTAGGTCACCGACGTTGCATACTAAATCAAACGTAAGCACAGGTTTTTGCCAGAAGTCAATAATAACGTACCAATGGCGTTCTTCTCCACATCTGGCTCGACCTTTGTCCACGAGTCACCATAGCCGAAAGATGTCGAGACCTCTCGGCCGGGGCATATCTCAAGACCGGATTGTCCGGCCTTTTGGAACAGCAAGGTCAGAAAGTCCCAGTCAGCATGTGCGCCGGCCCTGTGATACACCTCTCCTGTTGAATTGGGTTGTTTGGGTGTTTCGAAGTAGTGTAGTAATCGACAGACAGTTTGAGACTCTGGGCGGCTAACATCGTGCGCCTTGATAAAATAGTCGTCTTCGAAATTGAGTCCACGAGCGAAGCACTTCATTAGCATTTCGCTAACTGCCTGTACCTTGTGCATGAACGCCAGAGCTTCAGCCTGGAAGCCAGGGAGCGTCTCGTTATCTATCCATCGGCCTAGTCAACAATCAGCATAGTTATATCAGGGGGTCATCATGCTTCTTACCATTCATGCCCTCACCAAACTGCATCTGATAAGACTCTTTGCGATCTACTGCACCAGTCGATGGCCTTATCTGTGCATTCTTCTCCCATCCTGCATTGTATTGTGGGGAAAATGGAACTTGCGACTTGATAGAATCGGGCTGGTTGAAGAAGCGTGATGACTGATTGAAAATTTCGTCAATCGATCCACGACTGATGCCATGATCCACGATGCAAAAGAAGCCATGGTTTTCAGCAGCGTCGACAAGTTCTTGTGTAATGTCATCTACCCGGGAGTCGAAATCCCGAAGTGAGATAGTCGGGACATGGCGATCAACATATTTGGTGGGTGCCATCATGACAGGGTTGGGATCGAGTTCACTTGGGTTTGATGAGTTTGGTCTTTAGGCATGCTACTCGAGATGACGCATACCTGCTCTTATGTTCAGCCATTTTTGTAGAGTTCTACTGTATCGCAGACCGTCCTCAGGATGTATGGATCCGGGGAGTCCAGCTCGGCCGCCGGCATCGGCCGCTGTTACTGTTACTGACATGATGTATTGATGCATAGATATGCGGCCGCTGTGCGTGGCAGGAGTGAAGGTGGGGCAGCCCACGCTAAAGTCCATCTCGGCCGCACCCTGCTCGTCTACGTCGTCCGCCTCGACGTCCGATTCTAGCGTCTCTGCTGCAGGCTGTGCAATTTATCGAATTCAATGTTCGGTCCACATGTTCGCTCACGTCTGCAACACGTGACGATCGCCGTTGTGTCTCCGTGCTTCCCGCGGTGCACTCAAGTGTGGGGCCTAGCTGGCAATCAGCTTGTACCACCTCGCTCACTATGGAAGACAACAACGCCCCCAAAGGCCAGAGACCCCGATTGACGTGCACCGAGTGCTATCGGAGGAAGATCAAGTGCGATAAGAATGTGCCTTGCAGCACATGCATCAAAAGGTTAGCGCCTCGTTCTTTGAGAAGCCTATTTACCTTCACGGACGTTTGCGACAGCATCAACGTCCGATACGTCTAAGAGGAAGTCCGCGGAAATACAACCTCAACCCATACTAAGCAGTCAGTAGAGGGTATGCAAGTTTCTGTTCGAGAGATGAAACTCCTGCTACGCCGTCCGCCCCTCCAGCCTATCAAGCTCGCCACGAGTCGACGACTTCCAGCGATCTTGTGCGCGCACTTCTGGACCGCGTAAGTCAGCTTGAAGCTAAATTACAAGAACAACACGACCCAGGCGCGATCGATACGCCTACATCATGTCCCGCAGTCTCCAATAGCCCGACAGTTCTGGGCCATAATGAGACACCGACACCTATTTTGCCTCCGGATAATACCGCTGCCCCACCGCCTACGGAAACGGGTGATGTAGCGACTGTCCTTGAGTTTCTAGCATGGGGCCGTAAAAAGGACGCTGATTATGGGACGTCGCCAGAGCACCACAGCGGGCCAAGACGGCTCAGCACCAGGCGTGACCACGAAGCTATTACATCAAACATACTCTCTGAGAGCAGCAGAGATGTGCAGCTCGATGTATTAGAAGCACTTCTTCCGAACAAAACTCATATTGTACAACTTGTGGAGTACCATAACAACTCCATCTTATGGTACCACAGCTCTTACTCTTCGACAATATTCAACAGTGACCTGGAAGTTTTTCTGGCTGAATACGAGGGCAATGTCCGCAATGAAGACCTCAATTTGCAATGGCTGGGTCTTTTGTTCTCGGTCATCACTGGTAGTATCACATGTGCACCGCCGTCTGTGTGCGAAGCGTGGGGGTTTTCCCTGGCGGAAAGGACAGTCCTGTCACAAAAATGGTACGAAGCAACTGTTACCTGCCTCAACATCGCTCAGTATATCGAGATCCATACGATATACTCTGTCCAAGCGATTGCTACTTTGACTATCGCAGCTCACTCGCTCGGCAAGTCGAGCAGTCAGTCAATTTTGCTTGCTTCAGCAGGTCGAATAGCACAAAGCCTAGGGTTACACCGCCTCGGACAAGAAACCGCCATCAATACCACACCCAAAGAGCAGCTACGGGAACGCGAAGCTGGAAGGAGAGTGTTCAATCAACTCTGTACACAAGATTGGTTTCAGATTCCTTTCTCAGAGTCCTACGCGCTCAATCCTCGCTTCTGCCAAACTGCCAAACTAATGAACTGCAATGATGACGACATGGTACCTCAGCCACTGTCAATACCAACACAAGCAAGCTACTGCAATTATCGTTACGACATTGCAGCGCTTATGCCCCGACTCCTCGATGCAATGAGTGGTTGCAACACGCTCTTCACAAAATACGAGCAGGTACTGCAGTATGATGAGAAAATGCGAAAGCTGGCTACCGCATGCATGCCCACATTCCTATCCACAAATGAGCCATTAGCCACAGACTGGCCAATTTACGTAGGGTGGGCCAGAAGATCATTAACCATATGCGCTTCACACAAGATCATTATGATACACCGGAAGTTCCTCGGGCTATCATTTACTAACTCCGCCTTCTCGTTCACTCGTAGAACTTGCATAGCGGCATCTAAGACTATTTTGAAAGAGGCACTGTCATCATGCCATGAACAGGGACCGATACTATGGATCGAGCAGGCATTCTCTGTAGCAGCAGGCATAATCCTCAGCCTTGATTCATTCCATCGATCTGCAAGCGAAAAAGAGTATGAGAAACATACAAGGCTCGTCAGGGACACGATTCGTTACCTGAAGCAATTCGATAATAGCAAGATAGCATCACGGGGTGTAGAGCTGCTATCAGCGTTACAAGAAGAGCTTCGTGAAGGAGGTAACATCGAAGTGAGGAAGCGGCCACGGACCGCCGAGCACAATGATGCAGCATCATCACCAAAACGAACTCGTCTGTTCAACGTGGACAAATTCATTAGCAACGTATCACAGAACTTGCAAGTTACAACACCCGCAACCACACCGACATCCGAAGATCCAGAGATCGTAGCGGATACTTCGTGGAACTCTTTTGCAAGCTTTCTACCACCACAAACGGGTTTTGGGGGACATAACATGTTTGATGAGTTACTTTCATTCCAGTTTTGATACTATGTATACTTCAACGACATATGGTTTCTCGCTCCTACGCCACTTCTCTCCCGTATGCCAGCTATAGAGTTGTTTGCTTTTTCTATGGCCACATCTTCGTCAATGTGTAATAACTTGCCGTTGTTAACAAGCAATTGGCCATCAACAATAACCATGTCAGTGTTCGCACTTGAGGAGTGGACGAGCACCGTGACTGGATCCATGCCACCAGTACTCTGCTCTACTGAGTTCCATGGAGCACAGGCTACCCCTTTTGGTGCCACGACTACAACATCCGCCTTCTTCCCAATTTCCAGGCTCCCAATTTCAGCTTCCAGGCCCAACGCTCTTGCTCCGTTGATAGTCGCAAACTCCAAAACATCGTACGCACTGAGTACGCCGGCATTGTGTCTTACACCGCCGTGTAGTATAGAGGCTAGATGCATCTCACTGAACATGTCGTACGAGTTATTGCACGGCGCACCATCGGTTCCTAACGCCACATTCACGCCACTCGCAACCATGTCCGGTATTGGTGCGACCCCTGAACCCAGCTTGAGATTACTCATAGGATTGTGCGAAACCGTGCTCTTACTCTCACGTAGAATATCAAAATCTCCGGCTGCCGGATCCGGATGTACGCAATGCGCAAACACACTCTTCGGTCCCGTTAGCTTTGTATCCCGGCAGAACTGGAATGGGCTGCACTGGTAGTAATCTCGGTAGATGGTGAGATCCTTAGGTGCTTCTACACAGTGCATTGTAAGGCCAATGTCATGTGTTTGCGCTGCTTCGCCAATGCTAGTATGCGCAGCCATAGGCGAGCCTCGTGGAGTCCCAGCCGAGAACCATACATGTAAACGATCGTCACAGGAGCCATGGTAACGCTGGTGAGCCGCGAGAGCTGCAGTGACAGACATGGAGTCTACATCACGGTCTCTTGCATCCTTCATGTTCAGATCTGGGTTAGACTCTGTGGCTTTGATCAACTTGCCCTGGGAAAACGTCAATCTCACTGCATGGCTCGTCAATCCACCCTACTCACCAAGCATGCGCGGATTCCGGTCTCTTCCACAGCTCGTACTACGTTCTCAAGCCCACTTCTATGCGTAAGCATGGCTTCCAGAAAGCACGTTGTACCCGTCTTGAGCATCTCAGTAATAGTCAACATTGACGCAACGTAGCCATCGTCTTCAGCGTAGTTGGCTTCCAATGGCCAGATGGCATCGCACAGCCAGTTGTGGAGTGAGAGGTCCTCGGCGAGACCTCGTAACAGCGACTGCGCTAGATGCGCGTGCGTATTGATGAGGCCCGGTATGACGATCTTGTTCGTGCAGTCAATTGTCTCAACGTCTCCATGATCTCCCCTCGACTCAAGTTGGTAGATCAAGTCTGACGTCTTCCCGAGCGCTGTGATACGGCCGTTTTCGATGAGCAGTGCACCATCTAAAATGACTTCCCGGCTCTTGTTGACGGTGATGACAGTTGCGTGAGCCAATAGTCGCACTGGCGTTTTGATCGTCTGCGGCATGGTCATCTCGCTTGGAGCAAGACGTGTGATGGAGTGGCTGGAGTAGGACCGCTCGGTTATTCAAGTCTTCGTGGTATGTGTTAAACGTAGGTTGGAAAGTTTACAAGGCCTCAGGCGCTTTTGATGGTGTGAGCCACCCTAGAGGCGAAACACCTGCTTACTTCACTCCATTATTTTCGTCACAGCCCCTCATGCTCGTGTCGTGGTGGAGGTTGTGCTCGCGTACGAGAGCGATGTGGGCTTCCGCCACTCTCCGCTTTTGCGTGTCCGTTGAAGTGACATGGGACGGCCGGCGCTAGGAAGATAGCGGTGGCCTTATCCTTTCAACCTCACTCGACCAACACGGTAGCAACACGCAATTGCAGAGCCCCCTAGGAGTTCATTGTGCATCTATCGTAAGCTGAAAAATAGACCGGTCCCGACATGTTGGTTATCATGGGGGATTAATTGCAGCAAGGCCTATCGGAGACGGGCGTGCTGCCGATCCAGAACCACGAGTCAACCATGGCGTTGGCCTTATTATATACCTAGCCGCAGCGAAAGGATCGTCTGTCTTTACACTGTGCTCTTACTCGCCCCCAAGGGCAGTCCCTTCGACAGCAGTCATGACTGTAGAAATTTTGAGCGAGAGTGAACCAAAATCAAATTACGCCGAAGAAAGTGCTCCACGCTCGGCGGTGACCAGTCAAGAGGCGGGTACGGCGACGACGAAATGGCAAGACACACTTGCAGACCTCAAATATGCCTTCACGACGAGAGACGGATGGATTGGTGACTACGTATGCTAAGCCTTAGCCTCTGTATCACAGCATATCGATTTGGCACTGACAGTCCCCAGGACTACGTCTACCTCATCACCCCGAACATCTGGCCACTGAGCAAGAAATACAAAACTTACAAGGCACCTTTCTATGGGCTCAATGACCGCGTTCCCATTCTTCTGACACTGCTTCTGGGCCTCCAGCATGCGCTCACTATGATCGGGTCGATCGTTTCGCCGCCGCTTGCCATAGCCTCCGGAGCTTTCAACTTTGATCCCGCAATGACCACCTACCTCGTGTCGACCGCTTTCATCACCACTGGTATTGCAACGGCGCTGCAGGTTACCCGGCTACACATTATGAAGACACCTTTCTTCATCGGCACAGGACTATTGAGCGTTGTCGGACCAACATTCGACATTCTGCCCATTGTATTCAACTACTCCGCTCTACGATACAAGTCCGGAAGCTGTCCAGTGCTTGCAGATGGAACCCAGGGACCATGCCCTGATGCCTGGGGTGCCTGCTTAGGCACTATGCTTTGCTGTGTCTGGCTCCAGATCGCATTGGCCTTTGTTCCCCCAAAGATCTTAAACAGGGTCTTTCCTAAGCTCATCACTGGATCTCTTTTAACACTTGTCGGTGTCTATCTCATCGGCAACGGACTACAGAACTGGGGAGGATCATCAAACTGCCACAACGGAAAGGGCTTCTACGCCATGTGTCCGAACATTGCTGCACCCAAGCCACTCGTATGGGGCCACCCAAAGTTTATCGGGATGGGCTTCAGTGTGTTTGCTACCATCATTCTCGTTGAAGCACTGGGTGCGCCACTCATGCGCTCTGCTTCCGTCATCATCGGTCTCGCCGTCGGCTGCGCCATCTCTGGAGCGACTGGATACTGGTCAACAGAGAAGCTCGATCAAGCGCCCAACGGTACATTTCTCTGGGTGCATACGTTCAAACTCTCCGTCGATGGCGTCTTGGCTCTTCCCATGATCATCATGTTTGCCTGCCAGGCTGTATCGTGTATTCCTGATATCTTGGCCACTGCCGAGCTATCAAACGTGGACATTGAAGGAACAGAGTTCAACAGTAGGATTCAAGGTGGCATCTTGTGTGATGGCATAGGCAGTTTCTTCAGCGCACTGGCTACCGGTCCCCCGATGGTAAGCCAGGCTGGTAACAACGGTGTCATTGTTCTTACGGGTTGCGCGTCTCGTCGCGCCGGCTGGGCAGCAAGTGGCTTTCTAGTCTTGATGGGCATTATTGCAAAGTTTGGAGCCGTGTTTGCTTCCATGCCACCTTCTGTCCTAGGAGGCATGCAAGTGTTCCTCTACAGTACCATCGCTGTAGCCGGAGTCCGCGTCCTCGCACTCATACCTTGGACACGCCGCGACCGTTTCATCCTTACGGTCGCGCTCGGTGTCGGCTTCATGGATATCTGCCAGCCGGACTGGTTTGCACAAGTGCTGGCGTACAATGGTCCCAATCAGAACCTGGTCGGGTTTGAACAGGGCATCAATCTCGCTGTCGGTACCCCATTTGTCTTTGCGGCTATTGTAGGTGTCTTCCTCAATGCTGTGCTGCCAAAGGATAGAAATGCCATGTCCACTATAGGCTACGGAGATGAGAGAAAGCATCCCAGGATAGGCGAGCGTGAAGATTGATTACATGTGGAGTCTTTTTTCATGGTTAAAAATGGCAAAACCTTCTGGCTCGTAATCTTTCCCATGGAAATGCTTCAGGTATTTGCGGCTCCACAACTGCAAGGTCGTGCTCTTTATGCACAGGCCGGTGTGTTGCTTGACTAAGTAGGTACTGCGCCGCCTACATGTATCCTTCGTACGAGGTAACTGCGCCTCTAATTTCTGCAAGTCATGTCTCATGTCACGATCCTGTTGCTATCTTTACCTGCTGGCATCGACACGTCGCCTACCCCCGCAATAGAATGCGCCCGGTGGAAGAAGCTTCTATCTTATGCATCGCATGAAGTTGATAGCAGTATGTCACTCACCGTTCCCAGCCCTGGTCCCCAGGCGCACCCATCGGTAGTTTCCCCGACGGTAAAACAGTCCCACACACCCCGATCACGACCTCTGACGTTTCGGAGCACCTCGCGTGGCGAGCGCTTGACACAATAAAAGCGGATACAAAGTCGGTGTGTTGTTAGCCGAAAGTAATGAAGTCCATGAGCCGATGTCTTGAACACCCCATGACGATCGTTGCGCTAGACCATATAAGACCGGCGGAAAAGGTGGTGGATATGTTGCGTGATTGTGAGAGGCCGGCTTGGTAGTTACATAGAGAGAGCTACCGTAGTATTGTATGTATGTATGTAATCCATTAGCGTCCTTTATCAGTCAGAGACTATGTAGGACGGTGGCAGATGCCATTCTAGCTATTTTTATCTCTCCTTTGATGTTCGTTGGTTATGTTTGACTAATGTAGTTTAGGCATGTCCTAGCTATTACAGGGGAGGAGAGAAAGTAAAACCCTATTATAGCTGCCTGTTTTTCCTTCTCTTCAACCTATCTCTTTTTGCAACGCTTTCCTCGTGTTCCTAAGTCTGAAAAAACCTCAAAGGGGAAAAAGCCATGGGATCTTGAACGAGGCGTAGGGTTGTAACAAGCTTAGCGTAGTGTTTGTAGTCGTAGCAGTGCGTGGCTCGGGTGTACTGCGGCTATAACCTGTCGCTTAGGTTTGCAGGGGTAGGTGAAAATTTGCGAGTTGGAGTAAGCCGTTCGATATTTTTTGGTAAAGCCACAAGTGGCGGTGAGAGGAGAAGGATTCGAACCTTCGACCTCTACTACACTGCAAATTTGGAGTGCGGTAAAGGAATACCAGGCGCTTTACCACTGCGCCATCCCCCCGCTACCGTAGTATTACTTAGAAGACGAGGACCAGGTTGATGAGACTCGCCATCGTCGGTGCTGACGGTAATGCTACAAAGCATTGATAACATACCACACCGGAGGTCGGCGTCTTGCTCACGTGTCGTAATTGACCTGTGTTCGACATAGACCGACCGTCCGGCCGTTATAGCGAGCGGCGCGCAGGATAAACACCCGTACGTACCGTACGTACCGCCTTGTCTACGTAAACCTCCACTCCCACTCCCGCAAAAGTCGCAAACGGCCCTTTTCTTTGCCCACACCATAATTCTTCCGCTCCAGCTTCCCGCGCCCCCTGCCCCCTTTCCACTTCCCTCTTCCCCCCAACTACCGTACCTGAACGATGATCATGATGCTTATCAATGCAGATTGGTCGCGCAGCCGTCAGATCGGCATGGTAGTTTTCACGGCGAGCTTCCTCCTTGGGCGCACATGACTCGCATCAAAGGACGACAACAAGTTCCGGAACCCGGTCAAACGTCGCCCATGGTCAAAGCACACATGATACCACATGTGGGTATTCGCTTGATCAATGGAATTGAAACCAGGGGTCAGGGATGAGATTAAAACTGGACTAGGATCTGTCTTCGGGGAAGTAGCACCGATCTATATCTGGGCGGCGTCTAGATAAGTATATGTGGAAAGTGCCGTTTGTTCGAAGGATTCTGTCCGACTTTGTTGCTTTGCAGGAATCCTGTTTAGCGCTTGACCGCCTCACCGATGATGAGAGCTTTTTAGATGTTATGTATTAAGTTTGATAACTTGGGACCAAGGCGCACAACACTGCATGCTCACATCACTCTTACATGTGTGACATGGTGCAGTAGCGTACGTTGACCTCGTCCTCCTACCACCCGTCCCGTGTGTCAGCAGTCTATCAAACCTCTAGAGCGGCCTTCTCCACATCACGAGACGGTCCGTTCGCTGGGTCTAGCGAATTGGCAAGGATGACACTAAGCGCTGTCTGTGCATTGTCATGTCACATGCTAGAATGTCAGGCACTCGCGCTAGCCCACTGAACCTCGGGATCTTTCCAGTCTCATGGATGTGCTCGATATTGCCCTGAGCCGCGGAATCCGGTTCTACTGTACCAGACCGGCAACAATGTCGTGGCCTGGAGTCATCGAGCCCGCGTTTGACTGGTTGAGCTTTCAGTGTGCGTAATAGCGCACAGCGATTGCGCGGGCGGGCTACTACAAACTGTTCAAGATCATCAATGTAGCATTGAACTTGGTGATGATCATAAGCTGCGGGAAAAATGTTTCCAACAACGGTACGGGAACAGAGATCGAAGATGAAAGACGAAACTCGTTATGCCCCACACGTGCGAATTTTTGATTGGCGAGCTCGTTCTAACGGGCCGCCCTGGCTTCGAGTGAATTAGTAAAGCCGGGTGGCTGGGATGCATGTAGATGATCTTTCTGATGGGGTAAATGACGCAGTTGTGTAAGTAATGTATCATCACTTTCTTTGCGTTGTATAATGCTGCCAAGTTAAAACGGGCTGCCAGAACATAAAACAAGAAAATATATTTTTGTGGAAACGGTTGAAATGGAAAACGTATGGTTCAAGTTCAAGATCCCGGAACCACAAATCCGGAGCCGTTTTCTGCAACAATTCGGCCATCAGGACACAGTGGAGCAAGGGTGAATTCTGGATTGTTGAGTCTATCGCCATGGCTGCAGCTGTATGCGGGCATACGAGAAGTGGGTATTGCACCTCACCCCGCACCCCCTCAATAAGGAAGGTGCACGTACACAAGGCGATAATCAGCAAACTTTTTGGTTGACTAATGTGGCATTACAGTAGCACTATGCTACAGGATACCACCCTGGCGGGGTGCAACGGTGCTTGCCGCCGTGCTTGCGTCTATTGCAAGATAATTGTACTGTACAGTCGCGCTTATATTGCGCTGCGCATTCATGTAGGCTCCAGTTTCAAGTTGAGGATACATCTAGCTGGTGGCGAAACCGACGCTGTCGTTGCCGGTCATCTTCGAAGTCTTGAACGGAAATTTCTCCTCGACCCAATCATGCGCGTATATTGGGCAGCAACGCCAGTGCCACTGATGCACATAATCTCTCCATCTTCACACTCCGCGCGTCCGGAGTTTGAAGGGCCTTGTAGTCATAGACGCACAGACTAGATCGTCCAAAGGAGCTTTTGTTTTGGGTATGGTGCGGCCCGGATAGTCCGGATAAAAATATTGCGTCTTGTTTCAACGTGCCCGCTTGTACATTGATTGGTCCGCCATGGCAGCATTGCCGTCCCATCTGCGCTTCAGTCCGTCTGGTAGAGAGCTGGCAACTGCTTCCTGCCACATTGTAGGTGTAACGTAAACCGGCGCGGCGTTTGCGTATGTCGACGAAGGCAGCATTTGGCCTGGTGGTGCGTGGACATTGCTGGGCGAAGGCGATGTGTTGGACATCTGATAGTTCGTTTGCATACCGCCCTGGGCCGGCCGCAAGTCGTAGTCGTTGCCTGAAGGATTGGGTCTTAGCGGCGGAGACGATTGAGAGGAGGCGCTAGTAGGAGGGGGCGTACCAAAGGCAACATTCCATTGACTGTCTTGTATTAGTGTCCTGTCTTGTTTTTCGTCTAAGCGTAAACTTACTCAAATATGCGCTGCGGGTTCCATTGCGTATTGTCTGGCAGCTGCATGCTGGAATTTGGCTGGGGTCCACGGTGACCAGAACGCCATCATGACCAAAGACTGAGCTACGGGAGAGTCAGCCTTTGATCCCCGGTCGGATGCCGAGATTGGTGGAGTAATGGGATGTGCATGGTAGTTGACCTGACCTGGTTGTTCCAATGGCGAAGGGTGGCTCGGATGGCGAGGACGGTAAGAGCCGTGCTGGCTCATGGGACTTGTTTGCGGGGCCACCTGAGGACTTCCAAACGGGAATGTCGGCTTCAGTTCAAAGGGCTTCGTGCAATCAGCCGAGAAAGCTTGACGAAGACTGTTCACTTGTTGCTGCATCTCAGGCATCGGAAAGTGGGGAGACATTGTTTCCAGAATGCGCACGTGTCGTACAAAGAAGTCTCTGGCATCGTGGTTGATATCGGGATCAGGGCATGTTACGGCAACCTGTAGCAGTTAGTTATTGCTGATAGAGTTTCATTAGTGTAACCTACGAGATGAAGCATAGTGCACGTGAGCACAGCATAGACATGGAAGCTGATGCCTCGCATCTGGCAAAGCATCCCAGGCATACCGCATGTCTTCAAGATGGCTTCTTGAAGCTTGCATAGATTCTTGGCGGCCGCGTAACATGTTAGCATATGTTGCTTCCATATGCCGTCATATGAGTCCGACACTGCATGTACTTGCGGTCTGAAGTGCATGATGATAGCCAAGCAGTGATAGCTATGCATGTTGGCGATCTGATGGGATGGGATCCACGGAGGAGAGCCGTCCTGGGGATAGACAATTTGCATGTCTTCAGGTAGCTCCCGTAGCCAGAGGGAGAAGTCGGTGTTGTGCGCAACAAAAGCAGGGTCAAGCGCCCAGTCCGGTGTCTTTTTCCTCAGTTTGCCGAAGATCAGGGCCGAATGGTGGACATTCTTGGCAATGCGGGCGTACTGAATGAATTGGCGCGCAATTTGAAGCTCGCCAGGATCCTGTCCTGCAATGTGCCTAGGCATTTCAAGGTCCACGGTTTCGGATGAGACACCAAAATCGTAACGTCCTGTCAGACGTGTTAGCAGTGTTGACGAGCTTCCTCTCTCGGTGTGTCTTACCCTGAGGACCCCCAATCATGACTTCAAAAATCATGCACATCTGCCACACTCTTGTCTTGGCAATGCAGTCATGCGACGTAGAGCCACAGGACTTTCCCATTTGATGCGTGTCATAATGTTCGTGGAGTTCCAAGTCTTTTGCCATTGCTACAAGACTGACTGTTGACATCCAAGAGCGCCAGAAGTATCCTCGCTTCGGCGAGGCTTCGCGGGCTTTGAGCAGGAGGATCATTGCCTGCATCGTGCTGAGACGCGACACATCTTTGAAAGCTCTCTTCGTGCTCTAAAGTTTGTTAGCGAATGTATAGTGAAATTGAATGGAGCACTGACTTGTCGCGAGAGCTAGCCACTTGTTTCCCTCTTCTATATCTCCCAACATCAACGTTGAGCAGGCGAAGATGGATTCGAGCATAAGTGGGGAGATGGAATCAGGCGCACTATGCCATTGTTGGTAGAAGTACGCCTTGTTAATAACCGGGCAGTAGGGATGAACGTTTGCGAAAAAGTACTCGAAATAATGGAGTGCTTGATCGTCCGGAGGCATCATCTCGGGCGGTATGCGAACCGTGTGATCCAGGCTGACAGAATGCGGCAACACGACTTCGTACTCTTCCTGGGCTGGTGTTTCGGCCAGCGTCTTTTTCATGTTCGTGATATAGGGGGCTGTGTTGATTAGTAAATAATGCATTAGAAAGCTACTGTGAGATCTTACCAATGGCGGTATGATCAATTTTGAGTTCACCCAAAGCTTCAGAGAGGCTGGACACGGAATCGCTTCGCCAGTGGGGCTCCGACTCGGGCGGGGTCATGATTGCAGGTGTTGGTACTGATCCTTGAGAATATCCCTGTTGGGGAGCATAGCCCATTGTTTGCTGGACGACCTGAGGTTGCGACATTGGCTGGTAGTGGCATGAATCTTGCGGCTGTTGATCCACATAGGGCGAGGACTGGTACATGCCCTGGGCAGATGTAGGCATGGATGGCGGCATTTGGTGCGGCATGCCCTGTGCCATGGAATGATGGCGTTGGTAGTCGTGTTGTGGAGAACCATCTGAAGTGTAGTCCAAGGGTTTTGGCTCCAGATCAAACGTCTGCGTACCGTTGTAGTCCTTGTCATAGCTGACAGTAGGCGGTACGCAATTGAGCTTTAAGCGGATGCAAGCAGCGCAAGGCCACGCATTTGTGGTTGCTGCATCGCACTTGATTTTGCGCCTGCGGCATCCTTCGCATGCTCTCATTACTGCTCAACATTAGCACATGCATACGATGCTCGGCAGCAAGCCAACCGGAGATGGAGGCACACCTTTCAAGCGCTTGTGTCTATTGTGCTCATCTACGAATACATAGTCTAGGTGGGCATGTTAGTCGGCACTGTCTACGGCCCAGGGCGGTTGGTAAACTTACTGCGCTGGTTCTCGCGCGGCGCCAGCGTCGGCGGCGCAAAAGTGAAGCTCTGCATTTGCGCCGTTTGAGGCAGCAGTGGCCGTCCAGTCGTCTCCGGGGGCATACCGTCCTAGGTGTACAAGAAGCCGGTCGGGACAGGCAAGGCGAGACCAGACACGATGGTTGTGGGCAGCGGGGTCGTCGGCTATCCACCAAGTTGATGAAGTTGTGCGCGGTCGTCGGCGGGCAGCCAATGGAAGCGATGCGCGATGACGGGCCAGAAAAGTCCAGATTGGTCGAAGAGGGTCGGGATTGAGAGGCAAGCAGAACTAAACAAGAAGAAGGCAGAATAGGTAGTGTACAATACTATAGCAGATGCGAAATGGCCGCCAGTTGCGGCGTGGTTAGGTTATACGGCAGATCAGGGCAGACAGGGCAGAAGACGCATAGGAGTGGTAGGTGGAGACGAGGTCTGGCATGCCGGGGTTTCGAAGACGCGCTGGCAACCGGCTCGCAGCGTGGCTCACGCGCACAACGGTGGCGTTGCAGTGTATGGATCTCCTGAAAGTCTTGAGTGAAGTGGTCCCAGGCCGCTCGCAGTGTATGAAGGGGTCGATAGGCGGGCGAGGGGTAGACGACATGCGACGTGCAGGATCCAGGAGCCGCACTGCACTAATAGCGCCTTCGTATGGGCGCCCAAGCTGCACGCGCGTGAGCGCAAGCGTCCGCTTCCAGGGAACTGCCGTGCTGTGGGGGTGTGAGGCAATGGGCAGCAGGGGTAGTGGTGCCCGTTAGAGAAGTCCTGAATCGTATCACGTAGAACGGCGGGTGATGTGGACCTTTGCCAGCATTGCCTTTACTGGGAATGCTGGGAACGGTTGCTATAAAGGTAGCGGGGGCAAAGTCTGACAACTGAGAAGACGGTGGTACAATACACGCCGCCGCTCTCACTCAGCAGACGGCTGGTCAAATTCTTTCAGCGGATCGCGCACCAGCTCACTCAGAGACTTCTGGTGGCGGGCGCATCCGTTGGATTGCCCGAACGAAGAAAACCAAAAAAAAAATCATGGCAGCAGGCCAGCAGCCGGTAAAAGCATGGTGCTGTAGACGACAACGCTATAGGGTGTCGAAACCTTGTGTGTGCATTTAGTCGCGTGGTAGTCGCTCATCCTGCACAGCCTAGGTGCCTGAAATGTTTGGGCTGGGGCCACGGCCATGCTCTCGCAGACTTGTAAGTACAGCGATGGCAGGTGGGCCTTCTGGAAATGGATCTTGGGACCCTGGTCCTGATGACGAATATCATGCCTTAGCTGGCACATTGTATTGCAGAACATGTGTACGACTACCGTTATAGTAGACAGAAAAAGGGGTGCCGTTGCTCGTAGCATGTCTGCACGACTTTCAGGAGCGAGCGTCCATAGCCGCAGGGCTAACAGATGGTTGACGTCGCTCCCGTGCCTCGGCAATGGGCCGCTTCGATCAGCGTTATTCCATGACGGCACCATGGATGTCAGCTTCAGAAGGCATACCTAGGTATTCGGAGCTGGAGACAGGATGGTATCCCGTCGTGTGCCGTAGAAGCGTACGGCTGAACCGGTGTGTGTCGTTCAGCACAACAGCTCGGCGAATTGATTCATACCGACGCTTGGTAGTCCCAACTGCATGCAAGGTTCTGACGGCAGACGCATCACCATCAGCGTAGCCCGCATAAAACAATATTACTCCAGATGTCTACCCCCGATGCGGCTAGCGCGATATCGAGGCTGTAGGTTGCACAGACAGGCCGCATGGCATCGCATGAACCGGACACGAAGATTGCGGCCGTGTAGCGAGACAGGCAGAGATTAGTAAACTTCGAGAAGGTTTCTGTTCGATTCAAGCATCGGTCCTGTCACGCCGCATGCGACATGATGGACGAGTAAGAGGGCAGCCAAGAAGGACATGCGCAGATGCAAAACCTAAAGTAAACTTTTACGAAACCTAACAGATGGATAGTTGATGATCTGGCGTACTGGGCCACCCACGTCCTTTTGGGCCGCCGCATGCGATTTCAGACGAGCAAGTCAAGGTTGGATGGGGCAGGAGCATAGCAGGCGTTGCCAAGACATGTCTTACCTGGACGGCGGCGGCATAGCTCGAGGACTGACAGTTGCTGGCGCCAGGCTCCAGTTACCGGTGATGCATCGAAGGCCGATGGAACCAGACAGCCGTTCTGTCGATGGCGTCAAGGCAGATAAGGCGCACATGGAGGCCAGCAGCCTGCGCACGCTGATCACTGGCGTGGATCTGCTGCAGTCCAGGAACACAGCAAGGCCAAAATAAGAAACTCGGAGTGATTCCAGCACTGTGGTCGGTTTTGAACCCGAAGAGGCAGTATTTCCGAACGTGTAGGCACTCCAGAGCGGGAGGAGCCGGACAGAAGACGGAGTTTCGCAACTCACGATACCACGTCGGAGAGCTGGGCTCACATAGAGTAGCATTGCTGATTGCGTGTAAAAGACGCCGTCGGTGGTGCCAGTGAGGGATTTGCAAAAGGGTCGCCACGGAGCTTGGCGATGGTTAGGCTCTCGCCGCCGGAAACCGAGAATGTTTCCGAGTAAGTACTGGAGAGGCTGTCCTTGTGGCCTTCTGGAAGCGGGCAGGGAAGTGGCCGAGGTTGACCGGCAGAGACACGGGAATGGGAACAAGGAACTTGGGAACATGGGAACATGGGAAGACGAAGGACAAGGCGTGCGACTTGGCGAACCGTACGGCACTGTACACGATTTGCTGCCGTCATGTCTGCAAGTGCAACGACTTGGATATCATCGAGACCGGCACCTGCAGACACTAGTCAAACACGGGTGCCCTGTAGTGTGAAGGGTGTGGGTGCACCCCACAGTCTCTTCCCCTGCATACCTTTGCGGGTAATCTGCGGGAGATTGTAGAGCAGAGAGGAAACTGGCAAACTGGCATTGGTAAAGGCTGAGTAAGGATGGTATGCAGTTTTAAGTTTACTGGGCATTGTGACATTGGCCGACGGCGGACGAGTTGGGGACCAATACCAGATGGCCGTCGTAGACGAGTGGGAGGGGGTCGCGGTTGGCCCGGGCGCACTTGCCTCGCAGATTTGCACATTGCAGACGCTCTTGCCTCGCAGAATGCAAGAGGCAAGAGCCCAGGACGGCTCCTTCCACCACACCAAGACGAACGGTCAGCCACGACAAGCACAACAAGCAGGAGGTAGTCAGCACCCTAGCTGCCACTACAGTACCGTAACATTCCAACCACGCCGCCACCATGGAGCTCGACAAGGACAATGCGAACCCCACCATCCTAAACCCATCCGATCTGCCATCGCGCCGCAGCGACTCGACGGCCAAGCGGCGGGACGACGGCGGCACAGGCCTTTTCGAAGACCTGATACCGCGCTACAGCCACCTCCTCGACGACGCGCCCGTTTCAGCGACCGACTCGGACGACGATGACGATGATTGCGCACCCGAGGCCATTGACGAACAGGAAGTCTACGGTGCGTACCGCCTACGGCACCTGCCCTTTTGCTTGCCTGACGCTGGCTGACCCCGCGCATGATAGACCTCATTTCCACAATCTGCGACCCGGAGCACCCGCTGTCGCTCGGCTCGCTCTCAGTCGTCAATCTTCCCGATATTCATATCCTGCCGCCCTCGTCACCGCATTCCAACATCAGCACCGTCGTCGTTGAGATCACTCCGACCATCACGCATTGCTCACTGGCCACCGTCATTGGCCTGGGTGTGCGCGTCAGGCTCGAGCAAGCCCTCCCCCCGCGCTTTCGCGTCGATGTCCGCATAAAGAAGGGCACTCACAGCACAGACGAGCAGGTCAACAAACAGCTGGGGGACAAGGAGAGGGTCGCTGCTGCCTTGGAAAACGGTACGCTCATGGGCGTGCTGAAGAAGATGCTCGTCACGTGCGAATAAGTAGAGTTTCCAAGTTTCACTGCATTACAGCACCTTGGGACTCCCCCCATGCTACCTACACATGGCCATGTGGCAGAAGACCGGGCTGTGCAAAACACTGAATCCTCGATATCGGCATTGTCAGCAATTGCCCTGACTCCTATCATGCGACATGTACTCCGTATCCGGGGCGCCACACCCGTAGGATGACTTTGTCTCCACTCGTATTCTTCGTATTCTGCATATGCGAAAAGCCGCATAGAGAGTCATAGCCACCGCCCTTTACTTACCCCTTTGGAAAGCAATGCCCTGCCACCGGCTTATGTGCACATACGTACACACACACTTTTGACATGCTTCCATTGTCAGTGACATTCCAAGACCCTGTATTTTGTGGAAACAAGTTCTGGGCAAAACCCGCTTGCTCCACGCTCCACCGTTCCAAACATGGGTGCAAGGGGAATAACGGTGTAGCAGTCCTGGTAATTTAGCCGCGAGGGGGACCACACGGGCGGGTGATGGGCGAGGAGAAACGTAGCCGAGTAAATCAGGAATTAAAACTTGAATCAGTTACTTCCATCCAAGACTCTTAGTGGCTTATCTTGGAATCCTGTTTTACTAGATTTTCTACTTTCACATGTCAATCGACACAGCTGAGCATTATCAGAAAGTACTCCTGCATTTGTGTATTGTCCAATGAATCATTTATGGACCTGGCCTCAACTTGAAAGTGCCAATCTCGCGTCTGCAAGCATGCATGTTTCTACGGAAGAAAATTTCCGGGGGGGATAAACATACGAGCGGGTAATAGTAAAATAGCAAGACAGTTGACCTGCCTAGCACAGATGATACTGTGCACTTGTCAGTCGTAAAGGGACCCTGAGTTTGCGTCAAGTCCAATTTCTGCATCGTTCCTTCCTTTCTCATATCAATCCCAAACCCCCCTCCCTCTTCTACATCGTTCCTTCCTCTTTCCAACGAGGTCCTATTTCTCCCTCGTCTGGCTCTTAGTATTTCCATCACATCCGCTATATTTGCTCAGACCTCTTTTCTTTCTCCGGCGTGTCTTGGTCGGGTTGTTTTCTCTCTCTTCCTTGAATCCCTAGCCATATGTCGAGACAGCCTAAGCAAACGAGTCTCGTGGTCGGTCACGCAAGGAGAAAGACGAGTAGCGAGAACTTTGCTATGTTGACGAAGTGAAGGGTGGGCATGACGAGTATGCATGAGCAGTAGAAAGTGATGAATGATGGTGGGCGTGAAAACCACATGCTGGGCTGTCATGGTGTCGTCATTGTGCTAGCTCTGAGCAGCCGCTCTTTCCTTGCGTCCGACAGCTGAACCGGGCTGGTTGGTGTAGTGATGTACTCGGTGCGTGGTCGGGCATGAACAGACCATATTGATCTAAGATGTCGTACAAGTGGTGTCTATGTAATAGCACACCTCCGGTTTACGATTTGTTATCAAACATGAATTACTAACGCGACAATTTCCTGCGCAGAGTAAAAAACTGGCCAGTCACTACTAGAGCATTCTTTGACCCCCCTACCACACCAGCCCATCGTTCCTTCCTCCACTAGCACTACACCTTCCTCAAATTTACAACACAACAACTACCGGCCGTCAACCCCTTCCTTCCTAGCATGTCTCGACCCAACTTCCAAAACTCCGGGACTGTGGTTCTATGCGCCTTCATTTACCTCGGCATCACAGTGGTGATGCCAGGACTCATAGTCGCTCTCCTCCAAGGCTTCTTCTTCGGGTTTCTAATGAGCATGGTAATGGCTACATGGGCCCTGCGAGGCAACATCACCACCACCGCTATACTCCAAGCACGAGAGGAGCGGATAAAGGCGTGGCAAGATAGTGTTATGTTAAGTGGTCAGTGGACGCTAAGAGAACGCATGCAATGATGCAGTACTTCAGGAGCGTAGAAAAGCATGGCGAAATAGTGTCATGTTGAGCGGTGGGTGGAGTAGTCCTTCGTCTTTGCTTGGTGACACAGATAAGATGGTAGAGCTGGGAAAGGTAGAGAAGGCAAACAAAGACGGGAAGGCGATTTGGAAGAGGTTTTCAGCCAGGTTTAGGCCAAAAATGAGGCTGATGTAGGCAGGGAAGAGGGAAACGGCTGAGGAGGTTTTTGATGGGCCGGAGTTGGTAGAGTAGGACAGCGAGTAGGACAGCGAGTAGGGGGGCGTATAGATTATGATGTTTTAGAGTATGGCGTATCAAGTCGTATATGATTCATGTGAACCCAAGCAGGAGCGAATGCCCTAAAGACATCAAGCCTCATCGTCTCATGAAACCTGGGCAGCGTACGTGAACATGACAAGCAACAAGGCACGACAGCATAACGCCAGAGTAATATTTGAGAGAAACCATAGCTTCACTCTCACTCCCATGGGTATAAATCCTAGAAGACATGACTGATTCCTTAAACCTCAAACCAGCAGTCATCTCTCCCGCCGGCAATCCAGCTCTCGTGCAGCCATGGGCTTTTGTTGGTGCCCTGCCTTCCCCATCACACCCCGCCCTCGTCCGCGCGTCTGAGAAGCCGCTATTCCACGGCGCATTGTCATAACCCAAATCCCGCCAATTCCTCATTTCGCCTTATTCTTCGCCGCCTCAGCCTCTCTCCTCGTCGCATCCTCGAGCAACGCAGTGTCCACGGCGCCAGAAGGGAGGTGTACGTATCGAACGACGGATCCGCGAATGAACATGTCTTTAGTCGAGCACTGCCATTCATTCTATTAGCCCAAATATCCCAGCAATCCATCCTTACCCTTCAGTCGCATCTCTGCAGCAGAAAATGTTCCGAAAACACACGATAGCGTGATTGACAGCGTCAAACGTACCAAATGCGGCCACCTCAACTCATCCACCGCCTCAGCATTATCCAGCTTAATGTTGAGATACTGATCCACACTCTTCAGCGTGCCGCGGATTTGCACTTCGTTCTTGAGTTCGACGGTGATTTCGTGCTCGACGAGCGTTTTGAAGAAGCTGTTTTGGTCGGCTTGGTTAGCGCGTGCGCGCGTGCGTGGTGCGGGGGGCATTGGCGCATGTACCTGAAGAAGAGCATGGTTTTGAGCGAGGATAGCTTTTTTCAGATATATACTAAAGGAATGGGTTCGTGGTGTTGTGATATGGGCGGCGTTGCAAAAGATTCAGGGGAGTCTGGTCGCGACTTGGTATGTTTAAAAGTGACGAGGTTGTGCATCGTCCATGTGGGGTTGCCCGCTCGAGAGAGGGCGTCGCCTCCTTAGGTATCCGCCGCCGCCTCATCAAGACAGACACTTGCTTTCAATCACTTGAATACTTCTCATCACATAACAACTGTTCTAGACCCGAAATGAGGACATCAGATAGATTTGTGATCGACACTATCCTCATACGCTGTACAAAAGAAAGTTTGTCATGTGGTATCAACTACGCATCGTCCAGTATCGCGCCAGTCCAGTCTAGTCCACCCAGTACCAAAATTGTCCATCCCATCCAGAACACCTATATCTCATAAATATCCACAAATCCCCTCATTACTTCCTAGCCCAGCCAGTCAAAGTGCGCCATCCTGCATTGCTCTGTGAACCCTCCTCGAACACGTTGATGACTCCTTCCAGTAGCTTCTCCTCGTCCTTGCCCATCTCCATCTGCAATCTCAACATCCACCTCTCCCATGCCCAACTGCCGACAATACCTGTCATCATCGCTGCATCTACAGTGGTTCCGAAAACTGGCGCATCCTCAAGTTCAATCTCGCCGTTTTCGGCGATCCGTCTCTCTTGGTACTTTGGTCCGGCACCGACAGCGAGTGTTTCGCGCCAGTTGGCTGCTGTCCTGCCCATGGGCAAGAGCATCCAAGCCCTTTGCACTTCCTTGAATCCTGCTTTGGATACACGAGGGAGGAATGTCTTGGTAGGTTGGGCATCATATCCCCGTGTCTTGAGGTTGAATCCGAACTCGACACCCATGGCTTGAGCGTTGCGACCAGCATGGACGACATCAGCATCCATCAAGGAAAAGTCCAAGATGCCACCAGGCCTGAGGCAGCGGTAGCACTCTTTCAAGCAGAGGTCATACTCGTCCGATGACTTCCCTACGGGCTTGCTTGTCTTGAGAAGCTCATAGAGCGTGCGCGCCGAGACGACGTCGAAGTGACCCGAGGGGAAGGGCAAAGTCCACAGGTTGGGCACAGTGAGGTGCTTGTGGTTGTCTGGACCTGCAACATTGGACGACATGTTGTTACCAGCAGTGTACACTGTGGTTACTGTGGCGTATGGGTAGTCGTACGCAACATCCCACGCCCAATCGTTTGTAGCAACACCACCTACATCGAGAATACGTGGCGCACTCGCGCGCGTAATGCATCGCACAGCCGGCTTGCTCAGTAGTTTCCCGCCATTGAGTTGCTTCTGTGCTTGCAGGACCCAATGAATAGGTAGCATCTGATCAAGTGCCTGACGCTCCATCTGTGCACGTGCGATCCTCTCCTTCAACACAGTCGGATCATTGACGAAGAACTCGGACACGGGGCGTGGTGGCGCTGGACGATCTGGCTGGCTAAGCTCAAACTTGCCGAGGAGCTGGTCGCGGTGGGCCAAAGGGCTGCAGCGGCGCTGTACATGCAGAGCCTCGGCGCGGGTCTGGCGGTGGATGAAGGTGTCCTTCTTTTGGCATCGAGAGCGGAGGTACTCGAGGCCTTGCACATAGGTCAGAACGGGCTTATCAGCCGACTCTTCTACTGGCGTCTTGACAGGCTCATCGGCGAACTTGACAGACTTCTTGACGATTGTCTTCTCGATGGAATTGTCACGGCTGTGAGTTCCGCTGGAGAGAGTGGGTGAGCTCATGTCGTTCATGTCTCGAAGCGCAGCTTGCAATTCGTCCTGCTCCTCCAACCATCGACCAGTCATCTCGAGATTAGCAGAAGAAGTCTTCTGGAGCTCTGCGATATAGTTTTCGTTGTATTGGAAGATGGTGTTGCTGGGGTTGATCTCCTTGATCTCTACATTCTCATCAGTGGGACTGAGAATTACTGGCCGGGAGGTGGGCAATGGTTCGTCGTAGCCGTCGAGAGTAGATCCGGCCAAAGTGGAGTTGCGTCGTGGAAGAGCTGGCACAGCTGGCCTTGGATGGGGAGAAGTGTTCCTTCGGTTCTCCCTCTCCCATGGCAGGTTGTAAAATTTCTCAGCAGTGGAAGTATTTGGGATCGACTCTTGTCGCTTCGGGATACTCCATGTGTGGCGAGCGTTTGCCTGGAGCGAGGAGAAGAAGCCACCTGGCGATGGAACTGAGAGGGCAGAAATGGGTGTACTACCAGAGGACCCACGTCCGAATATTGTCGAAGGAATGCTCAGGCCAAGGCTAGGCCGAGAGACTTCCTGCATCTCGCCTCTAGGCTCAGCTGGTTGAATTGGTTGGGGCACAGGCTCCTCGTACTGCTCTGTAGCTGGCGAGTTTCCCAGGTGTTGAAGTGTCTCCATGGCTTGCAGATCCAACTGCACGGGGCCCCAGGAGTCGAGGCTCGAGGATGAGTCGCGCCTCTGTTGTGAGATTGGGGTAGCCGGACAGCTGAGCTTGTCCATCTCTTCGGAAGTGAGGCTACCGTCCAGTGAAGGTGCAGCTGAGCGCTCTGGTACATGTAGGTTATGTGAATCAATCATCTCAAGGAAACGACGAGAAGGTGTCAATAGCAGTGAAGGGGTAACAGGCATGGCCGAGTTTGCGCTCTTGAGCTTCTCAATTGTTGGCCATGCCGACGGCGATGGAATAACGATTGATGGGTAGCGTCTTTGCTTGGGCAGTGATGCAAGCTGTTTCTTGACTGATGCCGATGCGTGGAGAGGCACCTCGGCTTCATCGTCTGTAATATCGTAGAGCGAATCGAAGTCGCTTTCTGCACGACTCACCCGGTTTACTGGGGGGTATGTAGCCGAGTGAACAGGAAAGCGTGGCGACAGCTGCGGGGTCATGTCGAACAAGCGTGCCTTGGGTGTAGGGAAGTCGTCGACAACACTGACAGGCGAGGCAGGGTTCGGTAGGTATACTGAAGAGGTAGAATACCTAGCGGCGAAGTAGTATGTGGGGATAGAGGAGTCGTCGTCAGTGGCATTAAGTGCCTGGCTCTGGTCCAGCGGAGACAGGGCTTGATGAGAGTCGGCCATGTTGGCCAGGGTCGTGGGCTGGTATACTGCACGTCCAAGCATCTCTGGCATGTTGGTATATTGGGTGACGTGAGCACCGCCTCTTGCAAATATTACTAAAGATACTTATAAAATCCGAGTATGCGGGAGTGCGGCGAGGGTGGGATGGGTCCAAATACAGAAGTACCGGGGAGTGAATAGTAGCGATATTAAGATGGGCGACGACCCGGAAATGCGCTGGTCAACAGCTTACTGGTAAAAATGGAATTGCTTCCATCAACGAAGACTTGGGGCGAGAAAGGGGCTCGGAACGGGGCTAGAAGTGAATGGCAGAAGAGGTTGATGCGGCGCGGGCGCAAGAGCGAAATGATATATCGTGCGTAGACGCCTTCTGGTCGACTCACGGTGAGCTAGTGTTACTGTGGCATTCGTCCGAGCAACACTGCCAGCTGTCCGTCCACTCGCATATAGTGCCGAGTGTGGGTGCAGAGACGATAGCGGCTCAAGCACGGCCACGACATGGCAACGACTACGAGGAGGGTGTGATTGGCCGAGACGTGTTTATGGTGAAGAATGGTGGACAAGGTGTTTACTATGCGCTACATGCATTAGGGCTAGACGAGCGTTGCGCTGCACGGCGTGGTTGGGTCTTTGACTTGTAAGCGCCGGGCTGTGCTATTTGCAGCTTTCGTCTTGTGCACGTGTGCCCAATGACAAGGCTGTGTCGTCTTGTACAGCATACTCGCCCAATAGTGCCTCGTCGAAATTTCTTCTCGGTTGCGGGGCGGGACATAAAGATGGAGGGAGATGAAGATGAAGATGAAGATGAAGATGAAGATGAAGATGAAGATGAAGAGTGCTACGGGAGGCGGTGGCATGCCGTCATCCCGTGCCAGCCGATGAGTGAGATGGAGACAAGTGCCGATGATGAGATTTAGTGCAATTACCATGTTAAGGTATCAACATGGTGGTGCCATATTTGGGTACAATTGATTCGAAACCGATAGAAACAGATATACATGGATTGGGAAAGACTGCTCGAGATAGGCATGAAGATAGCGGGAGGTGAGGCACGCCAAGCTCACAGCGGGGCAGGCAATCGAGTGCGAGGGGCAGGCGTGACGCTGATGCCGTCAACACCAAAAAGTTATCGCGAGCTCCGTCACACAGCCAATTTCCATCCCTCACCGCTACCTCATCTCAATTCACCATTGGTGCCTTCCTCGATCTACCATGTCACCCCCCGCCATCATTGCGCCGTCGATTCTCTCGGCTGACTTCGGAGCGCTGGGCAAGGCCTGCTCCGATACAATCTCCCAAGGCGCCGACTGGCTTCATGTATGTCATGTATAGTCACAGATGGCCATGCCAGCCCGCGACTGACTCGGCCAGGTCGACATCATGGACGGCCACTTTGTGCCCAACATGACATTCGGCGCACCTGTCGTCACAAAGATCCGCTCCCACGTCGACCGTCCCACTACTGCACATGGCAAGGGCACCTTTGACTGCCACATGATGATTGCTGAGCCCAAGAGGTGGGTGCGCGACTTCAAAAAGGCCGGCTGCGACCTGTACTGCTTTCACTACGAAGCCGCCGTTTCTTCAACTGCTGCAGATTCGCCCAGCGCCAAATCGGACAAGCAGACGTCCCCACAGGACCTCATTCGCTTTATACACGCTGAGGGCATGCAGGCTGGCATTGCGATAAAACCAAGCACATCGGTGGATGTACTTTGGGATATCTTAGAGAACCCCAACAAGGAAGAAGTCCCTGATGTAAGTACATGTCTCCTGTACTACCATCACAATCAATCTCACAAACGCCTCGTACGCGCTATATAGTGCAAACACTGGCCCCAAAATGGTCCATTCCGCCGAGCCTGGTAGGGCTGACCTGGCTGGGGCGTGGGCGGCACGCTGTGGCGGCGCTTAAGCATGTGGGCCTGCCATCCATCGTCAATCAGTCCCCTGCCTTGGCGTCGATTCATGCCTAGCAAATCACATGTGTTGAAGTACCACGACTGACTTCCCCAGATGGTACTAGTCATGACTGTTGAGCCTGGCTTCGGCGGCCAATCTTTCATGGCGTCCGAACTGCCCAAAGTTACAGCACTACGACAAAAGTACCCTGAACTGCACATCGAGGTCGATGGAGGCCTGGGTGAAAAGACAATAGATCAGGCTGCTGACGCTGGCGCCAATGTTATTGTTGCTGGCAGTGCTGTTTTCGGCGCCTCCGATCCTGGTCATGTGATTAAGAAGCTAAGGGAGGCTGTCGATAGTAGAAGGGGGAAGTTGTAGAAGCACCATTGAACAGCACATCACAGCATTAGTATACAGAAACATTCAAGTGAGTCACCACATGAGACTACAGAGGCTTCTTCAGCACGATAAGGAAGTAGAAACGCATCTTCATATAGTTGATTCGGAATTTGTAGCTTCTAGGGCTTTGTCACGATTCCATCCACCTACACCATATCTTGTCACGAACCCAATCATCCTTTGCCAACACTTTCTACTAGACTCAAGCACAGAAGCAATTATATCCATAAGGATTCCTAAATCGCGTCAGTCGTCATTGCTTGTGAAAAACTAGCATCATCATGAACATACGGCGCAACTCGACTGCGATCAGTACAGTAGCATTCTTTGACTGTCTCTTCTGTTATGCACACAAAGTTTTCCGGTGTAAACGGTGCTGGAACACCTGGGTCGATATCAGGCACCTGCTGATACATCTGGCCTCTGGGGAGTCTGAGTTAACTGATTGTTTCAAGGTACTCAGAAGTTTTCGACGACAATCACTTACGACACCTGTTTGCATCCCCAGTTGGGATTGAGACTCGCGCAATATGCGTACTGACTTTCCAAGCAATCGGCAGCACGGCCTCGGATAGTCCAAGCATGCCCCAGTACATCGGAGGCTCGGGCCATTGCTATGGAAGCGAGGGAAAGCAGGACTTGGATTTTGAGCAACATAGTAAAGGTGGAAGAACAAAACGTCTAGAGTACTTGTGTGTGGGTAGGTGTCTGAGTGATTTTCGGTTTTAGACAAGGAATGATGCAGAAAATGTACAGGCTCCATGTCTTTGAGTACAAACATCGACTCTTACTTCGTAATAGTTACCTTATAGGCCAGCATGCGTCATCTGTATCAATACTCAGAGTTCCTCTCTGAAATTGGTGTATTCTGGTGCTTCAACTCTATCTTGATGCTTGCAGTGACATTACATTCCATGTAAGTCTTCAAATACCGCCGTCCGTGCCTACTTCGTCATAGTTTCCTTACTGGTATGCTTCAGCACGGATCCTCTTCAACAATACTTATGATTTCTCTTCTTCGAGAATGGTGCATTCTGGTGGTCCAACTCTGCGTTCGTGCTTGCGGTGACATTGCACTGGGTAAGCTTACGCTGTACGTCACCATCGGCGTCCCGTCTTCGGGAGTAAGCGTCTTATTGGCTCTTTTTTACCTCTTCGAGCCATTAAAGCATAAAACGTGTCTAAACAGCAATACTAGCGCAGCGGCATTGGCACAGAATATTCCGTGGAAGTCGCGTTGGCGGATAGGTATTTTACAGTCAACAAGATATTTGTGGTTGTAGGCCCAAGTTTTTTTCAGCAAAGATTTCCATCTTTTGTATTACATACTAGCTGGGAAATTGTATGCATGAAGATACTTAGCTTGAGCAGCCACTGTATGTACGTCGGAATCAGCGGAAGGTACCAGCGTGCCCAGCTTGCCCGGCGCCGAGAAGGTGCAGTGAAATAGGTAGCTCCGTGTGCAACAGATGCTCATCCTGGCTGAAGCGATTGAGTGTGAGGGAGATCAGCTTGGCGCTGCATATATGTACGGTACCACTTCTCTTCTAAACTACTTTCTACACACACCTCAAAACAAAAACTGATCGAAACGCGTCATTTTTCATCGGAAAATAGTCAAAACCATCGAAAGAAACACATTCTATCTACTCTAAGCTCCTGCAGCCTCCTGGTTGTAAAGCTAGAGCTAGTAGAACGAGATTCTTCTAACGCGTCAAATCTTCCAAAAACAACAGCGCACAGACCAGTGCCTATCGATAAGAAAAATCCAAAACTACTAATAAGCGACTCTTTCACTATTTTCTAGTCTTCCAAATCTATTCCTATCCTAGAGATCTACTCGATAGATCAGTAAGATAGAGAAGAAGAGAGTAAGAAGAGTAAAATAGCAAGGCTTTCACTACTTTCACACTAGTACGGCTAGAAGAAATAAGTATCCTTCAAGTGTAAAGTAGCAATAACAGAACGAAAATGCCGCTAGACAGCGACAATATTATAGTGCAGATCCTAGAGGCAAGAGGAAACAGCCCTAATACAGCAATTCAGCTCGAAAATGATATCCAAATGGGTATAGAAGTGTCAGATAATAGCACTGTTGAAGATGAGAGCGTACAGACGCTGGGTTAGACTAGCGCGACCCGGCATCTGTGAGCGCCAATCAGATCACAGGAAGGCTTGGCACCCCCTTGTGAAGATCGTCCGAAGATGATCTTGGGTTGGTTCTCGGGGATAGAGTGATGCGATGGACACGAGGGTGTATAGCATAATTGGTAGATCGATGTAATATACGGGGGGCTAAGAATTAAGTACTAATCCTTAGATTTCGAAGTTAAACACAATAAACTGTAAGGGCTTATTATCTACTGTTATATACTAATAAATGTCCTATGTCCTATACGTCCTACGTTGTCCTACACTGTCCTATGCGCGGGACATCGTGGTACATCGTAGGATTCCTTGGGACACACGTAACATGTCCTATGGTGGCGTTCCGCCAAGCTTTGTGGGATGTAGGGCAGGCTTACGTTATTAGTCCTTGTACTCCTTGTACGCCTTCGCCTGGAAAGAGGTTCTCACAAGGCCTTCATCCTTCTACCCTTCATATCTTGTGCTGTGTCCCCTCCTTAGGTTCGTAACACCCCTTAGGTGTGCTCACAACCGTAGACAGAACCACAACACAATTAATTATTAATATTATTAAGATCAATACCTATTTTATTAGTATTCTAGATAAGAGTGAATATCTAACTGTCAGATTGTGATGGGTTATCAAAGACGGGGATAGATTGTATTGTTCTGGTCTGATGTCGTGTCGTGTTCTTGTTGCTGATCTAACTGCGTTGGATCGTGCGCGCTGACTAATTTAATTGATCCATAGAATCCACAGTGCTCCGAACACCTGGATTTTGTCCACCACCCAAAATATGCCCATATTCTGACACTAACAATTAAGTGTCTTATTTACTCTAATTAGAGCCACTACTATATTAAACTAACGCGACACGACTGTAACCCTCTAGGACTATACTAACTACATAACGTAGTTCTAACAGCTTAAGATTTAGTGCGTTACGCATAATGTCTAGGACATTATAGACCTAATAGCAGCAACTCTCCTACGCCTAAAACCCGCGGGGATTAGAGCGCCTCCCGTTAGCAACTATTGAGGCACTAACAATGCTAGAGAACTAGCAAGCTAAGCGGACCTATTAGTAAGAGGGTTAAAAGCTTTTAAGGAAGACATAAATCTATTTAAGATCCTTTTTAACTAATACAAGAATAACCTACGCTAGTACGAGAAGGAGTAAGTAGACCTATAACACATCTCTGCCTTTATTTAGGCTACGGTGTCGACTTATCTGCAGAGTACTTGCTGCCTACCCTAACTCCTAATAAGGGGGTAGATTATTAACCTTAAGAACACCGTCGGCGTAGACGACGTAGCTGAGATGAGAAGAGCGCGCGAGCGCTACTGTCAGAACGTAGGTCTACGCCCACTACGCTATGCAACTCAAAAGGTTCGTATGATCAGTGAAGTCCTGATCATCTTCGTAGAATAGTATATATTGTACACCTCGTATTGCGTAGGCCTGCCAGCTACCTAGCGGCACTCCAGCCTATACGAAGTGTAAACTAATAGGACACCTAGCTATTAGAATATAACTATGTCGCTACACAAGTAGAGAAGTATAAAGTACCTAAAGTATCAAGTATAGTAACAACTTAGGATAACTTCATTAAAGTAGTAAACAAAGTCGCACTAATCTAGGTAATAAACTTTCACGATGGGAATTATAAACTACTAACAATATTAAGAAAGGAGATAACAAAATAGTACTAAGTGTTGGTAGGCCTTGTACGATCGTACGGGTGAATAACAGCGAACGAGGTTCTTCTAGTGACTAGTATTGGT